GCACCGCCGACGCCTTGCTTACCTGCATTGTCTTACTTGTTCCAGCTGGCCTTATGCTCCAGACGCGTGTGCAAGGCCCAGGGAGGCATCCGATATCAGCAACATTAATAACGGGCACGCACATCAGCAGTAGAATGGCCTACTTGGGCCACGACAGGCGCCTCTTCATGCATCACTTTCCGTTTCGATCATAGCCGAATCCGGCCAGCTCCGTGCTGCACGAGGGACCCGCTCGCTCCCGAGGAGGACCTGAGTGAGATGTAGGCATCTGGGCAGTTTGGTTAGCGGGTTGCCCTTTGCCTCTGCTGACTGGCGACTGAGTTTCACCGAGGCAACGACGCTGGTCACCGCAGTGCGGCGCGGCGCGGGCTATTGCTGGGTCATTCACGCCTTCCAAGGATTGTTTCTGGGAATGACAGGCAGTTAGGCGCGGGAGGCAAGATCAAGTCGTATTTTAGAAGACAAAATGCAACTGCAACCACCTGTGGTGTGGTGCTGTCGCGAACGTTGTTGGATACTTCGAGAGTACATGGTGCCGGGTGATGTATTGCATGTCAATCGAGGTAGAAGCCGAGTCCACTTATAGTGGGGCGCAGACGGGCCGCATCAACTGATTGATGAGGGGCGAGCTGCAAGCTGCAAGCTGCTGCTAGCTACGGTACGAGCTTGCAAGCATGCTTCCTGCCGTGTGTGCGTGTGTGTGGGCGCGTGTGCCTCACTGGGACTGACCCTCGGGCCGTCCCACTTACATTCAATGTTTCTGTCCCTGCTCATGGTCACCATCCACCCCAGGCCACTCCGACGACCACTTACTTGCCACACCGCGCCAGAACGAGGCAGTCCCCTCTCTCGGCCAGAAATTATTCGCGCATCTGGATTTTTTCGGCGGAGAGCGAGACAAACCAAAGCTGGACACGAGGAAGCCAAGCCCAAAGGTTCGGTCAGTCGCTTATCTATCTGCCCGACGTCGAGGGCACACACAGAAGGAAAAAGGCAGGCAGGCAGGCAGGCAGGCAGGACGAACCTGCGTGGAGCTTCTGCTTGGATAGACAGACAGACCCACGCACACATCCCGCACGCACGCGAGCAGTGCCGATGTACATTGGATACAAGACCTTGAATATGCAGCAACACCGCTCACAACCCATTTAAGACCACACCTCCGTGGCACATCCTGGCCTGCCCCCCCGTTCACGGTACACAAGCTTCTTCGTCAGATCCAAGATCCAAGTCCAGGTTCGAGTTCCAACAAGCCCTGGGTCCCGGAACACATGGGGTCATCGACTTCGGTCAGCTGCCCTTGCCGTCCGCGAACCTGCTTCCAGCCGCACATTCGCCCTGCAGCAGTCTGCGAGCCCACAACCACCGCGCCACAGGGCAAGCTGGTGACGTTTCGCAGCATCCTTCCCAAGACTGAGTCGGTGCTGCTTTGACTTGTTACCCGGCCTGAGAACGCCAGGTCAGAATAAGGTTGATTTGGCCAGTCGCGTGTGGGTTTTGTGTCGTGCCTGCGTCGAGGGCGGCCCGAGGACGAGCCCTGCTGTGTTTTCATCAGCTGCACGCCGAGCACTTGGGCAAGTCCCCTGCTCTGGGCTCTGGTCACCGAGAAGGTCGCCTTGCCCTTGCCCTTAATCACACTCGACTGTCCATGTGGCCTCGCTCGGTCCTACAGACGTCACGGGCTGTATAGCTCAAACCTCGAGGTCCTCTGGAGATGGCACACGGGCCCGCTGGACCTCTCATATCTAGACCACCTGCGACCTTCCTTCGCCGCTGGTAATACAGCACTGGTTTGTTCCCCTCCACCGCGCAACATACAATCCAACATGGCTTCCGAGTTCCAGGCCCAAGTCTTCGAAAATGGCCAGTGGGTCATGAGGGACATGAACGTCCACGACGTCCTGAACAAGCCCACCATGAAGCCGCCCAAGCCAAAACAACAACCACCCCAATGTGGCATTATGACCAGGACTCTGGTCGAAAGTCCAGTTGCCCATTGGATCCTCTCCGTGCGACTGCGTTCCCCTCAGCACAATGATATCGCAATAGTTGGCGTGAGTACCCGTCTCTGTTGTCCCTCCCCTCGCGCCCCACGTTCCACGGCTCTCCTACGACAACAAAGCAGCAGCAGCAGCGGTGACATTAACTAGGTCACCGGCGGGCTTCTTTCGAATGACGAGCTAATTCCTTTGCGCTTCAAAGGACCACTACGTGCAAATCTCAGAGCTTCAGGATGACCTACAGCTACATAGCGTCGCCAAGAAGAAAGACTTCGGGTCTCGAATTCGCAATGCCAAGGTCATTGGCACTTTCAATCGCGATGACATCGACGCCAGCAGGTTCCAAGCCAGCCGATCGCATCCAAGGCAACCGGAAGATGACATTGACGTGGGCATGTCGGATCTTTCCACCCCAGTGTCGTCCCCAAACCCGCTGCAATTACCCCCACAATTGCTCCTGGTCGTCTTGGAGACTGGCGACTGCATCTTCTTATTCCTGAGGCCTGCAAAGGATGGGTCTTTCGAGTTCGCTGCGTTACAACACGAAATCGATGCCACGCGCCTTGTTCGCCCCGGTTTCCACCTGGCAGTCGACCCGAGCTCGAGATACGTGGCACAGGCGTGTTCCAGGGACATCTTCGTCGTCCACGAGCTTGAATCGATGAGCAGCCTCAACAATTCTTTCACCCACGGCCATCCAATGGCGCCGGTCAAATCCTCTTTTCCACGTTCTGTCAATGGCACAATACAGACCATGGAATTTCTATATCCGAGGCCACAAGACCCCCACCACATCATCCTGCTGCTCATAGTGGTCAACAGAGGCGACCCCCGGATGATCACCTATGATTGGTACCTAGGAGATGATGTCGGAGAGGCTCTGAGGGTGGAGAAGGTGGGCCACCGGTTACCTAGGAACCACGAGATGCCACTTCTCATCATCCCGCTGACTATATGCACGGCTTTCTTGGCTGTGTCGGAGGGAGAAATTGCTCAGTGCAGAGACATCCTCCACGGCGCCCCTACTTTTGAGCAGTGCAATGTCCGGGATTTTGACCCATCAGAGCATCATGACGGGTCGCAACCGCCATTGTGGACGGCTTGGTCCAGGCCTCCACGACTCTCGAGGTTCCATCCTAATAACGACCACGTTTATGTTGCGAGGGAGGATGGACTCGTCTTATTCCTGGAGTGTGACTCGGAAAATATACTTGGGGCTCACTTTAATCACGGAACCTTTTGCAACGTTTCCACTGCTTTCACAAGCCTTTCGCACCATAACGACGACATACTGGTGTTCGGAGGAGACTCGGGGCTAGGGGGCGTGTGGAAGGCAAGATCACTTAGCTGTATGTCTGCACGAGTAAACTACTGACACGGCGTAGGCACCTCCTAGGGAGCAGGTTGTTCGGCTCAGTCAGATCCCAAACTGGTCACCGACTGTCGATTTCGTCACAACAAACGATTCTCGTCGCTGGGATGACCATACCGGTGCTACAGGGAAAAATGGAACAAGTCTGCAAAATGAGGCCGATGCTCTATCGTCTGGCTTTACTAAACCCGATAGAATATTTGCTGCTGCTGGAAGAGGGCGAAATGGTTCGATAGTGGAATATCGACATGGCCTGCGGGCGAACATCGGCATAGATTTCGACATCGGCACGGTTGTCAAACGTTGCTTCATGCTTCCGGCCAATGTTTCCGAGCCCGAGTACGGCCATCACTTGCTCTTGTCACTCCCTGGCAGGTCTGCCCTCTTGCGATTTGACACGGATTTCTCTACTACCTATGACGTGGAACCAGACGAAACTCTCTACGACATATCCTCGCCGACACTCACAGCCAGGCTGGTCTCCGAGGAGCTCATTGTCCAGGTCACAGAAGACGGAATCGTTCTCATCAACTCATCCTCGAGGTAAGTCGTGCATCTATCTACTGGTTTGTGTTATCACAAGGACGGCAGTTGACAGTTGCCTAGCAAACAATTTCCGTTTGTCGCCATGGGTCTGCACGGCGCGGTTGTCACAGACGCTACTGTCAAGGGAAACATGCTTGCAGTCACGTCGCACGTGGACAACGTCTTTGAACTGCATACGATACTACTCGACGGTTCCAACCTTGAGGCTCGCCACCTTCACAAGGAACCATTCCAGGGCGAAGTAACATCCCTCGGGCTCTGCGACATCGGAGGAAAGACCCATGCCGTTGCCTGTTTATGGCGGGATAATGCTGTCTTCCTGGACCTGTACAGTATCCAGGACAGGGCGCACGTGAAGACCATTTCCATGCAATCTCGTGAGTTCTAGAACTCATTACTGCGCCCTCGAAATCCCGACCCGGTCACGGCTGACATGTGCGTACAGTTGCCGAGAGTCTATCTCCAGATGATGTCAAAAGGGGCATGGCTACGAACATCGAACCTTTCACAAGCATCGTGCCAGTTATTGAGAACCCAGCAAGTAGTGTTCTGATTGCTGGGAGCCGGGACGGGTTATTGGTTACGCTAAGCCTGGACAGTACTTGCGAGGTTGTGTCAGCATCTCTGGAGAAGGAGGGCTCCGTACCGGCCTACGTTTATGAGGCGTCTGGCGGGTCGGCATTTGTCTGCTGTGATGCAAGTTTCACACTCATTGGCGACTACCAAGGAGGCACACGAGGCTTTGCTAAGAAACATAGTATCTGGACTGTGGATGCGAACGACAGCAGCAAGCTCGCCCCAAGAATTACCTCTGTCATGGTACTGCAGGAGAACTTTTCTGGAAACTCTGCCAACAAGCCACTTCTACTGCTCGCCACGGACCATGTCTTGCTTGCCGAGTTGCAACCAGAAGTCGGACCTGTCCAGCGACAAATGCCCCTGGGCATGACACCCCAAAAACTCCTTTATTCGCACATCCTCAAGTGCTTGGTCGTCGGCGCAAGAACGCTTGATGACAGACCCACGCTGAGATTTATCGACCCTGACACCGGTGAAGACCTCTCGATCCATCTAGACGGAAACACCAGAGAGGAAACCGTGTTCATGAAGGGGCTGGGGAAGATCGGGGACCGGATCCTCTGCCTGGACGAGTGGCACGTCCAGTCCAAGAACAACAACTTCTACTACATTGTTGTGACAACACACGGCGGCCCATCAGATGGAGGCAGGGTTTTGATTGTGTCTGCAAAAGCTGAGCGACCAGTAAATGGGGAACGCCGTGGAAGGATTTCCTGCTTCACCCGGCACTCGATAAAGGGGCCAAGGCAGCCCGTTTATGCTGTAGCCACGGCGGGCAACAAGATCCAAGCCACCTTCCTCTCGGAACTCGTCTACTACAAATTGGACGACCAAGAGAAGAGGCTCAAGCACATTTCAACCACACAGCTGGACTCAGAGGCATGGAAGCTGAGCGTCCTCCCGAATTCGCCACATACTCTCGCACTGACGAAGCGGGACTCCCTATGGGTGCTAGAAGAAGGCGAAAAGGAGGGCGACCCCTTCGAAGTACGCCATGTCGACCCTTATACCCCACACGGCCTAGACATGCTCGAGGTGGCCGGGGCCTGGCCCCCACCGCCACAAACGGCGGGATCGACCGAGCCGCCGCCGTCGATCGTGCTCATAAGCGACCAGGAGTGCGGCCTCAGCGGGCTCTGGATCCCATGGGACTCGCGCAACAAGGACTGCGAGGTGCTCTTCGAGACGGACCTGCCGTCGACGGTGCGGCGGCTGCGGCTGGGGCGGACGCTGCCGTCGTGGTCGCGGGAGGCCCGGGGCGGCGGGTCCCACGGCAACAACAAGCGGTTCGGCTTGCTGTCGGCGTCGGCCAACGGCGCCGAGATCCTGGGGATGGGCATCGACGGATCGCTGCAGCACTTCACGCTGCTGGACCTCGGGGCGTGGCGGTTCCTGCGGTTCCTGCAGAACATCTCGGAGACGTCGCCGGAGCTGTACCCGTTCACGTACATGCAGTTCGGGTCGGCCGAGGAGGAGGGGGCGTTTGACCCGCGGCCGCTGGCGGGGTCGTCGTCCGGGTATGGGTTCGGGTCGGGCCCGAACAGCGGGAGCGAGACGCTGGAGCGGCAGGTCGACGGGGACCTCATGCGGCGGATCCTCGACGGGCGGGTCCTGGAGGGGCTCGTCTGGTCCCGGCTGGAGTGGGTGGGTTACTTTATGGAGTATCTTGATGGGGTTGATGGGGGGAGGTGGACGGAGGGGTTTAGGCGGGGTGGTGGTGGTGATGGTGTTGAGGAGGAGGGGGATGAGGGGGACAACGGCAACAGCAAGGAGACGGGGAGGTCGAGGGCGTACCTCCGGCTCGCGTATGAGATTCTGGAGTATTTCCTTGTGCCGATTATATGAGGCAGGCAGGCAGGCAGGCAGGCAGGCATGACATGACTTGATAAAGAGGGGGAAAGGGAGGGGGATGAAGGGGGGTGTGAAGAGTTGTGGTCATTGGGGGCATTAGATGTTGTTTGTTCTGTGTCGAGGGGGCTGGATGTTGGCATATATAGTGTTGTTCTTGTTGCATGAATATATATATTTATCGTTTCCGGCCGGACTGTCAGAATGAGCAGCGTGGTTCTCACTTGCAGACTAGAATATTGTGTCCCGGGTTGGGTCTGTCCAAACCGCCACAGTTTTGAATATGTGAATGAGGTTACGGCACCGCCCAATTCGGCTGTGATAGCTGGTCTGGTCTAACAATGGATGGGATTATGAGAGGTCTCCTCGCTGGCATGTGCAGCATTGGCAACGGAAATCAAGCTCTATATCAAGACTGGTCTTGAGCAAGCCCGGCCGATACTACGTCCTAGTGCACTGTGTTGAATGAGGTATCATTTGCTGTCCATCGTTGCGCACCGGGTTTCTTGATACTGTTTCCGGCCTGGCGACATCATCTACTACAGTTGGCCAGATTTATAGAGGTCGAGCCCAACGGCACATGTTCCGACTTGAACTGCCTCATAAGTACAAACGTGATGTCTGCAGGAAGCTATGCGGCTTGTTAATGTTCAAATGTTGCTAGTTGAAACAGCTCCTAGCCGGCAACACATTTACGCTGTGTTTGATCAGTTTGTAGGGAGAGATGGAGAGGAAGATGCATCTGTATCCCTTCGGGCCGGGGACGGAGGACAGGCAGGCATCTCGGCGAATGAGTCGGGATACGGATGTGAACCACGATGGCTTCGTACATTCGATAGCCCAACAACAAGCAACATGGAAGCAAATGAATAGCAATAAGCATATGCTAACGTAAAAGCAGGGCTTGGCCCTCACATCCCCACCAGTCTGTTAGTCAACGAGTCCAAGAACGGGCCGGGCCAAGCAATTGCGAATCCCTGCTGTTAGTAATACCAGGCACAAGAACAGAAGAAACCTGCAAGGCGAGGAAACACGTCGGTTCCTGGTCGGAATAAATCTGGGGCAATTAGGTGTTGCCAACTGTGTGTTTCTGCGGGTGTGGCCCCTTTGACTTTGCGACGCACAGACAAGGCGACCCGGAGGTGCGGCCAGCGGGCGGGCGTCTTTCTCCGGCCTGGGACTGGAGCTGTGAAGTCATTGGGTGGTGGGGCATCCTGGAAAGATTCTGCGATAGAAGGGCGGCGGCCATGGCGGGGTGACTGGCGATACTGATAACGTGGGGTGTGGGGGGATTGATTTTGTTAGGGGCACGGCTCTTAAGGCAGCCGGAAGGGTGACGATGCGATGGCGTGCAATGGATGAATGGACGGATGGCATTTGGCAAATAGTGGATATGGGACTCGATCCACTTTGCATGTTGGAATACCACCGTGGGGCGAGGGGTGGTAGGTGGCTAGCAGTGAGGGAGGGATGTGGGATGTTTGCGTCTGCAACCACAATGAATGGGAGAACAGAAAACAAGGCTGTCATGTTGTCCTGTTTCGTGCATGTGCCTGTCAGTGCTGTCTGGACTTGCCTAGAGCGGTCGATGGTGGTCGGGATGGAATGGCAAGTCAGTCAAGTGCCAGTCTGTTGGTTGGTTGGGCTGCCAGCAAGAGAGAGTGCTTCGTAGTGTCCGACAATGCAAGCGTTTTGCACGTCGGTTCGAGAAACTTCTGGCGCCCAGTCGCTCCTTCCCGCGCCGACCACACCCCCCCTGAGCGTGGGCGTGGGAATATCGAATCTTCAAGGCCTAGCTCCCAGGGTCTGCCAGCTTCGCAACCAGGAGCTGGGCCTGGCGGCAAACCCAAGCAGTTTTTTTCTTTCCCGCTGACGGCTAGTGTTCCCTTCTGACTGCTGCAGCCGCCATATCCAACGACGGACTATTCTTGTCTCTACCCACACCCACTCCCAGCTGCAATACTGCGCATACTGTTTTTCCCTCCCCCATCACAACCACAACTGAGACAAATCAGATCTGACTGCCCAGCACAACAACGGGATTTTGATCACCGTGCCTTTCCCCTTTACCTGTGAGAGGATATCCTGATACTGTTGCAAATCAACAGAGACGCATAGAGAGAGACATTGTTGTTCACACCAGTTCAGTTCCGGTCCAGTTTGCCCATAATCCTCCTCATACCCCGCCAACCACACATAAACCGCAAGAATGAGTGTCGTCGGTAAGTCGCCGCACCCACGCTCCTTCGGCCTTGCTACTACTCGTCGTCTCGATGGACCGCCTGCTTACGTGTTTGCTCGACTATAGGTGTTGATCTCGGAACCGTCAACACGGTCGTCGCCGTCGCCAGGAACCGTGGCGTCGATGTTGTACGTCCGCCCTCCGCCTCTCGACCCCTTCCGCCACCTCCAGCTACCTCTTCTCCCTGATCACGACTCCCACATCACAAATGCTGACAGTTAATGCCTTGACAGATCGCAAATGAAGTGTCCAACCGGGCGACGCCGTAAGTAGCCCCCACCTCAGCTGCAGGCCGAGCTGCCCCCCCCCCCCCTTCCACCGTGTCCATACAGCCCAGAGGCTAACCACCCCGTCAAACAGATCTCTGGTCGGCTTCGGCCCCAAGTCACGATACCTCGGCGAGACGGCCAAGACACAAGAAATCTCCAACCTCAAGAACACCGTTGGCTCATTGAAGCGCCTCTGTGGTCGCTCCCTCAGCGACCCCGATGTCCAGATCGAGCAGCAGTATGTCTCTGCGCCCCTGGTCGACATCGACGGCCAGGTCGGCGCCGAGATCACCTACCGTGGCCAGAAGGAGAAGTACACTGCTACACAACTCACCGCCATGCTGCTGAGCAAGATCAAGGCCACAACCTCTGCCGAGCTTAAGCTGCCCGTCTCCGACATCGTCCTCAGTGTGCCCGCCTGGTTCACCGACATCCAGCGCCGCGCCCTGATAGACGCCGCTGAGATCGCCGGCCTCAAGGTCCTGCGCCTCATGAACGACACCACCGCCGCCGCCCTCGGCTACGGTATCACCAAGCTCGACCTGCCCGCCGCCGAGGAGAAGCCCCGCCGTGTCGTCTTCGTCGATGTCGGCCACAGCGAGTACACTGCCTCCGTCGTCGAGTTTAAGAAGGGCGAGCTGGTCGTCAAGGGCACCGCCTGGGACCGTCACTACGGTGGCAGGAACTTTGACAAGGCCCTGGTCGACCACCTGGCCAAGGAGTTCCAGGCCAAGTACAAGATCGACATCTTCTCCAACCCTCGCGCCGTCGCTCGTGTCTACGCCGCCGCCGAGAAGACCAAGAAGATTCTGTCGGCCAACCAGCAGGCCCCCGTCAACATCGAGTCCCTCATGAACGATGTTGATGTCTCCGCCATGGTCACCCGCCAGGAATTCGAGGCCCTCATCGACCCCCTGCTGAACAAGACCACCGCCCCCCTGGAGGAGGCCCTGGCCCAGGCCAAGCTGACCAAGGACGACATCGACTTCATTGAGGTCGTCGGTGGTGGTTCCCGTGTGCCTGCCATCAAGGAGCGCATCCAGCAGTTCTTTGGCAAGAACCTGTCCTACACTCTCAACGCTGATGAGGCCGCCGCACGTGGCTGCGCCTTCAGCTGTGCCATCCTCTCCCCCGTCTTCCGCGTCCGTGACTTCTCCGTCCAGGACGTCATCCCCTACCCCATCGAGTTTGGATGGGAGAAGGCCCCTGATATCCCCGATGAGGACACGAGCCTGGTCGTCTTTAACAAGGGCGGCGTTCAGCCCTCCACCAAGATCCTGACCTTCTACCGCAAGCAGCCCTTCGACCTCGAGGCACGATACGTCAAGCCCGACGACCTGCCTGGCAAGACGAACCCATGGATCGGTCGTTTCTCGGTCAAGGGCGTTAAGGCCGCCGGTGGCCCCGACGACTTCATGATCTGCAAGCTGAAGGCTCGTGTCAACATCCACGGTATCCTGAACGTGGAGAGTGGCTACTATGTCGAGGACCAGGAGGTCGAGGAGCCCATCCCCGAGGAGGAGCCCAAGAAGGAAGAGGGTGACAAGAAGGACCCAGATGTGAGTACTCCAGCAGTCAATGCTTTTCATACGTCGCCGACCGCGAAACGGAAGCCCTCAAGTCCTCCGCTAGCGGAGGAGGCTGGGGCGACCGACACAAATCGCAAGCGAAGCTGCCCGCAGAGAGGCCAAGGCGAAGCCGCCTCGAGATCGTCCGACTCGCAGCCACCCGGTGATCCCCAGCTAACCAAATCAAAGGCCATGGAGACAGACAACAAGGAGGAGAAGCCCAAGACGCGCAAGGTGAAGAAGCAGGTGCGCAAGGGAGACCTGCCCATCGTCGCTGGCAACCTGTCCCTGGATGAGTCTTCCAGGAACAACCTGACCGAGAAGGAGAACGCCATGGTCATGGAAGACAAGCTGGTCGCCGACACCGAGGAGAAGAAGAACGAGCTCGAGACCTTCATCTACGAGCTCCGCAACAAGCTTGACGAGCAGTACGCCGACCTCGCCAGCGACGAGGAGAAGGAGAAGATCAAGGCCAAGCTGGAGGCTTCAGAGGTGAGTTTCGAACCCGAGCACACTAATTTCCCCTTGACTTGGACGCAGCAGGTGACTGACGGCTCATGCAGGACTGGCTGTACGAGGACGGTGAGGACACCACCAAGGCCGTCTACATCGCCAAGATCGACGAGATCCGCTCCCTTGCCGGCCCCGTCATTCAGCGACACTTCGAGAAGGTCGAGGCCGAGCGCCAGGCGGTCCAGGCAAAGGTGGATGCCGAGCGGGCGGCCAAGAAGGCTGCCGAGGAGGAGGCCCGCAAGCAGGCCGAGGCCCAGAAGGCACAGGAGGGCGCCAACAAGGACGCCGAGATGCAAGACGCGGACGCCGCACCAAAGGCGGATGTCGAGGAGTCACAGGACCCGAAATAGAGTTTCGGCGGGAGCCCTGACGCCCCCATTGTGCTGGATTGAGCGTGGGGGTCGTATACTGCATGCAGCATAAAGATGCCAAAGGCTGTCGATGCTTCGGAAAAGAAGAGGACCGAGAGAAAGACACACACACACACACACACACAAAAGATAGGATAAAGAGCACAGAGAGAGACTGTGGTTTTCCCCCATAGACGGATTCAAGACAGTCGGTTTTCATGAGCTTGGCCTGGCCGGCTTTCCTTCTTCTGTGTTTGTTTATCAGGCCCGCCACCCAACCTACCCTCACCGCCCCTCCGTTTTCCTTCTGCTCTCCCGCTGCGGCCACTCGGCGAGGATGGACTGTCGAGGGGGGGGAGGTGGCAAAGAGGAAGAGGTGCGTTGTCTGGTGGCTTGTGCACAGGATAATTCGACGTGTTGATTTGGGTGGGTCAGTCAGACTGACAGGGACACTTGTTGTGTGTTTGTTTTGCTGCTGTTGTTGCTGATGTTGTTTTTTGCCAATAGACCGGTGGGGGGTTAAAAAGAACGGGACACCCATATGTTTCTATGTGTTTTGTTTTCTGTTTTTGTTTGATTCTATAACTCTTCTGCTTGCTGCCTCCCCGGCTTGTTTCTTGTTGACTCGTCTTTGTCTCTGACGATGAATGATGTGTATGCGGGCGGGCGGGTTTTAAGTTAGATTAGGTAGCCTAGATGTGACGATGGACCATGAAGAAGAACTCCCACCTACTTTAAACTAAACAGACATGTAAGAGCCTCATCCTTTTGTCACCCGTGTTGAAATTAACGGCGGAGGAAGATAAAGCTGCATTTATTTATCTACCCTCAAGTGCTCATTGCCATGGCCGCTTGCTTGTTTGGTATGCCTCCCTGACCATCACTCACGGGACGGACAGACGTATACCGAACTAAGAACGAGACCAGGTAGACTACCTATCACCCAGCCTAGCCCGGACAGGGGGCATACGAAGAAACCAAAGCAAAACCCGCCGCCGGCCCTCGCACGCCCCCGGGCCTCCCAGGGCCGGCCCCCTCGGAGTCGAAGCTGCCCCTCTGGTCTCCGTCCCAGGCATCGCAGAGAGGTGCCCTCGTCTCCGCGGCGGCGTCTTGACGCCGAGACCGAACCCCCTCATCCCGATCCCGACCAGATCAGGACTTGGTCAGCCCTTCTCGCTCCTGATGCGCGCCCGGCTGGGCTGGGCTGGGCTGGGCTGGGCTGGGCTAGTGGGGGGTTGACGGCCGCCGCGCCCGTGGTGGGATCGATCCCATCCCCTGTAGCCCGGGCCCGACCGAGTCCGAGTATGGGCCGGTGTGTCGCGGATCCCCTCGGGCGCTGACGGGCGCTGGAGACCGAACATATCACCCCCTCCCCCCCTGTAGATATACATGTTTTCCCCTCGACTCAAGGGCTGTATAGGAGCACATAGCGTTCAGGAATAAGAACCTCCGTCAGGGAAACCGCCTGAAAGAAAAGCCTTCTACCAACTCGCTCCAAACTCTTTTTTTTTTTTTTTTGGAGACCTCACGCAACGCGACAACACACGTCTGTCTTGTTTGTACAAAGTATATATATGCACTACAAACCAGCAAGCACAAAGAATTATGCCATCGCTACTTTTGAGCTCTCTTTGCCCGCCTTTTTCTCTTCCGCTCCTGCTGCTGTTCTTGGGCGCTGTAGTCAAACTTTTTTTTTTATCAAAAACATTGATTGCCCCATTGGGCGCTTCACAACCTCCTAAACGATTGATTGATTGATGAATCCCCTAAGGGATATCGAACAGCGGCTTGAGCTTGACGATGAGCTGCCACTCGTCGTTGGAGACGTCCTTGCGGTAGAACTCCTTCAGGCAGTCGATCGAGGCGCGCGAGATGGCGCTGTACAGCGTGTCCGTCTCCTCCAGCTGCCGCCCGTACGTCGGCTGGTGGCCGCCCATCTCGATCTTGACGGCCACCGAGGGCTGGCCCTTCTTGCACACTGGGATCTGCTTGTGCTCTCGCTCGATGGAGGTTCTGGCGTGGCTTGTTAGCGGGGGCGTGCCTGTGAAAGACGGTTGTGGGTAGGGGACGGGGTGGGGGATCAGGGAAAACTTACACTCTGCCCATGGCAACGATCTCCTTGACGCCCGTCGTGGGGTTGTGCTTCACCGCCGAGATAGGCGTGTTGACCCTCAGCTGGCCTTCAACAACGTCGACACCGACGACGATGGGGTTGGTCTTGTTGAAGACGGCCACAGGCTTGAGCACGCAAGGGAAGACCGCCAGCATCTTGGAGTCCTCCTTCTTCTTCTCAAGCAGCTCGTCCATGTGCTTGGTGAACTGGTCGAAGAGATGGTAGATGATGTCTGCCGTGAAAATCCTGATGCCGTTGTCCTCGGCGTACGTCTGGGCGTCCTTCTCGACCTTGACATCGAAACAGAGCATGACAGCGTGGTCGGGCGACTTCTCCAGCATGATACCACACTGCATGACATCTCGCTTGGAGACCGGGCCGATACCGACGTTGGCGACGGGGATCTTGCAGTCCTTGAGGAAGTCCAGCAGGGCCTCGAGCGAACCCAGCGTGGAAGCCTGGACGGACACACCACGACCGGTCCTCTCGACACGGCTGAACAATGTCTCAAGATCACTCTCGAGCTCGTCCTCAATGTCATCCTCGTCATCGTCGGGGCCCGCAACCAGCAGACGAGAACCAGCGATGGCCTTCTCCAGCCCAGGAGCGACGATCTTGACACCGAGCGCGGCCTTGATCTCCTTGTTGTGCACGTACTGTGACTTGAGACGGAGTTCCTTGAGCTTCTCCGGCGTCAGCAGGGCTCGGACGTTGGTCTTGATCACACCCTCTGTACCACACAACAGGATCCTGTCGCCTTCCCGCATGATACCGTTGGAAAGAATGACATCGATGGTCATGCCGAAACCCTCGATCTGCTTCACTTCCAAGACGGTGGCCTGCACCTCGGAGAGGTACATGAGCGAGCCCACCATCCTCTCCTGCGTGAGCTGCAGGATCAGCTTGAGCATGTCGGGGATACCCTCTCCGGTGTGGGCGGACGTGGGGATGAGCGAGACGAATTTAGACATCTGCTTGTTTTCGTAGTACAGTTCGGCGTTAAACCCTTGCTCAGCGAAGGCAACCTTGGTCTGTTCCAGACGGTTCTTGAACTCATTCTGCACCGCCTTGCCCTGGAGCTTCAAACTCTCCTGGAAGCCGTTGTTGTCGATTTTCTTCCAGCCGTACAGACGATCAATCTTGTTCAGGGCCACAACGAACGGTGTCTTCCTCTCACGCAGCATGCGCATAGACTCGAGGGTCTGGGGCTCAAGACCGTGCATGATATCGACAACCAGGATGGCAATGTTGCAAAGAGAGGAACCTCTTGAACGCAGGTTGGAGAAGGACTCGTGACCGGGTGTGTCGATGACCAGCAGACCTGGCACCTTGAACTCGAACTTGCCGTCCTGGTTGACAACCTGGGTCTTCTGCTTGATGGCCTCGACCGGGAAGTAGGTAGCACCAATCTGCTGAGTGATACCACCAGCTTCGCCCTCCTGGACGTTGGTCTGACGGATCTTGTCGAGCAGCTTGGTCTTTCCGGTATCGACGTGGCCCAGGATACAGCAAATGGGTGACCGGAGGTTGTCTTTTGACCGGGCAGCGAGGGCGGCCTGGTGGGCCTTCTCACGTCTTGCGAGGGCTTCCCTCCTCCTAAGGGCCTCCTTGTCGGCTTCTTCATCGTCAGACGAGGACTCCTCTTCGGAAGACTCCTCCTCGGCCTCTTGTTGCTTCGGTCTTGACGGGAGCGACTTGTCTCCTGCCTCTGTCTTGCCGCTCTCCTTGTTGTCAGCCTCCTCGTCCGAGTCGGCGTCCCAGCTGTCCTTGGGTTCCTCGTCGGATGCTGCGGCGGCCTCCCAGTCCTCCTCAATCTCCTCTTCCCTCGCCGCAGCTGCCTTTGCGGCGGCCTCAGCCTCTGCCTGCTCCTTGGCCTTGCGCTCGTCTTCCGCCTTCTTCTTGAGAGCCTCTTCGGCCTGGATTCTCGCACGTTCGGCAGCCTCTGCCAGTGCTTTCTCCTCGTCGATCTGCACACATGTAATTAGCCACCGAAATGGACCGAGGGCTCGTGTAGACCCCGAAACTTACCTTCTCTTGCTTCTTGCCCTTGCCCTTCTTCTCGAACTTGGGCTTCTCCTTCTTGGCTGATTCACCATCTGCCAAACCACCGACCTGGATGCCGGCAGCCAGCATCTGCTGGAGCTTGCGCTCGTTCCGGGCCTTCTCCTCCTTCTGGGCCTTGGTCATGTACTTGCCCTCCTTCTTGAGCTGCTCGACCTTCTCCTTCTCCTTCTGCTTCCTGCGGGCCTTCTCCTCTTCCTTGCGCTTGTTTTCCTCCTCGATTTGGCGCTCCTCCTCTTCTATCCGGGCGCGCTCCTCGGCGTCAGCCTTGGCCTTGGCCTCCTCCCGCTTGCGGAGCTCTTCTTGTTGCTTCTGGAGCAGTTGCAGGTGCTTTGGGAGCTTCTTCCCGGGCTTGGCGGCCTCGGCCGCAGGGGCTGCCGCCTCGGGCTCGTCCTTCTTCTCGGCGGCTTTGGATGGCTCAGCTTTGGCGGGTGCGGCTGGGGCGGTCTTCTTCTTGGCGGCGGCCTATTTGCAGAACGAGGATTCGTGAGCCTCGCATCACATCACGGCGGTACAGCTGCGGTTAGAACAAGACATACCTGCTCCTTCTTCCTCTGCTTCTCGCGCTCCTTCTTGAGCTTCTCCTTCTCGGCCTTGGTGAGGACCTTGCCGGAGGCGTCTGTCTCGTCATCGCCAGCCTTGGCGGCGGCTGCTGGCTTGGCCTGCTGCTTTCCCTTTCCGCCCTTGCCCTTCTTTTCTGGCAGGGCGAACTCGTCGTCCATGTTGGCCTCGACGGGTGCGGCCTTCTCCTCTGGTGGTGCGGCGGGCTCGGCGCCGGGAGCGTCCTCGCCCTCGAGCTCTGGCAGGCCCTTCTTCTTGCGCCTCTCCTTGTTCTTGCGCATCAGGCCCATGAGACCACCTGCTGCTGGGGCCTCGTCGTCGGCGGGGGCGGGGGCGGCGTCATCGCCATTCTCAGGTGCCGGGGCGGCATCGCCGTTTGCTGGGGCGATGGACTCGCCCAGCTCGGCCTCCCAGTCATCCTGGGCCTTCTTGTTCCCCTTCTTCTTAGGCGGCATTTTGGCGGATTATTGGATGAGGAATAAGAGCTGGTTGGTGGTGTTTGTCGTGGATGGGCCAGCCTGAAGGTGAAGGGTACCTGGAATGGAAGGTGACAATGAAAGTTGTGGGCGGCGGAAAGTTGCTTGCTCGATCGTAGACGGCGGGCGTAAGGGAAATGTGGGGTAATATTTTTGCAGCTCCAAGCTTGTGGCAAGACCGGACCTCTACTTACCTTGCCTCTACGGAGTAGTAAGCTATGAAGCCGCCCAAGCAGGCCAAGGCAACTACTGTTTTGGAAAAACGAGAGTTGCCCCCCCCCCGGTTAAATGCCCTCTATTCCTTAGTTAAATTAAAACTTTATTAGTAGGGTGGAAACTTTAATATTTTTATTAAAATACCTTTATTAACTTTATTAATATTAGTAATAAGTTATTTTTATTATTTAATTAAATAAAAATAATATTATATTAATTTTATATAATTAATTTAAATTTAGTTTATAAAAGTATATATAATTTATTTATTTTAATATAAAATAATATTAATTTAGTTAACTTTATAAATAATATTATTAGATTAATTTATTAAGTTTAAATTATTTAATATTTATTATATAAAATTTATTTAAAAGTTAAATTATATAGTTTATTAATAAGAATATTATATTATTTAAATAGTTATATATTTAAAAGTTAATTATTAAAGTAATTAAAGTTTAATAAATTATTTAAAAGTATTTATAAGTATTTTTAAAGATTATTTAAAATAAAGCTATTATAGTAAATTAAGTAGTTTAAAAGGTATAAAAAATATTATTAAAGTTAATAATAAAGAAAATATATTTAATAATAAAGAAGAGGAGGCTTTAAAAGATATTAATAATAAGAACCTTTTATTAATAAAGTAGGGTTTTTAATAAATAATAATAGTAATAATATTAAATATTTTAAAAATTATTTAATTAATTTTTAATATAAGTATATTTAGGTAAATTAGTTTTAACTTTATTTATTAAAATTTATAATTTAAAAGTTAATATTATTTTTATTATATAATTTAAAAGATAAATTATTATATTAAAGGAGGAGGATAAGGGTTAAAAGATTTAGGGTTTTTATTAAATTATATTAATTTATTTAGGGATTTAATTAAAAAAGTATAAAGATTATTTAAATATAATTATTAAGTTAAGGATATTTTTATTAAAATTAGTTAGTTTATAGGTTAAAAGTTTTTAATTTTATAATTAAAAATTATAAAAAAGATATTAATAGAAGAATTAAAGTATTTAATTATAATAATATTATAAATATACTTTTAAGTTTTAAGGATTTTTTTTTAATTTTTATATAATTATAAGGTTATATTATTAATATAAAAGTTATAAATATTTATATTATAAGGTAATTATTTAATTAAGTAATTATTAATTAAGGTTTTTAATTATTATTAGCTATTTAATAAATAGCTACTTTAAGGAATAGTTTATTAATAGTTAGGTAAGTAGTAAATATAAATATATTTAGTAAAGATTTAAACTTTAGGATTTTTAATTTATATTAATAATTATTAAATAAAGGGTTAAAATAAAAGTAAAAGTAGACTTTATATAAAAAATATAAATAATTAATAAAAATATAATTATATTTTTAAATAATTATTATAAAGTTAATTATTATTATTAAAATAAAAGGAATTCTTTATAATAATAATATTTTATTAAGTAAAATAATATATATATTAATTTATTTAATAAGAACTTAAAGGATTAATTTAATATAATTATAATAAATAATATTATAATTAAATATTTATTAAAAGTTTTTTAATTATTAAATAGTTTAGATAGAATTTAATAAAAGGAGTTTAATAGTAATAAAATTAGCTTTATTCTTTTTAAAAAGTAGTAAAAGTAAAAATAAAAGAAGAGTAATATTAATATAGTTATTAATTTATTATTTAATATTAACTTATTTAAAGTTAAGTATAATTAAATAGCTTTAATAAAATTATTATTATTATTACTATTATTAGCTTTTTTATAAGTTTAATAGGGCTTTATTATTATTAATAGTAATAATAATAGTATTTAAAAGCTTATAATAAAAGTAAAGGCTACTAGTTATCCTTTTATTATTACTATTATAGATAAAAGAGATAAAATAATTTTATATTAAGAATTTATTATAAAAGTATTTTAGAAATATTTTAAGAATTTATTAAAAGGGTTTAATTTAAGTAATTTATAAGAGTTATAAAATATAAAGGGTTTAATCTTTATAGGCTTTATAAAAGAAGAATATTTAGTTTAATAAATATAATTTAAAAGTTATTTTATTAGTTAGAATATTAGTTAAACTATATTTAAAGAGAAAGAAAGATTTTATTAGTTTTTTAATAATAATAATAATAAAAGACTTATTATTATAATAAAAGTTATTAAATAATTATTTAATAAATTATTAAATAAATATTAAAAATATATATTTTATAAAGTTTATAAGGGTTATTTAATTAATTAATTAATTTTATTTAATATTAGGCTTTATAATTAGGTTAGCTATTTAATAAGAGGGTTAGAAGCTTATTAGAGTGGTCTCTTTTATTTAATAGGGTAAAGAAGTTATATAATAAGTTTTAAAAACTTTTAAATAAAAAAGTAATAATTAAATATATAAGAAGATATAATTAGTAATAAAAGTAGTTAGAGAAAGGAAAGTTATTTATTTTAAGTAAATAAAGTAAATTAAATATTTAATATTAAATATTTAATTAATTAAATAAATTTATTTATAATTAATTTATTTATTTTAATTTTAATTATTAATTTAATTATTTAATTTATAAATAATATTTTTATTTATATAATTTTATTTAATTAAAACTTTATTAATTTTAGTTTTATAATTTTTAATTAAGATTATTATATTTATTTTATTTTATACTTTTTTAATATTTATATATAATAAAAATATCTTTAAATAGTTTTAATTTTAAATTTAACTTTTAAATATAAAAATAAAAATTAAATAAAATTTTTATTTAAATTATAATTTAATAACTTATATTAATATTAATAATATAAATAGTATTTTAAATTATTAAAATATACTTTAATAAAATTAAAATTAAAAAGTATAAAAGTAAATATTTATATTTTATACTTTTATATTTATTACTTTAATTATTTTTACTTTATAATATTAAAAGTATTATCTATTATAAAATTAATTTTAAGTTTAAATATAAGTTTATTTTTAATAAAATATTTTTAATTATTAAAAAAAACTTTTTATTATATAACCTTTATATATTATAATAATAAATAAACTATTTAATATAATTATAAAAGAATATAAAATAAACCTTTTACTTAAAAGACTTTTAATTTATAGGGTATACTTAATAGATATTTAATTTATTTTCTTTATATTATTTTATTTATTAAAATTAAACTTATTAATAAAAATAAATATTTTTATTATATAATTTAATTAATATACTTATTAAAAGTAGTAATTATAAAGCTTTTATTATATTAATAAGTTAATATATATATTTATTTATTATTTTATATATAAGTTTTAAAATATTATTTATTATTTTATAATAATATTAATTTATAATTATTTAATAAAAAATATTATATTTTATTAAAGTATAAGTTTAATTTATTAAATAAAAATCTTTTAGCTTTTAATTTATATAATTTATATATTAATTATATTTTATAATATTATTATAAGAAAATAAGTTAATAAACCTTTATAATTTATTATTTTAATTTAATTATATTTAATAATAATAATAATAATATACTTAAAATAATTATATAAATAGTAATAACCCTTTAATAATATTTTTTAATTATAATATAATTAATTTTAAATTTAGTTTATAATTATTTATTTAATAGGGATAGATTAAAATATAAATAAAATTTTAACTATTAAAGTTTATAGTTTAATAGGTAATAGCTTATTATTATTAGTCTTTTTTTTTTCTTTTTTAGAGTGTAGGTAGTATTAGGTATAGTATTTTATTGAAAATATAAGGTTTTCTACCCTACTAGTAAAGTTTTAGTTTAACTAAGGAATAGGGGGCATTTAATTAAGGGGGGGGCAATTTTCGTTTTTCCGAGATAGCACAACCCTTGGACTTAATAACGTCCTCCAAGACAACGAGCCACGTCCTAGGGAACAGCACTTCTAGGGCCCCTTCTTGTCAGACAACCCCCCCCCCCTCCCCACCGAATGAACACCCAAGGAGCTAGGTACCTAGGTATCCCACTGTAAAGAATCCTGTTGTAGAATAACCTCTTAAGGTCCAACCGCTAATGGAATACTTTATATGGAATAACCTCCTCTGCAATGTCCCTTTTTATATGTGTGACCCACCTGTTTTGGTGATATTTCGTTTTTATTTTCCCCGGCTCTCGATTAAATTGCCTAAACGGAGACAAGCACCATTCTCCACGTCGTCACGGTAGTTGGTCCGTCTTCACATGCCTGTTCGATGCACCGCAACTGGGTTGCTTAGTGATTATTCCAAATGGAATAAATGGGCAAGACCTCAAGGAAGGGCAGAATTCGGGACTGTGCAGCGAGCGATTGCATCCAGACAGACCTAGACCTCATCCAGTAAAACCCTGGGATTTCCTCGCGCCATGGACCGCAAAGAACCTGCACTGTCATTCCTTCTCCCAAGATCTGTCTATGGCCACTGATATCACAGAATCCAACGCTGATATCTCTCAGCAAACAAACCCCTGGCTTGGTTGATCTCATCTCCTCCCATTGTGACTCGAAGAGGCCGTCGTCTCCTCATCCTCCAGGTCCCCATCATCCTCAAACGGGACCCTCACATACACCTCCCCACCCGCCAGCGGGCTCCTGCCCCTCTGCCTCGACCCCCCAGCAGCAGGCACGGCCAGGTTGCCACCGCCACCGCCGCCGCCGCCGTCCCGCAGGCCCTCCGCAGACCTCTCGTGGACCGGCGTGCCGGGCAGCGTCTCGGCATATCCCGTCTCAGTGCCCACCGCCGCCGTAGTGGTTCCGGGGAACCCGTACACGTGTTGAAGGTGGTGGTGGTGACGCATGGTGGTGGTGGTGGCAGTGGCAGGGCCAGCCGGGGGCTGACGATGATGGTGCGGCTGCACGTGCTGCGACAGCCTCTTAGCCTGCCGCGCGTGCGCCATCTCGTACTTCCGGCGGTCCTCGTCGTTCATAAAGGCCGTGTCATCATCATCATCACCACCATCCTCGCTGCCGTCCCCCATGTTGTTGTCCTTCTCGCCGCCCGCCGGCTCGGGCTGAGGCTGCGGTGGTGGCGCTGGTGGTGCTGTTGCCACCATCTCGTGCGGTGACATGTACGCCGCCGAGGAATACGCAGACCGCAGCCCATTCACGTAAGACGAGGAGGAGCTCGGCCTGCCGTCGCCGCTGCTGCGGCGGTGGACGCCCTTGCCCTTCGCCACCGCGGCGGTGCTGTTCGACAGGGCGGAGCTCTCCAGGGACGACGACCCGCGCATCTCGATGTCCTCGGGCCTGTGCCTGGCCTTGAAGGCACGACCCCCACCGCTCGCAGGGGCTGCTGCTGCTGCTGCTGCTGCTGCTGCTGCCCTGCTGTTCCGCCCGGGCCTGCTGGCGTCCCCGGCCCCGGCCCCGCCGCCGCTGCCGGAGGAGACCTCGGTGGTGCTCCCGCCCGACTCCGCCCCGGGGTCCGGGTACCGATAGACCCCGCCCTCGGTCCTCAGCGGCGCGGCGAACAGGCCCTCCACCTGCGGCGGCGGCTGCAGCACGCTCCTCTGGCGCCCGAGGCCGTCGCCCCTCCGCGTTGACATCCTCCTGCGCCTCCTCTCCCCCGCCACGCGGGCCTCCTCCTCGTCGCCAACCTCGTGCGCCCGTTGTTGTTGTTGTTGCTGCTGTTGGTGCAGTTGTCGCTGCTCCACCGTGGCGGGGATGAACGTCTCGGGCTTGATGTTGAGGTCGTCGCCCGTCTGCTCGGCGTGCTCGATCGCCTCCTGCACCGTGGTGTTCTTGTCCGCCGCCGCGGCGTCGGCCCGCGGGCCCCCCCACGTGCGCTGGCCCGCCGTGAAGATGCCGTAGACCATGTAATACCAGTTGAAAAAGGGGTTGAGCACAAACATCATGGGGTAGAGCCAGATCTTATACCGGCGCAGCTTGGCGCCAAAGTAGATCATCATGAGCCAGTTGAGCCCGAGCGACACGGCGATGAAGCCCACCGGCAGGTCCGCGATGCTCTTCTCGGTCGACAGCAGCGCGAGCACCATGACGAAGAAGAGCAGCGCCGTGGTGCGGATCGTGTTCTGGCAGAAGCGGTACAGCACCAGCACGGGGTACCGCCGCCACAGGCGCCAGTCGGTCAGCATGCAGGCCTCGTTGGTGATGAACCCGAGGAACCAGCGCCGGCGCTGCTTGACCAGCGACGCGTACGTCTGCACCGCCTCGGTCTTGCAGAACGCCGACGTGCACATCTGGATCTGGTACCGGCGCTTGGCCCCGATCATGAACAGGTGCGTCAGGTACCTGTCCTCGCCCAGGTGGTCCTTGGCGAAGTCGAACAGGTCCTCGCACTGCTCCGCCTTGCCCGCAAAGTAGTACTTTGCCATGCGCCGGAACGCGCTGAACCGCAGCATCGTCAGCGCCCCCGGGAGGCACGTCACCGACCCGCACCCGGACTCGACCGACCGCTCAAACAGCTGCCCGTGGATGTACTCCATGTCCTGCAGCAGCGTGATGATGCTGTGCTTCTTGGTCGTCGACGTGATCACCCCCGTCATGGCGAGCATGTTGCGCTGGTTGCCCGGGCTGAACTCCATGTCGTAGAGGAAGTTCTGCAGGCACATCCGGTCCAGGATGCAGTCCGAGTCTATGAAGAGAATGAAGAGGTTGTCGTTCATCTTGAGGTAGTCGCTGTAGATCCTGTCGATGAGCTTGTAGGTCGCCTTTTGGCAGTTTCGCTTGCCCCCGTGTGGGAACCGCGACACTGTGATCCGGGCATCTTTGTAGGCGATGTCGATGCTCTTTGGGTAGCTCTCGAGAGTGAGGGGCACGCCGAGCCTCTCTATGGCGGTGAGGTACAGCTCGTCTTCTTGGTCACCGTCGAATGACAGAAAGACGTGGATACATGACGGCGGATAATCACAGTCGACCACGGAGTTGATGGCTGTTATGAGAACGTCGGGCTCCTCCTTGTAGCATGGCATTACTATGACCACCTTTGGGGCGGAGTCCTCGTCCAAAAGCTGCTTGATGCGCTTCGTCCGTCCCAGCTGATGAGTGACGAGCTGATACACGCAGAATAGCCACGGGATCGTCAGCAGGCCGGCAAAGGACCAGAAAGCGAACCCCAGGAGAAAATCAACCATCTTCTCCGGCCAATAGCTGACGATCTGGCTTGGCAGGGGCAAGGTCACAATCATGATGGGTAGGAAGATGGCCCTAAGGAACATTTGGTCAGCCATCTATGGGTAGATTTCTCAGGGGTCAGCACCAACCGCAGCAGCAAGAAAGCCACAGCAACGACCACAGCCAGGACATTCACGGTCCAGTGTTCAGACTTCCGGAAGACCTTCCAGAGACAGTACAAAAATGCACCGATCCACAGGAACCATTCCAGGAGCGCAGCCAGCATGACGACGCCCACTATCGAGGTGTACACGATCTGCAACCAGAGAGTCAGTCGTTGCCGGCCTCGATTACAGCTTGCCTCGGGAGGACAAGAGTTAAGTTTCATCCAACATGAAAGACTTACGTCCTTGACAGGCCATGATAAAGCCATTTTGAAATCTGTTTCGTAGCAACTCGACCGACCCGGATCCCAGTACGGATATCCTATGTCGAGTCCAAGCAGCGTTTCGGGCCCAGAAACAAGAGATTCAAGAGCAAGGTATGTGCCGAGGGGCTGGGGCCCAGCTAGGCGCGGAGGACAGTTTCTTCACTCATGCAGTGCCAGGCATGTCTCCTGGAAAAAAAAAGTCCTGGCGCCGAAACCTATGCCTGCCAGCTTGTCGGTATGACGCAGGGGTAAAAGATGCGTACACCGTCGGGTACTTGCAGCATTGGGTGATGGCTGCTCGTGTGGTTCGGGATGGGGTACTTCGTGTGATCTGTTCCTGGCCACCGTCGTTAGATTGCGCGACCGAAGAGACAAAATATTCCGCTTCCTGCTCCTCCAATGCGATATATCCAACGCCTCGGAGCTTCGGAAAATGAGGTGTTTCCAAGATGCGGATGGTTCGAAATTTCCCAGGCGGAATTCTTCAGTCCAGTGAGATTGAGAAAATCTCAAAAGACAAGAAAAAGGAAGTACAGGTCTGTACCCGTTCGGACAGACGCAGTCGGACGCCGAAGCCGTACCTCCGGACCCAGAACGCTCGCAGCTCGTATACAATCGCCCTCTGTCTTTCTCCCCCCTTCCTTTCTCTTTTTTTCCGCCACCAATAGGTAAAGTTGGTTCGGCAGGGTGAGCTACAGTACCTGCTTTTTGGCAGCAGATCTCCCGCCCCTCCAACGAATAGCTCCCTCTGTCGAATAGGGGACCAGGGCGATAGGATTGGAGGGCCAGCCGTTACCTGCCACCGCCACGCGCGTGTTGGTACAGCAGTGGCTTGGGGGAGGCGGGCCAACCTCGAGCAGAGGACCGAGACACGCAAGAGACAAGGTGCGTAGGTGCTGCTGAATATCTCTCAATTCGCCTCGATGCACTGCAGATCATGTACACCTGCGTGTTTCGGATAGAGCCGGTAGCCGAAATTCTTTGCATGTCAGTCGATTGGTCCTGTTTGTTTGTTTGATGGTAGGTTTGCTCACCGCGGTAAAAGTCAATACTTGAGTGGAGTACGTACTGTACACGGTCAATTGAGGTGTGGTGGTCCGACCTAGGATATGTCACGGGGCAACAAACACATCACCATCTGATTCTGAGGTTTTAAAGGAATCGAATGCGATGCGAGGTAGAGATTAGCACAGGCCCCAGAGACCAGCGACTTGCTTGGTGAGGTGGAACGAAAAGAGGGACAAGCACCAAATGGCGATCATCGTTGGCCCTGGGATAAAAAGCAGCAGTTAACCAAGGCCTGGGGGTGACTGAGGCCCAGCAGTCTAGGACAGCCATTCACCTGTCCTGATCATGACAGCCGACTTTGAATGATTCATAATGAAGGCTGGCAACACAGCTGGCGGGCAGCTAGGTGACTTCGTCTGTCGCCAACACACAGTGGTGATGGCAAATAACTTGAGATCAGGGAGGATGTCATTTTGCGAGGATGAGATCTGAAACCCATGGTATCTCCAGACCTTAAGAGGCTCTAAATGCAAATGGTGTCGAGCGGACGACCCTTTACGTTGCCAACATCGCGTGGTGAGAATTCAGGTTGGTGCAAGGAAAAGTGAGGATTGTCGTGGTGGAGGGAGGTGCTAGGTGGCTGACTGACCCCAGCTCACTTTTTGGGGCGTTCTTTACCTGGGTATTTAGGTAGGTAGCCCAACCCTACCAAGTCTCCCATGCAGTTCATGGGCAGATTTCACCACTGACCAACCATGAGCTTTCAGGCAGCGTAACCCCAAACGCATGAACCCATCTGAACTTGAAGGGTGTGGCAAGACGGCTGGGCATAAGGGACTGGCATGGAGGCCCAGGCTTTTTAACATACAACCATGCTGCATCTTCTCGAACCTAAGAATATGGCACTTTGTGGTGGCCCTTGGGTAGGGTTTACACCATAGCAGAAAGCAGACCAGCATCATGCTTTGAATGGTTTTACGAGCATATATATCATACAGACACATAGATCTCACTTGCCCCAAAGCATTGGCCACAGTCGAATTTCAAGACACCAAAAAAGATTGACTACTCTCCCACTACCACCTCAAACTAATTTCTCTGAGCAAAGGCCAGTGTGTGTGTGTAGCAAAGCCCCTCCATCCGCTCCTTGGACTCCTTCGCACTACAGTGGTGTAGACGACGAGCATCAGAAAGGGTACCAGCCAACTCTCACCCCTCCTCTCCTCAATGAGTGTCGAGCACTGATTGCGATCTGATAATCCCAAAGTGTGCTGCTGCCTGTAGCTCTCCAAGACCAATACCTGCAGACAAGGTGTTCGGGTCGACGGTACGTTGTCTTTCGCCTCCCAAGAGCGGCCCAGGTGTCAACACCCACGTGGGGGTCCTTGTCATGCGCTCTTCCCCGCGGTCTCGCATACACGGCACCGCTCTCTCTCCGCTCACCCAGCTTGCTCTCGGCTATCATCTCAAACTTTGCACCAACTGCAAGCTTTGACACAGCAACAGGAAGTCTCCTTTCTTGCACATGTACCGACTCAAGGTGGACTGGCATGATCTGTTAGGCGTGAGGTGGCAGTCTTGGAAGGACGAACGCCTCCCTCGAACTGCCGACCTTGCCAACGTATGGGATGGAGGCCTGAATGGAGCCATCCGAGCTGATGGTGGCATGGGGCACACAATCGCTGGTGAAGGCCTTGGTGTTTTCAAATCAAAAGAGTTATTTGCCAAGCCGGCTCGAATTTCGCGTTATCAAGTCCTGTAAGAGATGCCGTGTCACGGCTTTGTCAGTTAACTGATCGCTGGGGGAGTAAAAGGGTTGATGGATTTGGCGACAGGGAGCCTCATCTCATCCGAAATGTCTGTTTGAGCCGAGGGCAACGAGAAGGCCGAGAATGCGGAATTGCCACAGCGAAGTTATCCATGGTATCATGGGTTTCGGCAATCGCATTCGCGAGCCCCAGATCGGACTTTGATATGCGCACCCGCCGTCGCCGTCTCTCGACGTGCCCCGGGACACCGTCGAGCTGTTCCACACATGCGAGATTTTCATACCACTCAAAGTCCTCGAATTGGAGTTTCTTAACTCTCTGTCCTGGGTTCTTGTTGTTGGCCTTGTCGTAGCGGTGGTTGTGGTGGTGGGTGATTGGCCTGCTGTCGGAACCTGTGGAGCAGATCGTTAGTACCTTCCCTCGCTAGGCAGCTGTCAAAGAGACTCACCCTCTTCACCATCATTCTCACGAAGGTCATAGTTGAGCACAAGATTCTTGATGCGCTGCTGTTCCTCTCGCTCCGCCTGTTGCTGGCTTCTCATAGCAACCGCAAAGTGGGAGTCTGTGGGCAGCTCCAGGGTTCGAGTCTGGGTGCCATTAGCTCCAGTTCTCGTATCGAGGTGGGGAAACTGACCTGTTGCTTGTTTCCCTTCTTGGTGAGTACTGAGAAGGCCATTTTGGGAGCCGGCATCGGGGCCTCGGAGTCACCATCGCCTTGATCGTTGGTGGTGGTGGCCTCGCGCGGTCTCGATCGGACTGGAAGTGCGACGTCAAACACAGGGCGTCGGTCAAGCTTCCGAGATTCCAGACTCTCGGACATCATCTTGGCGTACTCCCGCTCGAAGTCGGCGTCCTCTTCGGGGTCGATCTGTTCTTCCTGCCGAGTAACGATGATAGCCTCGTCGACAGATTCATCAGTTGTTGTCCGCCGATCCTCGTCCTGCTACGTGGGATAATGGTTAGTGAATGTCTGAATTATTACGGCGGGAAACCAACGTACGTCATCGTCATCATCCTCCTCTTCATCGTCAGACGCCGCAACCTCCTCGTCGTCCAACTCAGCATCATCATCGTCATCCACATCTGCCATCTCGTCTTCAGTCGACGAGCCGCTAGCGTCGTCGTCTTGGTCTTGAAGCTCTGGTCCATCAAGTCCGGCGGCTTTCCGATCTTGTGCAAGCACCAGCTGGAATGCCTTGCTGGCCTCCTCCAAGTTGGAGGCCAGCTTCCACTGCGGCCTGGTGCCAGTGTAGATGTCATGGACTAAGAATTCTATGTCCATGGGCAGGGGGTTTTTGGTGAAGATGTAATACTGGATGAAGTTTAGTCAAGTGCTTGCCGCATCGGGTGAGGGAGACTTACTTGAAGGAACGAGAGGAAGTAGTCGAGCTTCTTGCCTGCTGGGCCCTTGTTGAAGTACATGCCAGAAGCCTCGAGGATGAAGTAAATGAGGCGGATGCGGAAAAAGTCATCCGGCATATCGAATGGATTCAACCGCCCAGGAACTGGTGGACCGCCGTGGCCAAATGTCATGATCTTGTACATGACATCAAAAACAACGGCGTGCTCGACCAGGCGGTAGTTGTAGATCTCAGCCAGGTACTTGACCTCCGCAATGCGCCGCTGGTTGTTCTTGAAGTCATTTTGCTCCAGACCAGCATTGATAGACTCGACGACATTGTCCACCACCTTCACGACAAACTCTATACGGTATCTGTAAAGGTGCGCTAGCAGAGAGGCGAGCAGGTGGATTGCGCCATACTTGACCTTCCCAGGCTTGGAACAAACCTTTTCGAGCGCCTCTCGGACCTGCGTGGATATGTCAGTGCAACTCTCATCCCACAACTCATAGTACCTGACACTTACTTCTGCTTCCTCCCAGTGCATCCTACGAATCTGTCTCACAATCTTATCGAGGGTCCGCTTCGACAGGTCCACGTAGATGAGCTTTCTGACAAAAAGCTCAAGCGGAGTTCGTTCCTTCTGCTGGATGGCAGGTCTCTCGGGCGGGTCGACATAGTAAATGGCATTCTCAATCAGCATCCGCTCATTGGGTCCGATGTGCTGCACGGATTTTTTGCGCTGCAGGGTCTCCAAGAAGGAGGTCATGCGAGGCGAGGTTTCCGGATTGCGCAGAAGGTATCGACCGCAATTCTCAAGGAGGTCGCAGATGATCTGGATGTTCATCTTGGAAAAGTCGTCCAGACAAACCTTGAGACAGTGGAAGACGGTGTGCTCGGGGACAATGCCAAACTTGGTCAACTCAGCCAGGTACCTGATGTTGCCAATGCGGACCTGAGCCAAGAACTCCTTGCTCTTGCGGGCCTGTAGACTGCGGAATTCCGCATCCAAGTAATCGATGACGCCCTTGGGGACATCCGGCATGTAGCGACCCAAAGTTGCAATGAGCCTGGCCCAACATGGGAGAAGATCACCGCGATTCTTGGGAACGTCCGTAAGAGCCTTGACCAATCGGTTCCGCGAAGCCTTGGAGTTGAGGAAACAGAAGTCGATAGCAGTCTGATCGATTGTCTCCTTGGTCGTGAGGTCGGGCAGGCGGAGGATGATGGCATCAACCTGAGCTCCGATGGTCTTGTTGGCGATAGCAGTCGTCTGGTCGTCCAAAGAAGTATCGGTTGCCTTCGCGGCATCACCATTCTCAGCAGACTCAATCTTCTTGCCCACCTGGTCGTCGCCCTCGGGCTTCTTCTTCTTGGCGTCTTCGAGAAGGATACCAGGGACCTTGCCTTTAAGATCCGCCAGATTTTCGTAAAAGCGTCGCTCGTCCTCGTCCTGCCAGATACCAGCTCCGTCTCCCTGCCCACGAAGGTACTCGCCCGCCTTCACGATACCGATGCCTCCATTAGCCAGTGAGTTCGAGGCCTCGTGGTCTTTCAGATCCGGCATTTCTAGCCCCAGGGTGTCGGCGAGAATCTGAGCGTTGGCGACCAATCGTTCCTGAGCTTTGAGTTGCTTGTCGAAATTGGCCTGCCGGTCTTCAAAGACCTCTCCGGACTTGACGTATGCCTCGGCGTTCTTCCGCGATTGGGAAAAGATGGCCTTCTGGTCTCGGAGGAGGTGAGCCTTCACGTCTTCGAAGTAGCGCTTGAGGATGTTCTTGAAGCGCTCCTGGAGTTCAGGTGAAACCAGAGGGGGGTCATCGCTTGACACGTCGCCGTCCTCGTTGTCGCCAGAGCCCTCGGATGGCTTGCCCACGCCTTCGTCATCTGCAGACCTGCGCCCTTCGGTTCCAGCTGTCTTTCTGACACCCAATATATCCCAGGTGAAAGTCTTGACAAAGGTGACGAGCAGAGGCAGGTTTGCATGATCACGGTCATGGCCCAACAGGTCCTTCAGCACCTCGAGTGGGAAGGGCTCCGCACCACCGCCCTTGGTGCTGCGGGCCTTCAGTTCTGGGACCTTGCCAGAAGCAGCCTTGACAGAGTCGTCGGGAATAACATCGTCCAGGGTCCTCAGAACGCCAACGAGCCAGAGCTCCGTGATGACACGAAGCAGGGCCTTCTGACGAAGGGGCCGCTGCTTCTCCTCCTTCTCACGCACATCGGGAGGCAGGCTCTTCAGGTAGCTCTTGTCAAGGGTGGCGATGCCCCGGCCCAGCTGCCACGCAAGCTGCTGGGTAAACTCATCGGGCCCAAAGCGCTGGTGCAGGGCACTGACGATCTCGACGCCGGCCTCGACGTCACCACCTGTGGCCTTCAACTTGGTAAGCCCTTCGTAGCAGGCAGAAATTATCTCGGACAGGTATCGGTGCAGGCTCAGGGTTCGAATTTCTTGGATAAAGGTGGGCAGGGTGGCGGCCGTAACGGCAGTGCGCAGTCGCTTGATGTAGGCGGTGTGCTTTGCCAACTTCGAGTCGAGGGGCTTGTTGACCTCGAACAGATCTGACAATATGCCTCGTCAGCGTCGTGGGGAGCCGGGGTGCGGAGTCATGGGCTACTCACCAGTTTCGCCGGCCCACGCGCGCTCGTTCAAAGAACGCAATTCACCTGTGGTAGAGCATGTCAGACTCGAGACTGGGGGCAGATGTATGATGGTCGGCGTCGGCTCTCCCGGGGACTCACGTTTTCTAGCGCGATCCATCTTGAACAGGATGGATCGCGACGCAGTTGATTTTGAAAGTAGAACCAAAGACTATTGTGGCTACATTCGTAAATGTTGTGCGGGCCGGTCTAACTAAGGGTTAGACAGCCCGGAGCGTTGGAAGCGACAGTCGGCGTCAACTTCGGTAGGCATCGGGGAGGCAAAGGCGACCAAGAGGGCCTTGTGACAAAGGCACCCTCTGGCTGATGTGCGATGGGCTACGTCGCTGTGCTGGGAGAGTCTCGTGGCTGATGTAATGAGGGAAGGGAGGGTTTAGCGACGGCAAGCCAAGCTCTGGTCGGGCTGCTGTGGTCTCGTGGTCGGCCGGTCGTCGAACGAGGGGTTGTGGTGGTGGTGTTGGGGGTCGTGTCGGCGGCAGTTACGGTGGTCGGATTCATTGAAGTTCGGGTCCCAAGGATGGCAGTCGTCGATCACGACTGATTGCACTGCACTGCAGGAGTGGAACCTTGTAGGTGGAAGGAACATTTGATGCAGCCCAGTCAAAGCGGCCCTCGGCCATCCTGGTTGGGCGAGCCAGCTTTGGTGGGGCCTCACCATGTCGGATAAACTTGGTGAATTGCAAGGTGCGCTAGGCCGTCTGGTGCGGGGCATCAAGCATACCTGTCAAGCCTGTCTGTACATGTACCTAGGTAACTAACACCTCTAGCAACACCTGGACACTCTTGAACCAGTGGCATGTGCAATGCTAGATTCAAGTCCTCAAACGGAGCACGGGGCAAGGGTGGGCTGAACTCTAACTGAGGTCTACCTGCACCTCGGATATAATTGTCACACGTTCAAGGTGACGAGAGAACATAGTTGTTTATCAAGTCCGCTGCACTGGTAGACTGGCTGATCAGCACACACCACAAGGCGGAAGGGAGGCAATTTTGAATTTTTTTTGTAATAGGATTAAAACTGGCAGGAGAATTCATCTTCCGAAAATTCATGTGCACCTGGCACTTGCAAAAAAATGGCGGGAGTATCTGCTCTCATTCACAGCGGTTGCCCACATCCAACATCTCACCTCATGGTCACCTGCTTGAATCATCCGCTCTATGAATTGGGCCCTCTTCGTGACTTACACACTGGATCACATCAAACTTACCACTGAGCTGGTCTTGAATGAAAAAGTCAGAGGATTGTCGTTCTTGGCTGGACCAAGATCGATGCAGCCCACTTGGTTTGGAGCGCAGCTCATGTCTATGAATGCTACTTACTTAAGTACATTACTTTTCCCCCTTCATCTCAAACACGAATCAAAACCGCTGTGGTTTCCACAATTGACCACAATCCTTTCCTTAAAAGCAACAGAATGGGCTGCTAGGTAAAGGTATGATGCAGGCTATGAAGGAGAAAGTTCGGTATTGGGACAGACATCAGTAGCTCAGTTTCCATGCCTAGAGTACGTTATGGGGTTCCCGGGCACCCCTAGTACCCGGATTGATGAATGAGCTTTCTCGCGTTTGCTGATATTATTAGTGATTGTGATGTTTGATTGGTAAATCTAAGTACTAGGGGTGCCCGGGAACCCCATAACGTACTCTTTATCATAGGATAGGGTTTTCAGCATGACGTCCTCTTCGGATCAACTATCCATAAGAGGCGTGTCAAACACGGTATTGTAATAATGTCATAACGCTTCGGGAAGTGTGAGCAGTGGATAGAGCGACGTTGTCTTGAAGATCGGTATTGTACCTAGGTAAAAGAACTTTGCAGAATGACACAGTTCCGGGCTCTATGATGCAATCGAGCACTCCTACCACGTTCCAATGAATAGCTAGACCAAAGATATATACTCATATCCTCCCCATAACTCCGTTAACAAATAAGAACAGCACGCTCAATGCCCCCACCACGCCCAGGGCAATGGGATATACCTTGGGATGATCCGCAACGTCAGGTATTTTGACTGAGAAGATGGCAGTCACCGTGAATAACGGCATAAATAATATCCATAGTTTGGAAAGCATTGACACGCTCCGGGCCGCTGTGTGGATTTGTCGAGAATCCTTGATTGCTTTCATGCCAAACATGATCACTGACAACTCGCTGAAGTCTTCGAGAAGCCGATCAATTTCATCTAGAAAGGGCCCGTGTGAACCAATTGGGTGCGACTCGAGAGCAAACTTTGGCCAATGCATATCATCGTAAAGTCGTACGAACCGATAGTAGATTTTTTGAGGAAGTTTCACCCCGCGAGGCATGGGCCCGCTGCAAGGTGAGAGTACCTCGAGATCCCATCTGTCATTTAACACAATGGGATAACCTTCCAGGCATTCCAGGTCAGGAGTACCAAACTCGAGGTTGATAATAACCTTGAGCAACCTCTCATGGGCACGAAAGAGCAATTTCAGGTCCTCGAGTACTTGCTGCTGCGTCTGTTTCATTCTGGTCAGGTCGGAGTGGTCCCAAAATCTCCTGGGTTTGTCTTTGGCGCTTAATACACCTGAAAACTAGGCTCATTTTTCCGGAATTAGTATATGTAGTCATACGGAAGCTCATGGGTGCAGCTTACGATGAGATCTCGGATGCGGTTCGACTCAAGAAGGATAGAGCTGCCCACTGAATAGTTGTTGATGAGACAGTGGAATATGGTTGCAGCGACGTCTGCAGCCCAATAGTCTTTGGCATTACTCGTGCCAGTCTTTCCAAGTATGGGTGTTCTGTCTCGCTCCAAGTCTCTGATGTTCAAGGGAGAAGGATAATGAGAATTAGGACGCGTTGCGCCGACTTGGGAGAGCTGCCCCAACGTGGCCTGGATATGCTGACGCATATTTCGAAGGTGCTGAAGTTTGAGATCGGTCATTCTGTCCCTTGTGATATTTTCTGGGACTTGTTTATCAACCGATGCTTCCTGGATGGAGATGACGGTGTCTAAAATCCAATCAGTGGCTGCCTTCTAAGTTTTCTTCTTTGTCCCTACAAAGTGATGGTAAAACTCACAATCGTCCGTTACAATATACCAGGCCCAGCTCTTCGGCTGCCTAGAGTAATTCGTATATTCAGGTAGGCTCAGGTTGTCAGAGGTGCCATGGAAGGATCCCGTAGAATGTGACTCGCTTGGGCCTTTATACAACCAGTAAGCCCCAACGCATAAATCTGACTTCGAATTAGCCGATGCTGTTTAAGTAATAAGGTTAGCAGCTTACAATTAGAACTATGATATATGGCTGTGTGCTTGTTCCTAGGCTGCAAGAGCTTGACCATAAAGTTGCCGTTCTCGTCAACTACCATTTCAATTAATTTAGAATGCGCAGATGTGTTTTGTGCGGTTCAAACCCTCGCCATATATTGGAGGTCGTTGGCTCAGAAGGGGACTGCTGTGTGGAGGGATTGGTCTGCGAACAAACAGCCCTTCATGCTCATGTATCTAACCTTCAGCGGGAAATCCCATCTTCCTCAACGACTCCTTGTCCAAGTCGTCGCGAGCGAATAAAGCCCCCAAGAACTCATTGGTCAAGTCGTCGCGAGCGAATATAGCACGCTCCAGTTCCTCCAAGAAATTGTAGTGCTCGGAGACTTTTCGTATTGCATTGTAGCAAGCTTCCACTGTCCAAAAATGGCTAGCATCTTTGTCAGTGTGAGAATATCCAATAACTTGGCTGAGCTCTGGTCCTCACATCCAAGTGACTGCTATCGAACCCAAACCATCGTTGGATTTTAGATCCAGCAACGCGGCTATATCTTGGTCCCTGAGGCTGGTAGCGATGTGTGCGCCATGAAGACTAATGCGGATGACGAAATTCGTTGTTTTGTTTTCCACAGCTCGGTTCATGTAGTCATCGTAAACGTCAGTTTCATCGAAATTGTGAAACTGATCGACCAGTTCAGACAAGGTTTCAGAGTAAGATGTTGGTTGAAATCGTTCTCCAGAATTGCGCTCCCTGCTTCTCGAGGCTTCGAAAAAGGCCATCTCGGTCGCAAAGGTCCTTTCGGGGAGAATAATTACAATTCAAGACGACGCACGGGTCGGAGTCTATCGAAGGATAATGTCCAAGCAAAAGTCGAGACCTGTATTATGCAGAGACGGATTGCTATCAAGGCAATTTCCCTGGACCACGTCAGCTTACTCAAGGCTTGGTAAATGAGGTATTACATAGCCAAGGACCACCTGCTGCACGTTTGCGGAGCCTGTTGTTCAATCATTGTGTCGTTCCTATGCTGTCCTACCACTCATTGCATCGCGCTTTCTGGAAGTAGATTAGAGCTAATACATGGATGAGGATCATTGGTTTGCAAGCTGACCGTTCAAGACTGACCAGCCGCGGTTGCATGCTCTAATTTAAGATGATCTGCAGGATCGAGGTAAATATAAATACGCGCTGGTAAGCTAAGCGCTGCGGTCTGCAAGTGCCCAGGTGGGCAACGCCGCGTGCACACATGTCACGCACGGATTGACTGACATTCCCAGGTAGTTCCAGAGTTCTAGCAACTTGAACAGCACCCTCCATTCCATGACCGCGAACATTTCTGCACTCTAAGTGAAATCTTAAGAAAAGAATACTTAAACATCCAGCCTTACAGCCCGAAATCGAATGACATCGACATACACTCAATCAACTCAGCATGAGTGAAGCGATCGCAGCTTTGGGTTTGGCGGCCAATGTGCTGCAAGTGTTGGACTATGGTCGACAATTTGTGGTTGCTGCATGGATCATTCACGATTCACGTGGTGACGATCTGGAAAATGTCTCAAGCCTGAAGACTGTTTCCCAGAATTTGAGCAATGTAATCAAACAACTGAAACCCACTCCGCGCCATCGAGAATCCGAGTTAGACAAGGAGATGTCCAGCCTTGTGGCAGAGGGACACGATCTGTCCATGCAAATCCTCGCGCTGTTGAAGAAAGCCGGGTTCCAGGACGACGGAAAACGCACTAAGATGGGGACGATCAAAGCTGCATTCTTTAACGTATTCAAAAGCGAACAGCTTCGATCCATGGAATCCAGGTTGGATCGCATCCAGAGCCGCTTGACTCTCACTCTGGTTGCGTCTTTCAGGTAGGAATTTCCTAGATGCCCTGACTCACTCGCTTTTAGCTCCAGTGGCAGATTTGAGTCCTTACATATGTAGCTAATCGTGCAGGGAATATACGATGTCTTCACTTGAGGAACAACGCCATCTCTTGCGATTGCTGTCTGCAGACGCGAGCGAACTACTGGAAGAAAGGTCTGAAGAAATGCCGACCGATGCAAGCACTGTGGCAATGGGGACCAAAGCTGTCAAGTATCTATCTAACAAGGCCGCCTCATCCCCAACATTGATGAAAACCGTCATGATGGACATGGTCAACGTCATATTCGACAACGACGAGTTGGTTGCAGATCATCGTGCGAGGAGAGCGTCTAAATTTGAGCTCAGCAACCAGAAGCTGAGGGTTCTCCACGAGAAATTCCTCACTAAGCTCCAGTACGATGGTATCTACCATCGGGAAGATACGGTTCCTGTTGCGCACCAGAAAACATTTCATTGGATTTTTGAGAGAGCAGAAGACCAAACGCTTCCATGGGCAGACTTCTGTCGATTTCTGGAATCCGAAGAGCACCAGCAATATTGGATCACTGGGAAGCCTGGGGCAGGAAAATCGACCCTAATGAAATTCATCACACAACCAGTTTCGGATCCATCATCGGCATCTCATAAAGCTATCGAAAATGGTATTATTAACCTTCGGTGCACAGAATATTTGAAAACATGGGCAGGTGACCGTCCCCTGTCTGTTGCATGCTTCTACTTCTGGGCAGCAGGTTCAGATATCCAGACTTCAAAGGAGGGCTTGTTTCGAACGCTTCTGCACCAGCTTCTCTCGGCTAACAAGGAGATCATCTCGGAGATCTCGCCGGACCGGTGGGAATCACTTTGTATTTTCGACAGTGATCCTAAACCGATACTTGAAACCGAGTTACGAACTCTCATGTCTCGCACCGTTCAACGGCTATGTTCCACTAGTAAAGTTTGCCTCTTTCTAGACGGTCTGGACGAGTTTACAGGAAGCCACGAAGACCTGGTCAATTACTTTCAAAGTCTCTTGTGCTACGACTCTCTCAAGATATGCTTCGCCAGTCGCCCGTGGGTAGTCTTTGAGGAAGCATTCAAAGAGCAGCCCCACCTGATGCTCCAGCATCTAACGCGCAATGATCGAAAAGCCTATGTTACATCCCATTTTCAGGATAACAATGGATTTAGACGGCTTCAGGGGCTAGAGCCTATGTTTGCTAATAGCCTCTTGGAGACAATCGTGGAGAAGTCCCAGGGCGTATTTCTGTGGGTCAGCCTGGTTGTTGATTCGTTGCTTGATGGTATGCGAGATGCCGATCGTGTTAGCGACTTACAGAAGAGATTAGATGAGACACCACGGGATCTTGAAGAGCTCTTCCAAAGGATGCTGGAAGACCTAGGTCCCAAGCACGTGGCACACATCGCGCAATATTTTCAGATCATGGCGGCATGTCCTCGGCCCCTCCCTGCTATCCTTCTGTTCTTTGCAGACGAGGAAGAGGATGACTTTTCCATCAAACTTCCGGTACAACGTTACGACTGGTCGGAGTTCAATGCCCGTGTTGACGAGATGCGTGTACGACTGAATAGCTGTGGCAAGGGCCTCTTGGAGCTGAACGAATCACAAGACGACAAAGCAACCACATATGACAAGAAACGGGTGACGACTGTCACTTATTTGCATCGAACATTGAAGGATTTCCTTGAGCAGCCAGGTCCACGAGAAACAATCTCAAAGGTGACCAGTCCCTCTTTTGATGCTCGTTTTAGGCTGAGCTCAGGTTACTTGGCTCTTTACAAGACTTGTCATCATCATATTCCCGGGCAAAGATTAAGTGACGCTTCATGCGCGGCAGTGCTACATTGTTTAGGGCAAATGTCCTCCTCGTCCACCGAGGCTGGATCGCGGATGCTTCCGATCTTGGAGAACTTTGAACGGATACTGAGTTCTCGCCTTGAATCGTATGCCAATATTGGTGTACTCCTTCGCCAACTTACAAAGGTTCTCGAGAGTGAGGGGGCACAAGTTCCTCCAACATCACTGATACCGACTCGATTCAGAAACACCACCAGCAGTACGTTTCCCAGCATAGCCGCCTTCCTCACCGCTGCCATATACTGCCAGGCTACGCCGTATATCATGACGAAAGTGAAGAGTGGCTTCGATGTAGGCTTCGCCGATTCGACCCCTCTTTCCTCAAAAGCCATCAGCATTCCATCCCAGGCGAAAAAAGAGTCCAGTATTTCTCGAGCTCTGGGATCCATGCTCGGTAACAGTTCAAGCAAGAAGAAAGAGCAAGCACAGCTGGACCAAGTCCCATCGATCGAAGATTGGCTTCTCTACAATGTCATCATGTTCGCAACGACTGGAGTCTCGGTATCAATCCCTCTGATCGAAAGCTTGTTGAACAGGGGAGCCCGACCAGATTTCAGCTTTCAGATATGTCCGGCTGGGATCGAGCGCGATTGCAGTACTTGGCAGCTAGTCCTGGCAGAATCAGTGAACGTATTTGCAGGCAATTATACAGGCTTGACACCCTTCAAATTCTGGGAAGAGGTTATTACCATCATGCTTGCGTGGAATGTATCTCTGGATAAGAGGACTGTGGCCGGCTCACTGGACGTTCTGAGGGAGCACAGGAAGCTAGAGCCCCGGGAACTGGACAGGAAGCAGATGACTGAACAAGTCTTGAAGGCTCTTAGGACCATGCGTAAAGGACACGATTCTATCGCTTCTATAGGTTACACGCTGAGGAGAGTATGAACACGAGGCAGTCTCGATTGATGGGCAAACATCTCGCCACATGGTTTACAAATCACCCATGGGTCTTAGAGAATATCTCACGTCATAGAAAATTTCATTCTTTCTGACAATATGAACAACCTTGCCTTACACCTCAATGGAACTTGAAATTGAATAGTAAACCAGTAACACTCTGCTAATCTGAGCAATGAATGCCAGCAAATTACGGCGGTGAATATTCTACTGGTCATAAAGCTCGAAGTATCTGAATATTGGTCTAGTAAGAAAGGAATTGGGGTCTTGTAATAAAATAGTATTCTTATAAGTCCGAATACTGATTTGAGAACGAATGCCCAGGCTGTAGAAGTGGCCGTGTAATTTGCAATGGTCTTACCAACTCTGGTGCTCTGACGCTCCAAGCGTCATGCTACAAAGACCCTCTGCCAAGTACTTTTACAACGCCAGACAATGTTGGCTGCAACAACAGACCCAAACTGACCTTTCTTGACGCACTTTGGTCATGGTACGAGTCCCTTTCTCCTGCTCTCGTCTTGGCTTAGGCTATTTAGCCCCACACTCGCACCGCATACTCGTGCAAAGGTACTTAAGTACAGTGCGTGAGCGGCTTTAATAGGAGACGGGCGTACCTTCGTCAACTATTAGAAATTGTCTTGAGCACACTCTCGGCAGATGCAGCGAATGTATTCAACTCAATATCCTGCAAAGAACTTTATGCAGATTACACGCCGGTGCTAGACAGCTAGGTCACCTAACCGATAGGCAGCCTGCAAACGACTTTTCAAACGCGCCAGGGTGCAAGGAAAGGTAGAAGCGGGAGTCTTCATGAGGCGCACCTGCGGCACAGCAAACCTTAAAGCATGCATGCGGCTGGATTTTCCTCGGGGTAACTCGGTATCGGCAAAATTTCTTCCAATCGTCCACTGGGCAAGTTGTCCCTGTTGGTTGTTGGTCTGGTGGATACTGGGTGTTGGTTCCTGTGGCGCCGTTACGGCCCAGGCCTACCGTGTTCGTATCTACGATCCACCACTCTGATGAACAGTCTTCCGCACAATCCTGCATGCACACTGTTCTTCATCGCACGAGGCTCGGGCTTTTTCGCCAAGTTTATTGACCTGTGAGTCTGGAGCCTCCGGGCATGGAGTACTATTTTGGGTGAAGAGCGAAACCAATGTTTCTTTTTGCTTTGAAAAATCCCAGTCTTGGTGCGGAAATCGCTTCTGATGGTCCGCAACCTATTAGGTCTATCTAATGCTTAGAAATAATGACTAAATTACACGAAATGGCTTTGCACATAGGTCTCATCTGCATGTTGCTCCCACTCCACCCTGACAGTTGCAGTAACCTTAATTCCACTGGTCAAATCCACGTTCGGCTTGAGTGGGGTTCCTGCTCTGGAAGGATTCTCACCAAATCCTTCAGATGTCCCATCATGCGAGTGTTGTCCACGGGAATGAGTAATTGTAGCACAACTCCCTCTTATAGAGCTCGCAGCGCCCAATGGCGCGAATCGAGGTCCTTGAGAGGACTTTTCAAGACCTTGATAAACTGATACATTGGGAGACATTCGACGCCGGATCGGGCCAGACTTCCCCAAGTCGGAATCATAAGATCCACTGCTTGCCTTCGTATGCGATCTGTGCGTAACAAAGCGATCCCAAAGCGGCTTGTAAGTTGGAACGGATCCGCTGATGACTATTACTGAGAGCTCGAGTGATACACATATGTATAATGTATATGTTCCCTGTGGACGAGACAAGTCAGCTCCCTGCTCATCACAATTTCTCTGGGGAGGGAAGTTCGGACATCATGGGAACGTGGCACACGAACCCATGTGAAGTCTGATCGATTCTTGATCAATTCTAGCTCCTTGGCTTTGACGGCTGTCACAATAGCGCCAAACACACCGGAACCCAGCAAAGCAATAATACCAAGCCGCTTTCGCAAAGACAGCTGGAGTTTCCAGATGAGACTGATAGGCATTGTGGCCAAAATCATATCAAAGGCACAACCCCAAGCGGCTCCAAAAATACCGTAATTTGCGTTGACTGCTGGGTCCCAACACTTGGCTGTGGGCCTCAACGCCGGATCCCATAAAGCTGCAACGGGGTCACATTGGGTGAAGTTGAATATGGAGGTAGTAACGGATTGGACGAAAGTGATCACGATGAGGACCCAGAGAAAGCGCTGCCGCCATTTGCCTGTATTGGGCAGGAAGCGCATGATCAAAAATGCAACAGAAATTTTCCCTGTCCCGCTGGCCATGATGCCGAAAGACTGCGTGATCTGGTGAAGCTTGAATACGAAGACTGCATGCGAGGCTGGCTGAATGTACGCAAGATGGCGTGTCCCGCCATTCACGCCGATGAGAATGACCAAGATGGTGCCGCCAAGGTAAATCAACTAGATCTGTGTCAGCCTCGGCCACTTGTGCGCAAATACCGGACAATATTACCAAGGTGAGGAGCATGACCCAGTCATCCCATCCATATTTCCATCGTGTTTTCAACATCGACCTTGCCCAAAAGCGCAGGGCAACCGCGATGATTCCGATGGCGCATTGGATGGTCCATGCTGCAATGTAGGAGGTCCTCCGATCAATATCAGGCGGAGACAGCTCGTCTCGGCGGGGCAAGCTGGTCTGGATTAACATGTCGACCTTGGGCGACTTGTTAAGAGTCAGCTGGCGCAGATGTATGATTTTCAATAGAAATATCTAAAACAAGCGGGCGAGGGACCAAACCCATAGGCTGCGCACAATTGAAATATTGCTGAAGCCTCAACATCTCATTTGGATTCCTTCTAATTGATTTCATCCTGAATCCTGTTTTTCTTTTCTGGAAAATGCCTGCTCCGCGCTGACAGCCTCCCAGGGGCTAGTATGCCACAGTATCATATCATCAGTGGTCGGAAAAAGGACCGGGCTTCGAGGCAGGAGGTCCGATTGGATGATCACTGACTTCGCCCGAAGGATTCAGTTGGAATGAGTGGAGTAAGACCGGTTGGAACTAGACTTGATGCTCAGGTGATCTCTACGACGGGAGCCACTTTCAAACGGCACAGCAGCTGTTGGTTTGCAAGCAGCCCCACCGGCCGAGACGAAAATGGAACATGAATTGGTAATGCTCGATCCTCCTTCAAGCGACCAGTACATACCTAGGTACTGATGAATTGATTGCTTCGCTGGAATGAAGGGCGCATACGATTCTTTTCAGGCTCTTTAATGAACTAGAACACCTGGGCACCCATCACTCTGTATGGACGAGAAGTTTGGAGGGTGCAATTACCGGAATGGCGAGGAAAAGCGTTGTGAACTCGGCTGTTGGCTCCGCAAGCAAAATGACCAAGTGGATCGTGGGACTTTGTTGGATCTGAAATTGCTACTCTACTAGCCTCAAGGTTTGCGTTGGTTCAGAGGTATTGTTGGTTCTAACACTGCTGCTACCCTCAAGGGTCGAGAGGTGTCGTTGGGAGTGGACCCAGCTTCCAATATTAGCGAGTGGGTGGGTAGAGAGCCACAGCGGTGCTCTCTTCAGAACAGGGTCATGGAAGGGGACTCGGGGTAATGGCATTACCGCGCGCTGGTTCAGGGTTCAAGACATCGCGTGGACTGGAGACGCCCGTGTATATATTTCCCTTGGCGCCGTTGACCAGGTAAGAGATTGTGCGGACTGGTCTTATGCTGTAACATCTTGCAAGGACTCTTGGCTAGCATTCCAACATTGAAACTTGTCTGATTCATCATGGTCCAAATCAATACCGAAGAAGCCTTGAGCTTGGCTGCCAGGATTGAAGCCATAACGTCTAACCCAGAGAGCATTCTTGGTTTGCAGGATGACTTGCTTCGTCAAAGACTTCGTGAGGCTGGGCGAAGGCTCAGCCATGCCATGGAGATACCTGTGGACACTGCCCGTAGGCTGCAAAATACTGTGAGTCCTCGGGAAGCTAGAGCACTTGAGTTCACCTCCTTTATTATCAGCAGTCAGGTCGCATGGCTGCCCGGCTTTCATTTGGCTAATACTCGCCAAGCCTCTTGAGCTTACGGCTGCATACATTGGTGTAGAGAAGGGGATTTTCAGCGCTCTGGCAACTCAGTCTGGCACGATGGGCATTTCAGAGTTGTCGGAGAAGACTCACATTGACCCTGTTCTTCTGAGTAAGTACGATCTTTAAGAGTACCATTGGTCCATTTTCATGGCGACTGACGGTCTCGTTAGGACGACTCTTGCGCTTCTACCAGGCACATGACTTGATTTCACAACCCGGAGATGATGCCTACGGTGCAAACAACATCACGAAGGGCATGACCACACTCTGCTGCTCAGCCGGTGTGGAGTATTTGTACGTGCTCGTTGCTCTGTGTCATTAGTACCCGGCACTTGCTCTTGCTGACAACACTTGCCACCAGCTTTAAATCAGTGCTTCCTGCGTATACAGCCCTTCCTCAGTTCTTGGAAGAGAACGAGTACAAGAATCCTACAAACCCGGATCAGCTACCGTGGCACGTAGGACACAAGACTGATCTCAACGCCTTCCCATGGCTCCTTAGCCACCCGCGTCAAATGGAAGTGTTCATGCAGGTGGGTATTTCGACGACATCCTATTGTTTTCCAATCTCTCCCCCGGGCAGAAGAGCTTAAAATTGGGGGTATTATGGTACTGACTGACATATCATCAGGCCATGGCGACGCTGAGGGATGGTATGCCCAACTGGTTTGACATTGTTGATTTTCGTGAAGAAATCCTTCACGGCCACGACGCAGAGCCCTCTGTGCCTCTCTTCGTGGACGTAGGTGGAGCCATGGGCCAGCAATCCATCTTCTTCAAAAACGCGTACCCTGACCTCAAGGGGAGGGTCATTGTCCAAGACCAGGCACATGTTATCAACCAGATCAAGGCGACGCCTCTACCGGGATTCGACGGTATTGAGGCTATGGTTCACGACTTCTTCCAGCCACAGCCAATCAAAGGTGCGTGCTTTGCGAAGTCAATCGTCCCCATCATTCAACTCCTACTAAACATACAATAGGAGCACGAGCATACTATCTCAGGATGATTTTCCATGACTGGCCCGATCACAAGGCTGTTGAGATCCTCAAGCATCTCAGGGATGCCATGACCGAGGGCTCTTACCTCTTGATTGATGACACGGTCTTGTCTGAAAAGCAGGCCCCGTGGAAAGCCGCGTTTTTGGACATGACTATGATGTGCCAACTTGGGGCTCAGGAGCGCACCAAGGCTGAATGGGAAAGACTCACGGCTGAGAGTGGATTCAAGATCCTCAGGATCTGCGAGTACGCTCCAGATGCTCAAGAGAGCCTCATTATTGCTGTGAAGTCGACATAGATGTCGGGGAAAATCGCCCCTGCTAGTGAGAAGCAGGCATGGGTTCCCAAACATAAGCGTGATCGTACCAAACCTTGAGCTTCTGCAGGCAGCCTTTCAATGACTCAGCGTATGCTCACGAAGAATTTCATGCTGATTGGATTGGTCCGATGTGACTCTTGAATTGGCCAACAGCGTTCACAGTGAAATAAGACCTAGCACGCACGGCTGAGCTGATGAGGGGAGAGATTCTGATTTGACCGGCCGAAGTATGGAGGCGTGGGAGGGTGTCAAGTACAAGGGGGAAGGGGGGGAGGTACCAAATCCCCGACCGATTCCAGCATATGCTGTCCTAGCCCACTATAAATGGATCACTTCCCATCTTGCTCTCCTTCAAATGTTCACAATACCTACCTAGGAAGATAACTCTGCCCCATCACAGATACTGTCTTCGAATATCTTCTCCAGTCAGAAAGCCTCAGGATATCCCAGCAGTTACAAAATGTTGAGTGCCGTCATTATCGGAGGAGTCATGCGCAAGTCCACCGGCCTGAAGATCTGGGTCTAGCCGTGCGATCAACACATTTCCGAACAAGTTGATAACACGGTCATGGGTGATGTATCTGCTGAGAAAACCCCATTCGAGACTATTATTCCAGAATCAAATGAGGAGGCTTCGCTGCGCCAGGAGCTTGTGTAAGGGATATTCGGCCGGTGGGTTTACTAACCCACATTACAGCCCTGCTTGGAAAGGAGGTGGGAAGCTCGGCAGGCCCCGTCAAGCCGGAAATGCTTCACATGTGCGGCATTGAGCTTGGTGAAGACGTTATACAAAGCAGCAGGACGACGAGGTCAAGGAGTTCTACCTGCTGACGCCAGACAAAGTCAAGGCGGCTTTGCTGAGGAACGAGTACCACGACTAACTCTAGCTGTCATGATCGACTTCTTCATTCGAAATGATGGCATTATGAACGCGGATAACGAGCGAGACCGCCCCGAGATCAACGTGCGCCTCCATCACAGTCCACCATCTGCCACACCATCCCGACTACGTCATTCTCCCAGAGCTCATGATTGTGCTCGTTTCCGGGGAGCGGATGCAGACGTGGCCAGGCTCTCATGATGCCTCTGTCCATGTTCAACAAATCTGATAATTTGATGATTTATTCTTTCGAGTGATGAACAGGGAGTCTTGTCATAGGGAGACTGATCTCAGCGACGAGTTCCATGCTTCGAACCAAATAAAGGTCCTTACGACTCGAAAGAAGACCTCGTCATTCAATTGACAAACGTCAAACATTTGGACTGTGAAACACCTCTCAACTGCTAATGCCCCTCTAGGCCGTGTAACTCAGATCAAACGAACATCCTGAAGCTCCCACGAGGGTCCATCATGGATCTTCAGCCGCTCAATCCAGTGCAAGTACGCGACCCCTAATCTCCGAAAGCACTGGCGGTCATCAATCAACCCACACCTTGTCAAAACGAGAGCGCCATAGATCCTCCCCGTGTCCTCTAACTCATACTCTTCGCTGCGGGATTCCGTGCTGCATGACTCTCCACTGCGTGTCCCGTCAATGTCTGCATGGTTTATGTTCACCTCGTCCCTATTCGCGTCGCCACCGTGACTGCTTCGATCATAACTTCTTCGATCATCACTGCTTCCACCGTCACTGGATCCACCGTCACTGCTTCCGTCACTGCTCCCAAAAATACTGCTTCCAAAATCACTGCTTCTGCCATATTCACGCCCATGGAGACTGCTCGACCCGAGGACAAGTAAGTGGATACGGGACTGGGCAATATCCTCTCTCGGATAACTGAGCACGCGATCTGGTATTGAGTCCCACCAATCATTTCCCCCCTTGAGCCGGCTCTTTGAAGCCCCCCAAAAGTGGCCGGGCATGTCCTGGTCTGTCACAACGCTGATGTAGCCCTCGATGTCTATCCATGTCTCTTCTCTCGCCGAAACAGAGTTGGTATGGTCGGAACAGCGATACACCGACGCTTCAGGGATGAATGAGTCTGCAAGCTTGGCTCTTCTCAATAATTCTGTGTCGTAATGGACGCGTATGTCAATAGAAGCCCAGCTCCAGGAAGGTACAGCGCGTTCTGAATCTACCGTTTCGTCGTCATCTGGCATTTCTGGCTCGTCGCCGTACAATTTGCGCCAAAGTAACGAGCGTGGCATCTCCTCAAACCACAGGCCGGCAAGGTACCTGTTACCTGTAATCTGAGAGTAACGGGCAGCAAGTCCAGCAAGAGCAGGCAACCTGTCCTTTTCATATGTGATGTCTCGTGCGACGAATTCCTTCACGATGAAAGCCCACGAGATTCCTTCCCCAAACTGCTCCGGGTCCCGCAAGAGATGTGGCTTCCCTGTATACCTGCGGTTTAGTTCATTGGCATAACCATCGAAACAGTCCCATAGCGTCATCGTGTCGATATGAAGCACCCTCGGCGACAGCATCCATTCTTGAAAGGTCCAGCCTCGTCTTATCCAGCGGTTTCCCTGATGCTGGACCAGCGCCGGAAAGTCACGCCAGCTGGTTTCCAAAAACCACGATGCCCTATTGCGGGACAGATAACCGCTAGTCAAGCACAAAAGAGCTTTCTTTTTTAATGATTCATCGATGTAGTCGATTTCAACCAATCGGTTTTTCTCGTCCAATCGATATGGATTTAGCCGTCTCTTCAGAAAGCTCTGTGAGGATTCAGTACACAGAGGTACCGAGATCGTCAATGCAGACCGGCTGTAGATATCACACATTCTGGATGCCTCATTTTCCCAGTCTTCTTCATTGTCTTGGATAATGCATAGTCTGTCAACCCAGAGGAATCGAAATCCAAGCTTAAAGCAGAGGTGGATAGTGTCAATGATTGTCTTCGGGAGGCTGCTCAAAGTAATAGCCTGGAGCCGTTTCGAATAGTTGAGAATGGTAGTTTTTCCTTTCGGATTGTGATCTCCTGTGTCACCCCAGCAATAAGAGAGACAGGCATATGCCTCTTGCATTTTACCGTGAGTTTCGACAAGGCGTACCCTACATACGCTCTCATCGTTGCCGGGCTCTGATAACTCCAGTACTCTGCTGGGAAGCGGTTGTTTGTATCCACCTTTGTTGCAAGAACTGTGTCCCGTTCTGCATGTATCTATCCATCGATTGATGAGTCCAATGTGAGGGTCGGAGAGGAGATCTCGACAAGGGCGGTGTTGGGTTTCGGGGTCAAGTGGATCATCTTCTGCGTGTCAGTAAGACAAACATCATTGCACATTATTCTATGGAATGGAGCATACAGGGGCTGTTGATAAAGAACACGGAATATCCAATCAGTGGGGGAGTTGTGAGAGCCCGGACTGTGAGGCGGGAACGATCGGTTGAGCAAGCTCTGGGCCCAGACTCGTGATCGCAAGGAAACGACAATACAACTCTTCCATTAACGTAATGCTCCAGACGCATACCGTCGAACGCTCGATCTTGCCTTATTATATCTGCAAACTTAGTAGCTGCCTGGTTATCATCGTCCATCAGCTCATCAGTATTTGCCACCGATTCTGGTTGCTTAGGCCCTCGGACGGGTGGATATGAGGCGGCTGTTGTGTCAAGATCAATGTCACCGTGCCTCCCCGTCTTCAGACTGTTGTACAAGACTGTACAGCCATCGCAACCAGCTTCCGCAGATGCTCGAAGGACCACGACGTTGGAATGGTGCACGTAGATGTAGATATATTCACAGTCTGCATAAAACGGCGGCCAGTACCTCTGTTCGGCTGCTGTGAGTTTCTCGGCAAACCCTCGCGGATTGCTCAAGTCTCCAAGACCTCGACAGACATGGCACACCGATGATGCAGCTGGTTCAGAGGTTGAAGAGTCGTTACTGTCCATGGAATCTTTGCTCATGGTGTAGGCCGTACAATCTCCCTAATGGTTTGACTGTGACTGGTTCGAGGAAATGCTATTGCAGCAAGATCATTCGTGGTCGGAAGGGGCGTCACCAGCAGCACACTGAATCGATGCTACTGGCAGGAATAACCGCTTCGTTGCGAACAGAAAGGAGAATTTTAATGGCAATAAAATTAGTCCAAATTCAGTCAAAGCGATTAATTGGATCCCATGGGTCGGAATGAGGAAAACTCGCGGTGGATGAAAAGTGTTCATCTGGGCTGTTGAAAAGCGGAGGCGGAATGGTTTTCTGCACAAGCCTGCTGACATGCATACTCACCCACTTGCTCGGGGAAAAGACGTATGCATCCCTCATTGGTACGAGGCATATTTCTGCTGCCTGCCTAGCTGTCTATATGCAGCAATCCGCCTACAAGTTTGACCAAGATTCTTCCACGAGCCTCTCGGGACGAGTTTGGGAAGATAGAGTTGCGCCTTGACTGTCTGGAGGATAAACGTTCTTGGTTTTAACTACTCCACTCATATTCAAACTACTATGATATCACATTTGGGCTCGTATTGAGAAGCGAAGTATCATGGTAAGAGGCCAAGTTCTGACAAGTCGGGACCACAAACATGTTCAGCCGAGGAGGTGAGATCATGAGCGACAAGAGTGACTGGAGGACCAAAATACATGCACCAGCCGATACATTACGACACACATCCTTAAATAGGTATAAGATATCTATTACTTTATAACTAGCTAGCTCTACTAGTATATACACCTCCTCCCTCTAGTATATATATTTTATCTATCTTTATATATTAGTATATTAAAGATTTTAAAGATTTTAATAGTTAATAATATAAATAAATAAATTATTAATTTTTTTAATTTATTATTATAAAGCTTTTTATAAAGAATAATATTAAATATTTATAAAATTTAATTATATAATTAAATTATAAATTTATAAATATATATATAAAATTAATTAATAAAATAAATATAAAAATAAATATTTTGTGGCAGATAAATGGGGGGGTAAGCAGTTAGGTCTGAAAAGAGTGTATTGGGTTGGTTGGTTGGTTAGGTTGCAGGCGGGCTGGGGCGAAGGCCCCAGCCTTGGGTCTAAGAACCTGCTGACTAAGCTGATGACTAAGCTAGAATCCAGTTGACTTGCTTGCACCCCCGAGGGGCTCCCACATATTTATATAATAATAAATAAATAATATAAAATAATTTATATTTTTAATATATTAATTTAAATTTATATTATAATATTATTATATAAAATATAAAAATATAATTATTAATTATATATATTTTTTTATTTTTACTTTTTTACTTTTTTACTTTCTTACTTCCTTACTTCCTTACTTCCTTATTTCCTTACTTCCTTACTTCCTTACTTCCTTACTTCCTTACTTCCTTACTTCCTTACTTCCTTACTTCCTTACTTCCTTACTTCCTTACTTCCTTACTTCCTTACTTCCTTACTTCCTTACTTCCTTACTTCCTTACTTCCTTACTTCCTTACTTCCTTACTTCCTTACTTCCTTACTTCCTTACTTCCTTACTTCCTTACTTCCTTACTTCCTTACTCCTTAATCTCCCTCTCCTAACTTTTACCCTTATAATTCACTAAAACATTCCTCTTAATATAAAGCTTCTTAACTACTAACTTAAAAGTATTTTCATTAATAAAAGTATTATTAATCAGGATATTTAAGAGTATTATTATTAGTAAGAGTATTAAATATACTTAGTTAAAGTAGCATAGATATATAATTATTAAATAATATACTCTAATTAGCTAGCAATACTTATTGCCCTATACTATCCGTTTATTACCCTGTGAATATCCATTCTCATAAATATATGCACTGGAATGAGGTCCAGCAGGAGGTAGAAAGGCGCCAAGATCAAGCCCGGCGCGATCTATAACGGCGCCAAGATGAAGGCGACCGAGAACAGCGACAGCGCCAAGATGAAGGCGAACGCGAGCAGAGGCAACGGCGAGATCAAGATGCACGCGAGCAGCAACGACGCCGTGATGAAGACCAACGGGAGCAAAGCCGGCGCCAGGATGAAGCTGGCCGGGAGCAAAAGCACCATACACAGGATCCAGGACGGGTCCTACAACAAATGTACGACGCCGCCGGAGCGGATATCACCCCTCGCGACATGCAGATGGCAGTATTTGGTATGCGACTTGCCCTGGACCCCGCGCCTGGCAAGGTGGAATGGCCTCGGGTGAGGCAGGTCTGAAGAAGCAACGGGTTGGGCAAAATTTTCTTGTGTTGGTTCCGTTATATCTCTGTCGGTTTTGTTATGTGCCTGTGTTGGTTTCGTTCTGTCCTTGTGTTGGTTTTGTTCTGTGTTTGTGTTGGTTTTGTTTTGTGTTTATGCTAGCACCAGCGAACACATCACGATCCACGCCCTTGAATAGGTGTAAGATGTCTATCACTTCATGACTGGCTAGCTCTACTGGATCGCACCTCCTCCGTTCCAGTGTACACGCACAGCAAGCCGACGGGATAAATATATACACTCTAGGCACACAGACAAGCCTTTGCCTCTATATGCCAAACGCTATCACAGATCAACCCATCATCTATCCTTGCCATCACCACGCTTAGACTCACCGGACCCGGGCGACCGACGCGCCCTCGCCGCATCAGAGGCGAAGACCGCAGGCGACCTGGTCTGGAAGATGGCATCCTCAGCCTTGCGCAGGTTTTCGGGGCGGACATCACGGCCCCCAGGCGACGCAGGCTGCCTCGGCGTCCAGTCGTCGTCCTGCACGTCAGACCACTGGCTGTCCCCGTCGTCAGCCACCACCTCGGCCTCGGCCTTGCCTGCCGCGCCGCCGCCCTCCTCATCCCACGACTCCTGCTCCACGCTGGTGCCGCGGCCCGCGCCCGCGAGCTCCATCATGTCGAGGAACGCCTGAGGGACGGGCTCGTCGGCGAGGTCGCCCAGGCGCTCGCGCTCCAGCTGCTCCCTGCGCATCTCCTCCTCGAGGCGCAGCTGCTTCTCGCTGAGGAGGTGCCTGCGCTCCGTGTCGTCGTCGGTGCGCACCAGCGACCTGACGGCCGCCATGACGCGAGGGCACTTGTCCACGATGTAGGCCATCAGCCGGTCCGCCTCGGGGCTCCACGCCGCCATCTGCTCCAGGTCCATGTACGCCTTGGTCAGCGTCAGGAGGGTGTGCGTGCTGGGGCGGTTGATCCGCGGGCTCGAGCCCCTGCGGCGCACGTCGAGCGGCAGCCGGGTCATGGCGTCGGGCACCGCGCGGCGCACGCGCTGCCACCCGAACCAGTGCGGCATCAGCTGCTCCTCGCAGACGATGAAGGCCTCGCGGAACTTCTTCATCGAGGCGAGGAACTGGATGTAGTAGTTCCAGTTCTTGCTGTCCAGCCTGAACTTGGCCTGCAGGACCGAGGATACCACCTGGCCCAGGCCGTCGGCATCACCCTGTGCCGCGTACGTGCGCTGCATCGTCTTGAGGGCGCTGGTGAGAATGTACCGCATAGATGGGAGGGGCTCGTCCCGTTCTGTTCCCGGTGCGCCCACGTAAGCCATCTGAAGTGCGCGGTCAAATATCATATCCCATATACTCTTGACCTCTTGATAGTTTCCGTCGTGGAACGCAGAGAGCATTAGTGCATCCAGCAGCCTCAACGGAGGGTCCCCCTTGCTCGCCGCCTCCGGAGAAGACTTCCGCCACAGACGTAAGATCTCTGGCACCGCCATGGTCTGCCGCATCTGCGTGAAGACGAAGATCAGTACGGAGGCTAAATCTGTGCGGTTCGCCACGGTGTCCGGGAACTGAAGTGTCTGGATCCAGGCATCACCACGCTGCGGTCCTCGCTTTGCTCTCCTGACAGGGTCCATGGCTTGCCGGAACTGTCGCAATGCCGAAGTCAGCAAGGAGTGTTGCTCGCTGTCATGCTCGCCTGGCGACGCTTGAGCCAATGAACCAAGAGCTTTGAAAACTCGGACCATGGCCTCGTTACTCTGCTGCACACCCAGGTCGCGAAGGATGGTGCTGCTTTGGAGGGCTTCCAAAGGTTGCCCGCTCTGCATAAACGCACTCATCAGCAAAGCATAATGCCTGACTGTGGGCTTGAATGCATGGTTTCTGACAGCGGACTTCAGGAGATAGAGCGCGTGGTGAGGTTGCTTGCAAAGTGCTAGGCCACGCAGGAGGTGGTCGTATGTCTCGTTGTCGTAAGGGACACCATTGTCAGTCATTGCCACGAGGAGGCGGTTGACGGTCGTAAGGTCACGCCGAGTAGCGTGATGGTACAGCAGACTGTTCCACAGCACAGTGAAATCGGCCGGCTTGAATTTGCCGGCTTTTGTTGTCATGACGCAAATTTTCTCGGCATCAGAATATCTATCGTTCTGGCAGTAGACTTCCACCACATCATCGATCATGGTGACGTTTGGTTCTACGCCGTCGTTCTTAGCCATGCGGTATAGCTCTAGTGTGAATTCGAGATCGCCTCTTGCCCCACTCATGCCCATCATTGTACCATAGCTATAGTGGTCAGGTGTGCAAGTGTCTTGCAAGACGGTGAAAACACGAATGGCCGTGTCGTACTCTCCAGCCTTGGCATGTGCATTGAGAAGAACATTCCAACAAATGACAGGAAGGTTGGCACCGTAGTCGTTTTGGAGTCTGTCGAAAACTTTCCGCACTTCGCCTAGCTCGCCTCTGACGGCTTGGACATGTAGCAGGGGAAGATAGTCGGGGTCCTTGCCGCCCACGGGAGCATTCCGATCAGGATAGTCTGCGGTATAGGCATCCCAAAAGCGATGTACAGTCTTTGCATCTCCACGGCGGGCATAGAAAGTCATGTAGAGCCGATAGTTTGGTATATCCAGTCGGTCGAAACGGGTGTGCCAGTCTTTCCTCATCATTTCCATGCCTCGAGCATCGTCGGCAGGAAAGTAGACATGCCTCATCATTCGACTCATGATGTGACCACGAAGTTTCACTCCAGGTAACTTTCGATATTGCTTGTAAAGCTTGATCGTGAGATCAGGGCCTAGTCGTCGAGAGTGGCAGATGAGATCTTCGTAGAGGAGATGATCCTTGAGCAAATGCAGCATGAGGGCGAGATCGTCCGCCTTCGACTCCTGCCAGTACCTGCGAATACAAGGGTTTATCACCCTGTCGAGCAAGCTCTTTGAAAATTCTGGGTCACCTCGCGCAATGGCAGGGCTGGCCATATCTATGCGGAACACGAGAGCCTTGATCCCATTCGCAATCTCCTCCTTGGAGAGGACACTTTCTATGTCCCCCCAGTTGAGCTTCTCGGCGTCGGCAAGATGTGCATCCGGATATCTTTCCCAAAGGTCACCGAATGTCTCCCAGTTTGAGAACTTGATGGCCATTGCGAGCAACTGCTCCATGCTTCGGCATCTTGTCGCATAATCGAGGAAATCGTCGCGCAAGGCCCTGCGCAGTTTCTTGTCCTTGTGACCATGATACAGCCGCCACGCATGGCTGAGTTCATAGGGGTCTCCGGCCTGAAAGATGTCTCGTAGTCGATCCGGTAGGGGTTTCCTGGGGCGTTGAGCTGGGCGTTGAGCAGCTGTGCGCGCTGGCCGGCCTGCTGAATTTGCATCCGTGGAAGACATATTGTCACCGTATTCGTCCTCGTAGTCTTCGTATTCTTCATAGTCTTCATAGTCTTCATCGAGTCCATCCTCCTCGAGGGCTAGTGCACCGTCCGTGGACTGCTGGCCAACAGAAAGGTTTGCTGGTACGTCCTCGGGATGAGGCTGCGACTGGAATTTCTGGGCCGAGGCCGCCGATGAAGTAAAGAGCCGTGGCACAGCACTTTTGAGGTACAGCCTTGGCCGCTCATACTTGTCGAGGACCGAAGGGGATAGTCTTCTCAAGAGCGACGCCGCACTGTGGGGATTGAAGAATTCGAGCAAGAAGGTTGAAGCTATCAAGGGCTCGGCCCTAAGATGGCGAGGGACAGACAAGATATTGAGTGACTCGAGCGGGTCCCGGACGAGCGCCTGCCAGACGCCGGACAACTCGAGCTCAGCAGCGCCATGGTGCCAGAACGCGGTGTGCAGTCTTCGGTGCGACTTGAGCGAGAGTGTTATTGGAGGAAGCACTCGTTGGAAGTTGCATGGTTCCAGACTTGCGGCCGTTCTTTCAAGCATCGGCATGAGGCAACGGCGGGGCGGACTGCTGGGATCGGGGAGAGTTGGGATGGTTTCAATTCAGGACATTATTTGTCGGCTCGACTGGACGCCGCGATAGTAGGTCAGAGGTCAGAGGTCAGAAGCCAGCGATGTCGAGGACAGGTAGTGCGCACTTACGCGCTTCATGCTGGAGTACATGTATATGTACGGTGCCTTCAGTATCACCACAGTCGCCGTCGTCGTTCAACAACAGGTTCGCCTTCCCGCTCGCGCTAGCAGTTGGTTCGGAGGGGTTTCGTCATGTGCCTGGAGGGTGAGGGAGGAGGGAGAGTCGTATGCTGCAGCATTGAGCTGGGCTGCCTGAGCTGGGGTTGTCGTGGTGGAGCAGCTTGGGCGGCCTGGGCTGGGAAGGCTCTGGAGTATTTTCTGCCGTCGATGATCTCTCGACTTCCCGCCAGTGGCGCAAGGTTCGACTGCATAGAAAAAAAAAAGGACGGGCCGGCACCGCACACAGGGGAGCTCGTTCCACCTGTGTCCTGGGTCTGGACAGGGGTGCGACCCCAATCGACGGGCTGTAACCCCAAGCTTCCATAGCTCCTAGCCTCCCTCCTACTACTGCACAAGGCCAGTTTTTGCGGGGCACATTTTGCGACGGATTGCTTGGGTTGACATCGTTAGCTGGAGCCCCTCCACAACTTCAAGTCAGTCCCCCGAGGCGCAAACAGGACATCACCTTACTTTACGCCTGCTCTCAACCGTCCCGAGATAGATTCTAGTTTCATCCATATTTTGGCTGAGAGAGTCTTAGGAGCACACGCGGCCAGCCATCATGGATACCACAAAGATCATCCTCGACACGAGGGTGGACCTGCTCGACGCAAATGACTATGCCACCTACGCGTCCAAGTTGTCCACACGCCTTCGAAGCACCAAGAAGAGACTCGGCATCCCGGGGAAGAGCCATGGCAAGCCGTCGAATGTCGACATAACCCCGGCGCAGCTGGCCCAGAACCACGAGTGAGTGTTCGCCCTGCTTCGCAGCTACTGTCAGAAGCCAGGCGCTGACCCTCTTACCCAGGTTCATCCACGTCCCTCTTCTCAAGGCCGAGAGGTGCTGGGCCAAGTCCATGGCGTGGCATTCGCGAGACACCATCACAAGCGATACCCGCTCCAACATCATCTCGAAGCTCGTAAAAGCCGCCAAGGTCGTCGAGAACCTCGTTGCCACGCTGTCCGACAGTGCAAGCGGTGCCACCCCTTCAGATGTTCTCAGCGCGAAGGCCTATGCCGCGGTATTGAAGGGTGACTCTTCGTCCCGGGCCAAGAGGTGGGAGGATTGTCTCAGCAGCTATAGTGTCGCAAAGGTCATCTACAGTGTACTGCCGCCGCCCGGCGTCGAGGGGAACACCTTCAGGGACCACGTGTCAGATCATGTCGATACTCCTCTACGCCTCGCACAGCGCCAGCAGAACATCTCGACGTCGATCTCCCTCCTGTCTCTCGCGAAGCAGTATCTGCCACAATCCGACAAGGCTCTTGTCGCCGGCGTGGAAGAGGTGAAACCTGGGTTTTTGAAGCAAGATGAAGATACCGATATGACCAACGGCGGTCCACTCAAGACGGTCAAGTGGAGAACTAGGGAGGTTCCTGTGGAAGATGCTGAAATTGCCTCGAAATTGGCCGCCTTGGAGACTGCTGCGTCCGAGTTGTCCCAAAAGCTGGGCGCCTCGTCAGACCTGCGGCCCAACGTCAAGGCTGAGGCCTATGATGGCGTTCTCGAGATGAGCAACTACGCCATCGATGCCACGCTCCAGGCCATCGACGAGCTGAAGCAGCAGAGCGTGCCCCAAGGCGACCCACGCATGCAGAATCTGGCAATATTGCGGACGAAGCTTAAGTACGACTTGCTGAGCTGGCAGATAGGGCGGAATCGGGTGTTGCTAGGGCAGCATGATGGCGCATTGCTAGAGGACGGCCCAGGTTTGAAGAAGAGCAAAACTGCAGGCGACGCGGCACCCGGCATCAAGGACAGCCAGCAGGTCAAGCAGTTGGAAAAGAAGACCAACGTGTACAACAAGACGCTACAGATCCTGGAGGCGGCAAAGGAGCTTCCGGGTGTCGCGGCGGACGAGCACCTTGCAGCAGAGATTGACGCCGTGTCGAAATATTTTGCGGCGCTGAAGTAAGTGTCAGCTTCCCTTGTAAACCTCATCCTCTGCCTGCTAACCGCCAATAAGGTCTCTCGCAATTGCTCGCTCTCACACACTGGTTGGCAATCCTGCGAATGCCCTCGCCCTTACTAAACACGCCCACGATCAGAGCCAGGCTGCTTTACCGGTGCTCGCCAAGAACAGCAAAAACAACGAGACCGGCCTGAAAACCATCGAAGTCATCAGCCCAGAGGCTGAATTCCTCCAGAACCTATTGAAAGGAGAACTGCAGCGTTGCCGGGCACTGGTCGAGATTGCGAACCTGCGGAAGCAAGCCGACAAGGGAGACGCAAAGGCGGCACAACCACCCCTGATCGATAGGCTTGGCCAGTATCCCTCCAAAGGGGTCAACCTCGAGAACATTGTCACCTATCCCCCCAAGATGGAACCGATTCCCATCAAGCCACTGTTCTTGGATGTTGCATTTAACCACGTGCAATATCCCAAGGAGAAGTCAGCGAAGGCGGGCGCCATCGAGGCCAAGACGAGCGCCAAGTCTGGGGAGCCTGAGAAACAGCCTGCTAAGAAGGGCTGGTTTGGATTTGGAAGGGGCTAGGAGTCTATCCAGAGGCAGGAATTGGGTAGTCGCAGTCGTGGACCAGTCTGCCAGATAGCCCCATTCTGACAGAATGCCGATCCAAAGCGACGCCTCGTCGTCGTCGCAAGGCAGGGAGAAGTAGACATTACCACGAAAGACGCCATAGGATATAATTCGATGCAGCCAACCAGTTGCGCAATTGGCTCGTTGGACCCTTTCGCCGCCATTACGTGAAGCCCTGGAATGTGGGTTTGTATTGCGCGGGATGTTTTGGGCGCGGAGGCGAATCTCATTCCTGAGGACCCAATACATCGCACCGCCATTTCTTTGCACCCTGTAGCGCATAATGTGTATATACGGCCCAATGGACCCTGACTTGAACTCCCTGACACCTAATGGGGCACAGAAACGATGCAAGACACGAGCGAAGGCGAGGGCTTCCTCCAAACCCAGAAACAGGGGGAGCCCACGAGAAGACAATCGTTATTCAAATACACCAAAGACCTGATACTACCCCGACGACAACAAAAACAAGCAGATGATGCACCCGAAAAGCCAAGCGATCACGATGAAGACTTTGAAGAAATCGCCCTCCACGACCACAAGCCCCGACCATGGAAGAACCTCCAGCTCCGCACATTCATCACCTCCCTCACGGGGCTGGTCCTCACCATCCTCTCCTTCGTCTTCGGCGTCGGCTGCGGGCTAGGCATCGGCGTCCCCTACTACGGCGGCTCCTCCCTCTCACAAGCCTTCGGCCACAGCCGCCACCCGCCCAGCGGCATCCCGGACGGCCTCCCCATCATCCCGGCGGGCCAGCTGAGCAACCGGACAGAGCTCGACCTCGCCACGGGGTTCGAAGCCTCCCCGCGGGGCCGCCCGCGGGTGCGCGAGTTCGACCTCGCCATCACGATGGCCCTCGCGGCCCCCGACGGCGTCTGGAAGCCCATGGTCCTCGCCAACGGGCAGAGCCCGGGCCCGCTGATCGAGGCGTGCACGGGGGACACGGTGCGCGTGCGCGTGGCGAACCAGCTCCCCAACAACGCCAGCACGAGCGTGCACTTCCACGGCGTCGACCAGCGCGGGAGCCCGTGGGCCGACGGCGTCGCGGGCGTCACGCAGTGCGGGATCCCGCCCGGCGGCGCCTTCACGTACGAGTTTGTGCTGGACGGCCAGCGGGGCACGTTCTGGTACCACGCGCACGCCGCGGTGCAGTACACGGACGGGCTATACGGGCCTATTGTCGTGCGTGGGTGCGGCGGCGGGGAGGAGGTGGAGATGGTGCCCGCCGCCGATGCGGAGAGGATCCTCTTCCTCGGCGAGAACTACCATGCCTACGCGGGCGAGCTGGTCGGGCACTACCTCGCGGCGTCGTCGCCGTGGGAGCCGGCCGAGGCGGGCGTCGAGCCGCTTAGTGATAACCTGCTGCTCAACGGGCAGAACGCATTCGACTGCTCCGTCGTGTCGACGACGTTCAACTCGACGCATCGGCAGACGAACACGCCCGAGTGTACCGGTGGGGAGGTGTACGCGACGAGTATAAAGCCCGGGACGACCATGCGGCTCCGGCTGATCAACCATTCGTCGTACCTCTCGTACTGGTTCAGCATCGACGGCCACCCCCTCACCATCGTGGAGATCGACGGGGTCGAGGTCGAGCCTATTGTCAGCCGGGGGGTGCACGTCAACATCGGGCAGAGATACAGCGTGATGATCAAGGCGACGGAGAAGGTTGGGGATTACACCATCAGGTCGGCGCTGGAGAAGGATTGTTTCCTGCCTTATAGCACGTATACCAGCAGTGGGCTAGAGTCAGTCGGATATGAGGCCAGGGGGATCCTGAGGTATGAGCGCGACGGAGAGTCGGAAGGAGGAACAATAACAGAGGGACAAGACACAGCCCAGGGGAGGCGGGAAGAAACCACGACAAACCCATGGGGCTGCGGCGACATGCCCTTCGACATGCCCAAGCCCATGCGGCAAGAGGCAGCATACGAGCTGGGTGATGGTGGTGGCGGCGGCGACCCAACCCACATCCTCGACTTCCAGTTCCGCCAGGTCGGCGAGATCAACCGCATCTTCCTGAACAAGGTAAGCAGATACCAAACACACACATGCCCTCCCCGACTTAACTTACCCTCCAACAAAACAATAAGAAAACTCACCACCGGGTCAAACCTAACCGCACCACACAACACAGACCTCCTGGAGCCCCTACCAAGACGACGCGACCCTCTGGCAAGCCGCAGACACCACCAGAGCCAGGGTCTTCGCGTCAGCCGGCGCCGGCACCAGCACCAGCACCAGCGCCGGCGGGACCGGAGGCGTCTACCACAACTGGGGCCTCCGCCTCGACCAGCAGGTCCTCCTGGTCCCGGACGGCAGCGGCGCGGCCCAGGTGGCCATCAACAGCCTGGACGCGATGGAGCACCCGTTCCACATGCACGGGCACAGCGTGCAGGTCGTGGGGTGGGGGCCGGGGCGGTTCGACCCGTCCTCTTCCTCTTCGCCGGGCGCGGGGCCGGGGACGACAACGTGGAACCTGCAGAACCCGCTGCGCCGCGACACCTTCACCGTGCCCGCCGAGTCGCACGTCGTCGTCCGGTTCCGGGCGGACAACCCCGGCATATGGGTGCTTCACTGCCACGTCGCTTGGCACCTCGAGGCAGGGATGCTGGTCTCGTTCCTCGAGAGGCCGGGGGACCTGAAGGGGTTGCTGGACGGGATGGATCCGGGGACGAGGGAGCGTTCTCAGAGCTTTTGTCCAAAGAGGGCCGGTCGGGGCGTGTAGTTAGTTTGGACCGAGGGGGGAACATTAGCGATGCAACACTTATGGAGTTCTTTAACCAAGCGGTTCTTTTCGGCGTTTTCACAGTATTAATAATCGAAGGATGCAGCAATGTCAGGCTTGAGCCAAGATGGTTGAGGGGGGTTGTCATATTATCTTGCGTTGTCATCAACATCTAACAATTGTACACACATTTTTGAGAGATCTTTGTCCCCCCAAAACCATGCCGTCGTAGTGTCATTCAGAATCCTTTTTCGTCAAATGATCTGGGCCCCGACCAAAAAAAAAATCGAACGCAAAAGAAGAGTTTTGTTTTGATGCTCAGAACGCCGTCACCGCCCAGTTGGTGATTAGACACAGTATGAAGTAGCGTGAAAGGAGGAGTGGCCGTCCATGAGGTAGCCTGAGGAGGTGCGGAGTATATGAGTACAGGGTGGATACAGAGGTTAGGAAAGTAGGTCTATCATGCTCCCGCGCTGCTTAGACACACATGGCCACGAAATGGCGTGAAAGGGGTATAATAACGTCGCTGATCCGGTTTTGCCGAGACTAGATTTACTTGGTCTCGTCCTTCTTCTCGCCCTCGGCGGCACCCTCGTTGTTGGGGGCCTGCTGCTCGCCGGACTCGGCACGGGCCTTGTGCATCTTGTCGAAGAGGTTCAGGCTGGCCATCTGGAGATCGTCGGTCTTCTCCTTGATCTCGGCAGCGGTCAGGGTACCCTCGCCGGCCTGGCTCTTGGAGATGAACTCGCGCAGGGAGGTGATCTTCTCCTTGATCTGCTCGGCCTCGGCCTTGTCCAGGCGGTCGGCGAACTCGTTCAGGGCCTTCTCGGTGTCGTTCACAACGCTGTCGGCGCGGTTGGCAGCCTCGATGGAAGCCTTGCGCTCCTTGTCGGCCTCGGCGTACTTTTCAGAGTCCTGGACCATCTGCTCGATCTCGTTCTCAGACAGACCAGATCCGGAGGCGATGGTGATGGACTGGTCCTTGTTGGTGGACTTGTCCTTGGCGTGGACGTGCACAATCGAGTCGGCGTCAATGTCGAAGGTGACCTCGATCTGGGGGACACCACGGTGGGCAGGAGGAATGCCGACAAGCTGGAAGTTACCGAGCATCTTGTTGTCACGGACGAGCTCACGCTCACCCTGGTAGACCTTGATCTCGACAGCGGTCTGGAAGTCGGCGGCAGTGGAGAAGACCTGGGACTTCTTGGTGGGGATGGTGGTGTTGCGGTTGATGAGACGGGTGAAGACACCGCCCAGGGTCTCGATACCCAGGGACAGAGGAGTAACGTCCAGGAGCAGGAGGTCCTTGACCTCACCGGAGAGCACGGCACCCTGGATGGCGGCGCCAATGGCAACAGCCTCATCGGGGTTGACAGACTTGGCGGGGTCACGGCCGAAGATGCTCTTGGTGACCTCGGTGACCTTGGGCATACGGGTCATACCACCGACCAGGATGACCTCCTGGATGTCCTTGGCCTGCAGGTTGGCATCCTTGAGAGCCTTCTTGACGGGCTCAACGGTCCGGGTGATGAGAGGGTCGACCATCTTCTCAAGCTGAGCACGGGTGAGCTTCAGGTTGATGTGCTTAGGTCCAGAGGCGTCGGCAGTGATGAAGGGCAGGTTGATGTCGGTCTGCAGGGAGGAAGACAGCTCGATCTTGGCCTTCTCAGCGGCCTCACGGATACGCTGGATAGCCATGCGGTCGTTGGACAGGTCGAGGCCAGAGGTCTTCTTGAAGTCCTGGACCATGTGTCGCACAAGCTGGATATCGAAGTCCTCACCACCAAGGTGGGTGTCACCGTTGGTAGACTTGACCTCGAAGACACCGTTCTGAATCTCGAGGACGGAGATGTCGAAAGTACCACCACCCAGATCGTAGACAGCGACAACGCGGTCAGCCTCCTTCTCCAGACCGTAGGCCAGGGCAGCAGCAGTGGGCTCGTTGACGACACGGAGGACGTTCAGACCCGAGATTTGACCGGCGTCCTTGGTGGCCTGACGCTGGGAGTCGTTGAAGTAGGCAGGGACAGTGACGACGGCGTTCTTGACGGGCTTGCTGAGGTAGGCCTCGGCAGTCTCTTTCATCTTCTGCAGGACGAAACCACCAATCTGCGAGGGCGAGTAGTTCTGGCCGCGGGAGGACACCCAGGCGTCTCCGTTGGTGTGCTGGACGATCTTGTAAGGAACCTCCTTGATGTCGCGCTGGACCTCAGCGTCGGTGAACTTGCGGCCGATGAGTCGCTTGGTGGCGAAGAGGGTGTTCTCGGGGTTGACGACTGCTTGACGCTTGGCAGCGACACCGACGAGACGCTCACCATCCTCGGCGAAAGCAACCACTGATGGTGTTGTGCGGGCACCTGAAAACTGGTGTTAGTGCCAAGGGCTCAAGGGCTTTCCGACTTGTGCGCAAAAGCGGCAGTAGGAGCGCGGATGGATGTGTGAAGACTAACCCTCTGAGTTCTCGATAATCTTGGGGGTCTTGCCCTCCATGATGGCCACGGCAGAGTTTGTGGTTCCCAGATCGATACCGATCACGGCGCCCTGGACCTTGCCGTCTGTTGATTGGAAACGAGACAGGGCGGGAACGGCGGACTTGCGCAGGAGACCTGCAGAGCGCGAAGCTCTGGGCAGCTGTGTTGATGGGCATGAGTGTCAGTGATGCGATCCCATGACGAGGTGTGACAATCACGAGATGGCAGGAGGCTTGGGGCGTGAACTTACAGCCCTGGACATGCGCGAGGCGAGCATCTTGATCTAATTAAAGAAAGATAATTCTACAATACAGAGTAGGGTGTAGAAGGTGGGAATGGCAAGGAAGAAAGAAACAGAAAGCTTCTTGTGATGGAGGATGAGGGTTGAGGAAAGGGAGACTGGGCTGGTGTAGGAGTTTGTGGTTGGGGATGGACGAGGCAGGTGAAAAAAAGCTCAGAAAATATTTGCCAATGGTCGAGCAAGGTAATGACGCTTCGCTCGATGAGCGGCCGACCCCCCAGCCTGTAGGAGAGAAGCTTCCCGAAAACATTTGCCTGCCAGGCCTGTCCGACCCCAGCCGAGGATGGCCCGTGCTTCCCGAAAACGCGGGCAAAAATTATGGGCTCTGGGGTACGTACCTCAAATATCTGCGATACCGCGGTCCAGAGACAGGGTCATTGTCCAGTCAACAAGACTCCAGACCGCAAAGCCGACTCACGATGGTAGGTTTCGGCTGCCTCGCCTGCTCCATGACCAAGCCCACAAGCGGGCGAACCTCGGCAAAGTGATTTACACAGTATTAGCTGGCGTACGGTACAATTACAACACGCACGTCGATATTCTACACACAAGATGCATTGCAGGGCGACGCTACAAGTACGGATGCTATGGAAATAACAACACAGACAGGCCACAGGCCACGGATCACAACTGGAAGAGATGAAAAGGCCGAGTGATAGACAGTGTACCGTTCCACAGAAAACAAAATTGAGCCGTCACACGCAATTGAGCCGCTCACCGGGCATTCAGTAGTTCATCAGGCAGTCAGTCAGTCTAGCTGATGATGCTTGGCGCTGGGTGGAGGTGCATGGCATGTCCGTTAGGGGTACTTCGCGTCTACACCTGGTGGGCATACCAGCCGCAAGTACCTCGCGTCGGCCCCTGTTGCAGCAGCTACAGTACCTACTACCGAGTACTAGAGTACCTACCATTCTTTATGTGGGAAGCGGAAAGGTTGCCGCCTCATTGACTGGTGCTGGCAAATGAACGTCATCCAGGTTCCTCTTTGCTTCGCCCTTTAACCTAGGCAGATTGTCTACCTCTCAGCTCCATCCACCCTCGTCATCCAACCCTGCCTCGCCGCCTCGTCTCGCCTTGCCTCACGTCGCCTTGGGCCGGACCACCACCAGCTTATCCAACCACTCGTCCATCGCCCAACATCACTCGCCCCCTTGACGCCGGCAACCCGACGCTACCGCGCAGCGACCTGCCAACCTCGCCAGCTTCGCTCCTCTGCTCATCCGCATCTGCATCCGCATTCGATTCCATCACCCCCATGACTCGGCTGCCTTCAGTCTGAGCCTCGCAGTCGGCACGATGGCCGTCACGGACGATAGAATGTATGGTCACCACCAATCCCTCCCACCCGATATCGCATGCAGTCTTCTTCGTGGATCAATGCACGCTGTGTTTTGATCCGCCCCTTTGTGGTGGGGACCTGGCTTGGGGACCTGGCTTGGCTAACGGAAACCCGCATGTAGCTATCATCCAACTGAGGCCCTCATCCTCCGCAAACCCAAGCGACACTACCGCGTCGGCCTGCGCGTCGAGTATGTTGTGGCCCCCGGCCCTGTCACGCCCGGGCCTTGTCGACTAACTGCTTTGTCTCAGACACTGGCAACTGCGCTCCCAGATCGGCCTGTCCTCGCCGCGCTACATCTACTACCCCGGCGGCACTGAGAACAACCAGATTCATCGCCTCGACACCGCATCCCATGAAAGCGAAACCATCAAGATCCTCACCTTCGCGCCCCGATGTCTCGTGGCCAAGCACGGTTGGATATGCGCCGGCGGTGAGAGCGGCGAGTTCGTCTCCGTACAGGTCGACGACGAGGGCCAAGCCGGCGAACTGGGCCGCAGCGTCGAGACGGACCTGTTCTCGAGATACCGTCGATCACCGGCTAGTGGCGCCAACACCGACCAAGACCGTTGGATCGAGGTTTTCCGCGATCAGATCCGTGCCGCCTCACCGGACGAGGGGCTGCGCCTAGGCATCAACCCGGCCTCTAACAACGACAGCGACGACTCCGTGCCGCCCCTGATCCCCACCAGCCCCCGAACCCAGCCTTCTTCCGACAAGAGCCTGCATGCTCGATCCAAGACATTTGGCAGGGACCGGGTGAACTGCATCACGCTGTGGACTCCCCAGGTCTCCAAGGTTGGGTTCTTCGAGGGCGCGTACTCCACGCCAGTGGCAGTACTTGCAAATAACGACAAGCACGTCACGGTTGTCGGCTTACGGGACCAGGATGCGATCGACGAGCTGACCTACCCAGACTGTGTCAACCGCGCCTTGATCTCACCAGACGGCCGCTTGCTTGCGGCTGTTTGCGACGACCCTTACCTATACGTGCACGAGAGGGTGGCCCGGCAGAATGTCTGCCCTGGCCTGTTCACGCACAAGGAGGATTTCGAGTGGAAGTTGTGCGCAAAGATACCGCTCAAGAGCCAGCGGAAAGAGGATCGCTCGGATCAGCGGGGCAGCTTTGCCGCCTGCTTCTCCAACACCGGACGATTCCTTGCTGTCGGAACCCAGTACGGCGTGATCTCCGTATTTGACACGGCTTCCTTTACCGAGCCGGGAAGCGACCCGCTCATTACTGCTTTCACGTCGTCAAGAGCAAAGGATGACGTGGGTGCCGTCCGGGATATGGCGTTCTCGCCGGGGCCGTTCGACTTGCTGGCATGGACAGAGCACCGCGGTCGCGTCGGTGTTGCGGACATTCGAACCAACTACATTTCGAGGCAGATGTTGAATTTGAACGACCACGAGGGCTTCGAGGAGATCATGATCACAGAAAGGGGCTCGATCGATCCGCGACTACTGGAACGCAACAGCAGCGGAGAGCTCAGCTACTCGAGCCTCGCGACTGCAGAGAACCGGCGAGCAGCAGCACGACGTCAAGCTACTGACTACCACCCGCCGCTGACCCCCGAGGAGACCATGGTTATAGAAGCGCTTCAGGAGCACCGCAGGCGCAGGGAGCAGCAGGCTGCGGCTCGGAACAACCCCACATCCGGCACCAACATGTCGAGGTTGATGGAACGTCTGCACAACAACCGGCAACAACGCGAGAATGCCACCGCATTGGCACTAAACGACACCAGCTCTAGACTCCGTTCCGAGGCAAGTAACTCCCGCCGAGTAGGCGACATCTTGAGCGACATCCAAAGCCAGCGCGACCGTCTCCGGGACCAGTCTGACCGTCTCCGCGAGCAGTCAGAACGCGTGCGCGCGCGCCGCCTGGCCGTGGACGAGGCCGAGAGGCACCGGCTGTCGGGCGGCTCGATCAGGGCGCTGCGCGCGCCCCTCGTGCTCCCCGGCAGCAGCGAGTCGCCGCGCCAGGTCTACATCAACAACTCGTACACGGACCTCGAGGCCCTGTACCAGTCCGCGTTTGAGGGCGGCGGGGCGTCGTCCGGCGACGGGCCGTACGAGCCGGGCGCCGGCGAGTCGACCGGCAACAGGACCCGGGACTACCTCTCGGTGTGGAGCAACATGCTGAGGGACCGGGACGGCGAGGCCGAGCCCACCGTCACGCGGCTCGGGCGCGCCCGCCTCGACCGCCTGGCGGCCATATCCGGTGGCCGGATCGACCGCGAGGACGACGACACTGCCGGACTGGCCTGGAGCGAGGACGGTCGCATGTTGTAAGTGACCAACCGTCATCGCACACCAGAAGAGAAAAAGAAGAAAAAAAAGAGGAGAGACCACACTACTAACACAAACCCTTTCAGAATCATCGGTGCCGTGGACGGTATATATGAGTTCCACGTCGACTCATTCAGCAGGCGTGTCTTCCCCAACATGGACATGCGGTGAGAGAGACGGACGAGACGGTTCGCCTGCGCGTGTGTGATCAACAATGAAGGGCCCACGAACCTGCGCGGGTGCCTGCCTGGTGTATTTTTCTCTTCCTCCCTGCGAAGGGGACCCGGGGGCAGAGCGGGATGGACTGGGACCGTGCTACTCTTTTTTTTATCAGGGATGGGAGCTCTTGCAAACGAAACCTTTGGGGCTGCATCGGCGTTGGGACGGGGTAATGCTACCTACCATCACGGCATTTGGAAATCCCTCGTGTCTATAGGCGTTGTTCCTTTTTTTGGTTTTTTGTTTTTGTTTTTTGGTCTTACCTCTCTGGCTTCTTTTCATCTGCTTTTCTTTACACCTAGGGCCTCACCTGCATGTTATCTCAACGTTCAGCTCAACACTGGCCAAGCTTCACCTCTCCTGCCCGTGGAGGGAACTGTCTTTGTTTTTTCTCCCCCCGTCCACCCCTCTTTTTAGGAGGGGGGCGGAGCTTCCTAATCACGACCTCGGATCGAAAGCATCGGTTTGACAGAAAGAAAAGAAAAAGTTCGTTGTCGTTCAATGTTGCTCTTTCTTGACTCGTTTGGTGCTTGTATGCGTGTGCATGTATGGTACATGCTCTTTCCTCAGGGGGGGCTCTTCCTGCTTCCGTCTCGTGTGCGTGTGTCACAAGAATACTACTACCGCTCGGTCAGGTGCTGGAGACCACGTGCGGCTTATATAGGTCAGATTGATATAAACGCCCTCGAGGGGCACATTGGGCTTGATGGCTTGCTTGCCCCTGCTAGACTGGACTTGAAGACACCGCCTCGTGGGGTTGTGGAAGGCATCCATGCTGTTACTTCTGTTGGCTGGGTGGGAGTTGTAGGGTCGTGCGACTAAGTCCTGGGGTGGAGGGGATGTAGACAGTAATCCGTGCCCCGAGGCTGCTTCCAATGTCCTCCCAGGCGAGCTGAAGGTGTGTTCCTGTTGCCCGTAAACCCTTGCGGACGGTCATCTGTCCACTATTGCTGCTGCTCGCCTACAAGTAAGTGGCTTGGGAGACATGACATGGGCCAGACCTCGTCCCATCTCACCCGATCGGTCACTGCCAAAGCCAGAGGCCCCCCCCTCCCCTGTCGCCCACACAACCAGATAAACAGTGAGTTCGACTGGGAAAGCACCGACAAGGTGGCCCATTTGGGTAGGCGTCAGGTTCGACCTCACATGTAACTACGACGCCGAGGATCCCAAGTTCAAGCCGGGTCGGCACCAGTAAAATATCAGCGATGGTCTGCAAAGGACGGAGGTATTTTCTGACTCTTCGGAGGGTCTTTTTGCCTTTTTGTCCTTTTGCCCTGCCCTGCCCTGCCCTCGCAGCTTTGAAGACACGACCTTGGGGGACAAGACCAGTAAGAAGGTCAAAAAGGACATTTCAAACAGAGTGGTTACTAAAAACCCTAATAAGAACGCCACTAGGAAAGGCAGGATAATTATTCCCAACCCATTTGTATCACTCCGCCTGGTCTTCTATTGGGATACGTTTCTCGGGCTCTGGCTCGTAGCAAGCCCTTACGGAGTATGGTACCTCATTCAAGCTGTGTACGCACCCATCCGTCCTGGTAAGCCAGCCAGCCAGCCATATATACATGCCTTTACCATGGTAAGCAAGAAATCCCATAGACAAACACAACAACACCACACCCCCTCCCCACCACCCTCCCCATCACCTACCTTTTACCTATACAACAACCCCTCCACCATCTCCCCAATAGCAAGCGAGCTCGTCAGGCCCGGGCTCTCAATCCCAAGCAGGTTGACCCACCCCTCATACCCCTCCTCAAGCCGGACAACAAAATCATTAAACCCCCTCCCCTCCACCACAGCCTGCCGCGGCGCCAGCTTCGGCCGGATGCCAGCATAGTCAGGCGCGAGCGCAGAGACGTCCACCCCGGGGAGGTACTTGCGTATCTCCGCCGCGGCGTCCCCCATCCGGCCCCCGCTGACGGCCAGGTCCGACTCGGAGTCGACCCACTCGACGTCGGGGCCGAAGCGCACGCGCCCGCTCATGTCGAGCGTGAGGTGCGTGCCCAGCCCCGCGGCGCCGGGCTCGGGCGCCGGGTAGACGAGCGTGCTGACGCGCGGGGACGGCGCGGCGTAGGAGAAGTAGTTGCCCTTGGCGTAGTAGGTCCGCGTGTGCTGGTCCCTGGGGACGACCATGTTGCGCACGGCGCACGCGCCCAGCCCCGCCGCGTTGACGAGCGTGTCGGCCGTCACGGTGCCCTCCTCGCCGGTCCGGGCGTCGCGCACCGCCACCTCCCACCCGCCTGCGCCCCTCCCCCCGGCGCCCAGGGGCGCGACGCCGACGACGTGGCTCCCCGGGCTGAACGTGCCCCCCCTCTCCTCGAGGTGGCCCAGCAGCGCGACCATGAGCGCGTGGCTGTCCACGATCCCTGTCGTGGGGCTCTCAAGACACCCCGCCGCGGCGCGGACCGCCGGCTCGCGGCGGGCCAGCTCCCCCCCGCCGACCCAGCGCACGGGGACGCGGCCGCCCAGCGCGCCGGCGCAGTGGTCGTACACCTCCTGCAGCGCCGCCCTCTGCGCGGGGGTCTGCGCGACGATGAGCTTGCCCGTGTTGCGGTGGGGCACGGCGTTGGCCGCGCAGAAGGCGTACAGCAGCCCCTTGCCGCGGACGCAGAGCTCCGTCTTGAGGGTCTCGGCGCCGTAGTATATCCCGGCGTGGATGACCTCGCTGTTGCGCGAGGACGTCTCCTGCCCCGGCTGGGCGTGGCGCTCCAGGAGGAGGGTGTTGGGGTTGCGGGCTGCGAGGGCGCGGGCTACGGCGAGGCCCACCGCGCCGGCGCCTATGACCTGGCGAGGTGGTGGTCAGCATGGCTGGTTGTGATCAGGGTGAGATGGCCATGAGCCCGCCATCGTGAAGCTCTCACGTCCGAGGCAGATCAACTCACCACATGCGCAAAGTCAGCCCGCCTCGACACACTAGTCGAAAACAGCCGACCTAGGCCAGCCGTCCCATCGCATCTGCACCCGGACCCGCTGGCCCCAAGCAACTGCCGCCGCGCCGCGAGCTGCACCCTCGAAAACATCTTGTGTTGACCGTGTATGCTTGCAACTTGTTCCAAGTCTACCTCCCTTCCCGTGCTCCACCGCTCACACCCCGAGCACTCGGAGAAGAGCTCTGCCTATCACGGACAGCCGGTTGTGGCAGACAGGTCCTTCCTCAGGGGCGCGTGTTGGTAGTCGTGGTGGAGTAGTCGTGATGACGCAATCGCAGAAACCCAGGGCGGTCCGGAGAGAGAGAGATGTTGCAGGCCTGGCACCAGCAACGGTTTTTGTTTAGGTTGCCGTCCAATTCAAGGTCCAAGACAAAAGTTTCGAATCCTACTCAGATACACACACCCTTTCCAAAAAAGAATCCGCACTTCACAAATAAAGCGTGCGAGATCGGAGAGCGATAAGGGGCTTCACATCGAACTTTGAAGCCGCTGCCCATTGCGAGTGCTAGGACGAGAAAGCATCTGCACACAATTACACGGGCACACAAATTGTTACTAGCAGGAACTGGGCCAGGACGGTTCAGAATACGCACACAACGCACTTGATACTCTCGCACCTAGACTTTTCTATTTGCTGCCCAGATGTATCCCCAGGTACTCAATCTGCTTCCGTCAAAGCAAGCACAAACCCATTGCGCCAAGTGTATGCGGACAGAATTGGTATCTCATAAGCGCAAAAACCTTCCCCTACCACCAGGTGCACGCCGTGTTACCATGCATAATCCAGACCACGCCTCCTCCCCTCCCCGGTCAGAGTGATGCCAACATTTCAAGTCCCCACTACTCCTCCGGGAACTTGTCCGTCGTGGGCGTAGACGGCCCGTTGGAGTGAGAAGACATGGAGTAAGGCGCCTGTGGAGCAAATGTCAGTAAGATCAAAATGGACTCCATCTTCCTGGGGTTAAGTGAGAGGGGAGCAGGGCACGCACCAGAACCTGTCTTGCATTACAGACCCTCCAGGCCAACCTCCTCACGTTCCCATCCGCAGGCACCACCGCCGGTGCGAACTCAATACCAAACATGTTGCGGATCGCGTACACAACCCGCTTGGCGTACTTGCTGTCCCTTTCCACGTGGCTGCCGAACCGCTCGTCCACGGTGCTGGGTGCAATGTCGTTATCGCGGTCCAGGCAGTTGCGCACCACCGGGAGGAGCGCCTTTTCGATCGCCTCCTCATCCTCTTCCTCAAACCGGCTGATGCAGACCTCGAACGGCTCGCTGACCGACATAACCTGGTGCGTGCCATCGTGGTGGTAGCGGAACTCGAACACCCCCTGCGTCCACCAGAGCTTGTCGCCTTCGAACACCATCTCGCCCGAGACCAGGTTTGAATCCGGCACAGGCTCGTCTGACTTGACCACGCCGCTGCTGTAGGACTCGCCGTAGAACTCCGGTGTGGTTGGGATCCAGCGACCTAGGGACGGCACCTCTGTCACTTCCCGGGACCGGTTATCCGTGACCATGTAAAGCCCGACCCAGTCCTTCTTGCTGTGGTTCGCGGGTGCCCTCCACTTGACGCGGATGGGGGCGCCGTACTCGAATACCTGTGTCTTGAAGTCCTTGTTCACCCGCGCCGTGAGACTCTCCTTGCCAGTTGCCCTCTCACCAACAGGAGACACGGCAGGGGTGCCAGCAAAGCTCACCGAGTAGTCCTCGGGGTTGCGGCCAGCCAGGTCGGGCGGGATTCGCGTGATGGTCAGCCGGGCCGGGTACTTGTTGAACAGCGCAGTCGTGTCGCGAGCGATGCTGGATACCCCACTGGCAAGCATCGGGCCGGCAGTGGTGATGACATCGTCGACAAAGTTCCTCGTCTCATCCAGGACCTTGTCCACGCTGGACGACCAGCCCTTGACTGGGGGAGGAAGCGAGTTCTTGATGAACTTGGTAAGCCCGGCCTCCTCCCGCAGATTCCCAGACCCATACACCTTGTGCATGTGCGGTCTCTCGACAAATTCAATGTGCCCCATGGTGAGGATCTGACTTAGGAGCGCGAACAACGCGACTGACCTGCTCCATGTGATCACTGCCGCGCCCCAGAGACCCGCCAGTCCTATTATGCGCTCTGGGTTGTTCAGGAACCGGTAGATGGAGTTGTAGGTCAGCTTCGCCTTGTGGTCAAAGAAGAAGTCGCCATAGAACCAGCCAAACTCGCCAAGCGTGTCATAGACACTCACGAATGTCCAGATCTGGAGGGCGATGAGACTGATGCCAATGACGTGCCTCAACAGTACCCAGCCGTGCATCCAGTCTTCTGGGAGGCTGTACATCTTCCAGCAGAGGGCGCAAAAAGACGCCACGGAGAGAGTCATACTGAAGTGGTACAGGCCCTTCCACTGGCGCCAGGCCTCACCGGCGCTCTCTCCGTACTTGACGAAGTGGCGGGTGATCATCCTCTCCTTTGACTGCAGGGTCAATAGGATGCCGATTCCCACGCAGAACCACAGCTTCCACAAAAGAGCATGCAAGAAAAACAGCACCTGGTAAGGTGGAGTCGACGGCGTGACAATCGCCAGCACTGCCACATAGATGGAGGCCAGGATGACGGAATAGTCCGTGGAACGAAAGAGATCAATGTTCCGGAAGCCAATGAGATTGTGCACGGGAGCCAATGCCTCCCTAGACGCATCATCAACGGGCTCGGCCGGGGCGTCCTGCTCGGAATCCGACTTGGTCCTTGGGGCTGGCGGGTTGTATGTCTTGTCGATATGCGGGTTCTCGACCACAACCAGAAACGCGAGCTGGGCCAGATGCGCCGCAATCGAGATGAACAAGACCTCATAGCTAGCAGCCATGGCGGAGATACCGTAGTATCCGGCATAGCCAACTGTAACACCTGGAGTTAGCCATCACACGTTGACAAGGTAGCATGCCCCACATGTTTGTGGATGATTACGGCATTTGTATAGTCAGCCAGGGGCGCTGGCCACCGGGAATGACAGGACATCGCACTGGCGTGCGAAGAGAAAGCCGGGACCGGGCGTGCCCTTGGGAGGGCGGAGGGCGTAGGGCGGAGCGGGCGCTGGGGGGTGAGTGCTTACTGCTGTACATGGGATGCGGTGCCATCTCAAAGACGCCGTCAAAGGTCAGCTCTTGGTCGACGAGGTAGAAGAAGTCGCCCCAGTACCAGGCGAAGTCCTTGACTACTCGGTGTGCATCAAGCTTGACCCAGACGTTGAACACGAACAATGCGACGCCTACAGCCCAGCGACACAGAAAGACCATGGTGGATTCACCGTCGGGCACATGGGCGCAGACAATGGCGAAGAGGCAGTAGGACACAAAGTCACACATCAGAATCAGATCGACGAGGCGGCGGAAGACGAGCCAGGTATTGTACTCGAGAGGGGCGTCCTCGAACTTATAGTCCTCGGGGATCTTTGCCTCAAGCTCCTTCTTGAGCAGCCTGTAGAGCCACGGCCTGGGCTGCTTCCCGGTGGAGGGGTTCACAAACAGCCTCCAGCGTTTGGCCCAGGTCACCATCAGCTTACGGTTGGACTGTTCCTGGAGCAAGACGCCGATGCCAACGTTGTACGAGGCCCTCCAGAAGATGAAGACGGCGGCCATGACGGGCTTCTTGAGCTCGGCGGGCAACAAGTAGGCAAGCAGGATGTGCAGGGCGAGAATCACGAGGACGGCGGCATCGGAGAGGTTCTTGGGCTGTCGAGGGTCCAAGAGCTGGCTGACCATGTCGTGGGTGGTTGGGACGATGAAAACTAGAGCAAACAAGATGACTGGTCAGCCCGAGGTCGTCCGAAGTACTCGGTAGCAATGGGGCGACATTGGATGGCATGGCAACGGCCTACCGATTCCATCTGGAGTGCGCCCGTAGGTCTTGTTGGGCTTGTCAGGTCCGGCAGGTTGTTGAGAATCACGGTCGTGGTCGGCATCGTGACGAGGCGACTCCTTTTCAAGAGTGTGGTTAGAGGGCGAGTGTTGGGCAGAAAGGGCGGGTTGTGAGGCCACACCAGTTCGCTGGCGCAAGGAGCCGTCGCCGGCCGGGAGATTCGCAGCAGAGCTCATCCTTGAGGTTGAAATCAAGGGATGCCAAGAGGTTTCGTTCGTTGAAGAAGGAAACAGAACAGGAGGGAGGAACTACTCCCCGTGGTCGACCATGAGAGGGGGGTGGTGGTTTTTGGTTGTGGTGAAGTACCGAGCGGACGGTCGGGAAGGTGGGAGGTGGAGGTGGGAGGTGGAGGTAAGGCTAAAGGGTGGGAGTGGCAGTCACAGTGGCAGTGGCAGCCGCAGGCATGTGGCATGATGTGAGATCAGGAGGGGGAGGTCGGGCTAAGGCAGGAACTCGTGGCTGGTTCGCTCGGCTCGTAATAATAGACCACGAACGAAGCAGGGAAGGTGCCACGGCGCCCAGGCGTGGCCATATTGCCTATGCAACTGCCCTCTTTACTATTAGCGAGCATTTAATGACTGTCCAATTACATAGTACTGTGCATGCTGCCCCTGCAGAGGAACAATACGCGGTTGGATGCGGCTTTCCTGCGATGCGGCTTGGCCGGATATGCATTAGTTAATGAAGGCCAAGTCTCGCACGCGCATCTGCCCTTTCTGCATTCCTGCCTCTGGGCAGGCCACAATAAACCCAGGACAAAACGAATGTGGGAGTATCACGGAGAGGTACAGGGCTTACGGATAATCCGGTACCTCTCGCCCACTCGATGCATGCAACCCAGGGCTTGCTGCGAGTGTAGTAGCACTCATCAGGAGATCGTCATACCGTAGGAACAGGCTGTGTCGATACCGTTGCATTACATTAGACCGGGGTGTTAGAGCCGAATTTACCCCTCACACAATGCATTCTTTTCCATGATCTTGTTCTTTTCTCCGTGGGGGCACGGGGGTTCGTCTTAGATAATTCCTTTAACGCGACAATTCTCTCAGGTTCTAGTCCTGCCACTCCATGGGTGATGGAGCTTGGACGTGCCGGCGGAGCAAAACGTCATCACGTCACGCAGTGTCACATGCTTCTCTACCCGTTTTGTTGGGGCGGCTATAAACTCTGTGCCTGGGGGACGGCAACTTCCGTCTGTCCGACTAACACGGCCAAGTCGGTACCTGAAACCACCACCACACCACTCCAGCAACAGACGAAATATCCTTGGGATGTCTTCGTCTCTTCAGCTTCAAATATTTATATCTCAATTTTAATTACACTCATGAGGCGTGTCGCTCAAAGCAACAGTTCGCTGGTGGCTACACAGGTGGACAGGAATCATGAGATCAATACTGTACCTAGGTACATATGCACTAAGTGTCAGGCCTGCACCGCCATGGATCCACCTGGCGTTGTGGGCCTCGTCAACGACAGCACCACAGCACGGAGCCGCACCCCGCGGCCTCGGTGCTTCACTGAACAGTCAATCTTGAATCTTGTTGTGTTGGGTCCTGACCATGAACACCCACGGAGCCACCGCTGTAGCCTCGGCTGGCCGAAAGATAGCTTGGTGAAGCAATTTCGTCCGCCTTGACGTCCACTGGCAGATTTCTCCGATGTGGGTCGAGGCGAATGATTTGACAAGGCCGCTGTTATCATGTCTCCCAACAGCTGTCCTTCTCGGGTGGCTTCTCTCCCGAAGTCTAACGATCTTTCTTGGGACAGGAAGGAGTTCCCAGGTTCACATCATAGTCTTTGCCCGGCATCTTGGAACCACCCACGCAGCCATGCCGAATCTGCACTTTCCAATTGCGGACATCTGGACAGACTTTTACGGCAAAGTTGTAGGCTTATTTTCATTCCACCAAAACAATTACAGGTACCACGCAGTTTATCACAACCCCCAAGTCTTTAGCTGTCCACGTGCCTTAGCCACCCCAATCCAGGGATCGTCCAGTTCATGTGCAACAAGGTCCCAATCAAGATGACAACAAGACCATCGGCGCTCATATCCTCGGCCAAGAAACACCTTTTCCGGTTTCGAGCCAGGCGCTGATATCAGCTTCCAAGCCCACTGGCAGATTATGTTCAGTAAGACTAACATCGGGACAGTCCGTTCTACTAGCTTCACTTCTATTCCGTACTAGTATACGTCCGAGGACATACGTGGGACCTTCATATAGTAGTAAGTGCTCAAGGCCTAGCGCTTAGAAAACATATAGTGTTAATAATAGTGGTTAAAATATAATAGGTATATGTGGCCTTAGCCTTGTGATGCACAGACAAGACTAAGGAGCAGCGTCTTGACGGCGGCGTTGGCTAGAATCGTAGACACAAGCAGCCCACGGGCTAGTCTGCTATGGCACGTTGGATCTTCTTATCCTTTGGCGTAATCACCCCAAGTAGATTTTTACCACGGCGTCAAAGAGTCGTATACACCTTGTGAAGCGTAGCAACGATTTGACCTGGAGCGGTATCGCAACGATGAGCATATCTTTCTCCATTACCAACATTGAAGTGATCAGACACAATCTTTATTGTATAAGTATTGGTCCAAGTTTTAAATCTCATTTGGGTATTAATTGATAGATATCAAATACCATCGGAGGTACTGTACGTACCTGGAAAGAGGGTGTTAAGGAAGGAGTTACTCCGGCTCTAGGACAACTTGTCGCTTTGCTTATTCCTTCGGCTCCAAAAGAAACCACTCACATGATAGTAACTGATTGGTGACACGAGTACGTGTCGAGAGTTGGCACCCCGCTTGTTACGGACGGGGTAAAAAGCATGGTCTACAGCAATACTTCGGAAGACCATCAGAAGCACCGTTGCTGCACTATAACGCGCGGCGTCATGAAGTACAAACACAGACTGTTAGCTAGATGAGAGTGTAGGCTTTCAGGACATAAGTGGTTTCGCTTCTATTCTGTATACGTCCGAGGACATACATGGCGCCTTCATACGGTGGTAAGCACTCATTTCAGGGCATAAAAGCTGGTTCCTCGACCAAGTGTCTTGCTCCCTGGACTTGAACCTTTCACCAACATCTCACAGTATCCTCCAGGGCTATCATCGGAAAATCATACACCCCAAAACACGAACCAGACACGATGGTTTCCTCTATCAAGGCCGTACTTCTGGGTGCTGCACTCGCCACAGCAGCCCCCCTCGCCGACCACACCACCCACGAGACCACCGAGGTATGCATGCCCATCTCATCCGTCTTCCCCGACGGCCGGGTCCCGGTCAATATGGCCGCGGTTGAAGACCCAGCCCATGAGCTCGCGCTTTGCAAATTCAACTACTGCGCGCCGGTCATGACGGCGGACTGCCACACCCTGGCGCCCGCGGATTGCAACCTCGCCGAGCTGGTCAACCCAGTCATCGCCAACATCATGCTGCCCGCCGCCGAGCACAACACAACCATCGTACCCCTCTGCGAGCGCGGCGATATCACCTTCCCACCAGACCACTCGCACCCTCTGGACCCAAAGCTCGGCGAGCAGCCGGACAAGACGGAGCCCGCCGCCCTGGAGCCCAGGGACAAGTCCGAGTGCCCGGCGAAGTGCGCGCCGTGGGCCGTGCTGCCGCCGTTCGGCCTCTGGTTCGCAACTTGCATTGCTGATTGCCACCTCCGGTGCATTCGTGGACTGTCGTGTCCATAAGCTGGTCCCGCACCACGAGACAACCGAGGGAGACGGCGGCGGGATGCATCCCACGTGGCCAGGAAGTGCGGTGGCTGGAAGGGAATGAATGTTTCTGGCTTTTGCTGTGCTCTTGGGCCTTTTGGTTTCTCTGAAGGTTGTAACATGGATCATGTTAATCTGGAGATTAAAAGCTAGGTGAGATTCTCGAAATCAGAATCCAAATCAAATTGTGGTTCCGAACCCTTTTCAATTCTGCTCGGGTGTCCGCTCCGCGGCCAAGATATCTGTTAGCCTACCTAGGTACAGAGGCTAGAAATTCTGGAGGTAGTTCGGTCACAGACTCTGATATATATAACGAAATATCATTTTGAAGGTATGACGGTAGTAGGTGGTTTCGTTTCTAACTCCCTATCATACAAACCGTATGGGGCGCCTTAAGTTGATTACAGTAGTAAACGATAGATCAAGATCTACCGTTTACCAAGAAGAAAAATCACAATGCCAATAACAGTACAAAGGGAATACAATACATGGGCACATGGCCTTAGTCTCGTGCCGCACAGACAACTTTGGAAGGCTAGGTAGGCATGGACTTTTGGCCAAAGGTCGAGATGAGCGGTGGCCGTTTGTAAGGTCGGTGGTCCAGCGAAAATCCATGACACTCGTCGTACGTGGCTACGGTCCGGTCAATATACTCATACCGCCAGCCCACGTACCACTCCGTACAGCCTTCGACTTCGGGTTGCAAGCCTCGGTCCGGATCATACCGCGGCGTCCTGCGGTCGAAAGCGCCGTCAATCGCCACGACTACCACTTCAGACTGGTGCAGTTTCTGCCGAGACTGGGGCTCGAAGTAATCGGCCGGCAGGTTGGCCAGGGTGTCGAGGCACTTGCGGTCTACGTAAAGACAGTACTTGAAGCGAGGCAGGTGTTTGACCCCGCCGTTGGTGGCGCCTGGGCCGTCACGCTCCTCGCTGCGCGCTGCGCACCAGTTCTTGAAGTGCCGCCGTACCTGAGCCTTTGATGCACCTTTGAGGCGAACTGGATCGGAAATAACTGGCCCTGATGGTTTATGTGTTAGATAGTACCTCGAAATGAGCCCTTGGGCATGCCCATTTGGGCTTGGGGGCATGGTGAAGCAGTGCGATGGTAGACCTACAGTCCATATACTGCTCAAGAAGCACGTCGCCACCTGTGAACTTAAGGCTCCTGAGCGCGCTCACCTTGAGGATCTCGAGGTAGCGGTCCCAGGCTGCGTCGTCGTCGTACGTTGTCCGGTAGATCGCAAAACCCCAGCGATGGAAACCCGATCTCTTCATCCCAAAAGCCATGCTGGCATCGGGGTGATCCCCCCATTCGGAGACCTTGACATGCTCGAGCTTGAAGCTGTAGCTGCTCCTATTCTTGCGAAAAGCGGGGTGGCCGAGGGTGGGCAATGTTGAGCGCAAGCGATTAGAGACGGTGTGGAGGCCGGAATGCTGGAGCCAGCACAAGAACTTGAAGGGTCTTTGGACCAATGCTGTCTGTGCAAGGGCGGCCATCAGCAGAACCACCAAACGAAATGTTGCTGGTATTATTGTAGAACTGCAGGCTGGCACTACTTGATGTAGCTAACGGCGCCGGGCAACGCTTTCATTGCAACGTGCCTGTTCCCTAATTTCATACTGTACACTAATTACAAGGCATCACCAGGGGTGTTAGAAGGTACGGTTAGGCCTAACTAACTAAGCTAATAAGCACTTATTACCCGCTCCTTCTAAGTGTTAGGAGAGAACATAGACTTCTTTTTAATAATAATATAAATAGTTAGAATTTATTTATTTTATTTATTAGACTATAAACTCAATATTATATAATATATTTTTATTCATTTATTTTTATAAATAATGTGGAGGACGACGAAGGTTTCTATGTGGAGGATAAACTCAGCTTTCGAGTGGTTGAACACCACGAGTTCACGTGACTGCGTGGGGTAGGCGGTTCTGTTCCCATCTGCCCATGCAGGGACATTTCATCCTCTCCTTAATCCTGCAATCTGTCTGCTCTCACATTCCGCGACTACCGCTGTGGCTATATATATGTGCGTCGAAGAAAGTCCGAGGCGATGAATCGGTATCAGAATTATACATGCAACCTACAACTGGGGTTCCGAGTTGAAGTTCACGATACACCCCACCCTGACCTAAACAGCACCTTCCGGACTGGTGACGGCTCCATGACCCCTCGCAACCCAGCTCGCGGTCTTGATAGTGATTCCTTCTCAGATCATTTGAACTGGAGAAGTCGGCGTGGTGGACCGCTTATATCCTTCTTTCGCAACTGGGATAAAGCAATGAAGCGACGACAGATGTTCATCGGTCGGGGGGCACAACACGTTCTTGTGTTAGCAGTGTGGTTAAAGGATTTGGAAGTCTACGACGCATACGACATTGCTTACAACTTGCCTATGGGCCGTCCAAACCAACACCTTGACGAATTCTTGCTGCACGGGGCTATTTACGCGGATAGTTATCGAATTTTGGCAGTGTTTCACGGTAACGGTGAGCTGGAGGACGTGGCGCTGTCCTTGCCGGGCTGGAGGTTCGAAGCCAAAATACCACGAGGCTTTGCTCAATCCACAAACACATCTCACATATGCATGCGGACTCTGAGAGATGTGACGGAAGATTTCTGGAATGAATTGTATTCCCTTACCGGAGCCCGAGATTGTGTCAAGCTAGGCATTCTTCTGCGATCTATCGGCGGATTATATGGGATTCCGTTTCTCGCATAGTTCTGGTGGAACAGAGACAACGTTTAAGTACATTGAACGGCGCGTGGCTTACGATATATTACATACAGTGCAGCTAACTTTAAGAGTACATCTTGGCAATTTTAACACCAGAAATATAGCTGCAGGAAGCTCTTCAACGGGCTCAAGCGAGTTAGTCTCGTTAAAATTTGTTCGGGCAGATGGGCTACACTGCTAGCCTTCAATGCCTTCTCAAACTGTTCGGCTACTAAGCAGCAGAGCGCAAAAAGTTCACTGAAGACGCTCGTTTGGTTTGGGTTGGTTCATAGTGACCGCTGCCTGACTTATCCGCTGTTAACCGGCTCTCAGGACCACGGCCGCGTTACGCGTTCGCCCAATGTCCTCAGAACCTTGCGGCTCGCCGGGAGGCTGAACGTCTTGAGGCTGAACGTCGTGCGGCTGAAGGTCGTGGAGGACAAGGAGGCGGCAGTCAGGGTGGCGGAGGTCAGCAGAGTGGAGGCGGGGGTTCAGGCCGACCTTGAAGAGACCAACTAAGGACGTAACTTAGACGCGCAATAGTCTCCGGAATTTTGTGGGTTTTTTTTTTTTTTTTTGGCAGACCTGCTGGCATGATGGCCACATCTGAGCCCCACGGCCCAGGCGCCAGGGGTCGGAATTGAGGGTGAGCTCAAGGCAGATGCAGGATGGGGGATTTTGGAAAGATGAAGCTGTTACTGTCCCTTCATCTGCTAATACAGTCGTTAATCTTTTGGTATCATGGTGTTTCCGAATGTTTCAAAGACTGAGAGCTTACTCACTCGTCCAGATTATGAACATGGGTCTGCCTTCGATGACGGTCTGAGGCCCATACGCTCTATTTCGCTATTCTCGCTTAGATTGATGCTGGAAATTACTTTATAGTTATTATTCCATGACCATGGGAGAGTTCCATGGCCTTAATATTTTCCCTCAGACTGACGCTGCGCCACAGTTGACAACTCATCCACCTAAGTGGTGGTGGCCACGGCCCCTCACTAGACCACTGCAAACTACCCATGTAGATGTCTGTCTCCGAAACCTTAGAAGCCTCTATTTTGACTCAAGGTGGACTATATATAACGATCTTGCTAGCTTTTAGTAATCATCCACGCCCAGAATTCCGTTCTCCTCACTGTGTCTTAGCGCATAGTTTATGAATACCAGATGTGTGGCCGAGCATTCGCATTCCCCAACGGCGGTGCGGGAAACGACCCCTCCCAGTGTTGCCGCAGATTGTCCAATGGGTGCGCCTGTGCATGAAATAAGCCCGCGTCACTATGCATGAGAGTACACATGCGGAGAGTAAAGATGGCGTTGTTAGAGTTTATGCCCGAGACAACTTCATCTCAATCTTAGTAAATTAAACCCGTCCAAAATTCGCACACGAACCTCACCAAGCCCTGGAGCTCCCAAGGCCGGTTCTAGTAGCGGTGTTAGTACACGATACAACATGACTTCTTCACCAGAGAACACAGTCGCCTTCATCGGTAAGTGGGGATCGTGGCTTGGTCCGAAGTCCGACTAAAAGAATAGTCAAATTTGAATTGCTGACCGCACCTGGCCACAGGCATCGGGGTGATGGGATATCCGATGGCAAAGAATCTACGAAATGGCCTGGACTCTACAAAGACCCTACTCATCTGCGACGTTAGCAAAGAGGCCCTGAGCCGATTCAAAGCCGAGACGGCGGGCAAGGGGCCCGTCGAGATCGTGGAGAACGGCTTCGACGCGGCAAGAGCAGCTGTGAGTCGCCCTCGTCAAAGACCACTTAGATCCCGAGGGTCAGTCCCTTCGAAACCATCGCTGCTCACAGTCCAATTTCACTAGAACACGGTGATCACCATGCTCCCCAACTCCCACGCAGTCAAGGCAGTCTACCTAGACCCCCAGACGGGCATCCTCGCCGGCGCAGCCTCGCCACCACCACCACAAACAGCATCCGAGCCCGGACCACCCCAAAAGCTCATCATGGAATGCGGCACGATCGAGACCGATGATGAGCAATTAAAGCAAACAATAGTTAGTTAATTAATATTAGGGAAAAGTCTATAATCTCTCCCAGCGCTTAAAAAAAGCAGGTATAAGTATTAGTTAACTTAATTAGCTAAACCCAACTATACCTTCTAATATACCCTTTATTTATTAATAATATTATTATTATAAAAAATATTTAAAATATATAAATAATATAATATTTTAATTATTAAACTAATAAACCTATTATTAAACTTCCTTTTATTATTTTATTAATACCTATTAATATTAAGTTTTAAATTTATTAAAATTAAATAAATAATAAATTTAATAAATAATAAAAACTTAATAATATAGGTTTAAAAACACTTTTATATAAATATTTATAAAATTCTTTATAAATAAAATATATTTAATATTATAAATACTTTTAATATTTTTTAAATAAAATAATAATAAATAGTTATATACTTTAAATAAATAGTAATTTTAATATTTTAAATAAAGTTTAATATAAGTTAATTATTAATATAAAATATAAATAAATACTTAATATATAAAATCTTTAAATCTTATAATATTTAAATTATTTAGTATAAATAAAAGGATATAAATAAATAAACTATATATTTAATTTTATAAATTAATTTAATAACTATTAATTAATATTTTAATAACTAAGTAATAAATAATTTATTAAAAGCTAAACCTAACCTTTAAATATTTTTAAATTATTTAAGTTTATATTATATAAAATATTACTATATATATTAAATTTTATAGGTATAATATTTTAAAATAAAATATTTAATAATTTAAAGTCTACTTAATATAATAAAAATACTTTTATTAATAGTAAAATATTATTCTATTAAATTAATATTAAATATTAAAATAGTAGTTATTAAAAGGTAAGATTAACTTTTATATTTATTATTAAAAAGTTTATTAAACTAATAAAAACTAATATATTATAAAGTTAATAAAAATGTTATTATCTTTCTTTTATTTTAAAAATAAGTTTAAATCTATTAGGTATAGTAATTATTATTATTAAATATATTAAATTATTAAAATATATATTTAGTATAGCCTTATTAAAAATAAAGATTTTAGCTTTAATTTAATAAATTTTAAGGTTAAAAATACTAATAAAAGCCTATATTAATATATTTAAATTTATTTAAAAGGATTACCTTAAACTTAATAATATTATTAAAATAATTAATAACTAAAATATTATTAATATAAATAGTAATAATAATATTATTATTTAAAAATATATAAATTAAATATAGCTTAATTATAGAATTTAATAAGTTTATTATATAATTTATTAAACTATTTTATTTTAATTATTTTAAGTTATATAAAGTTTAAAGAATTTTAAATATAATATTTTAAATAATATTTAATATTTAAATAGTAGATATATATAAATATTATATTTTAAGTATTTATAAAATATATAATTTTAATATTAAATTATTAAAATTTATTTTAATTATAAAGGTAATTTAAATAATAATTCTTAATATTTTATATTAAGTAATTAAATTATAGGTATTATTATAATTAATTTTATAAATTTATATAAATTTTTAAATAACTAAATAGACTTTATATTAAATAAAATTTCCTTAATATTATATTTTTATATATATTTATTAAAAGTTAATAATATATTAATTATAATAAGTAGAAACTTCTACTTAAATTTCTATAGTTTTAAAAAGTGTAATTTCTTTTTTATAATAATAAGCTAGTCTAACTTTTAAAACTCTTTAAAGTTTATATATAGTTTTATAAAATATTATTATCTTAAATTACTAAAATATAATAGTAATAATAAATAATTTATTATAGTTAATATTAGTTAGTATTAATAAGTATATAATAAATTTAATAATTATAGTAATTAGATTATTTAAATTATTATTATTAAAGTTAGTATTTATTAATATTAAATTATTTAAATTAAAATTAATATTAGTTAGTATTAAGTTAAAAGAGTTAAAGTTTATACTAATTAATGCTAAATTAGTTTCTATATATTAAGTATTAATTCTTGCTTTTATAAAGGTTATATATAATAGTCTTTTAAACTAGTATTTAAAGAGTGTTTAATAACTAGTTTAAATAATATTATAAGTAATTATAAAGATAATAAAAGGTAAATTTATAACTAATTAAAAATTATTTTATTAATTTAATAGCTATTTTAATTAAATTCTAATTAACTATATAATTATAGGTTAATATTTCTTTTATTATATATAGTTATTTATAGTAATAATAATAACTTTATAGAGCAATATATATAAATATAAAATTAAATTTTTATTTATTTTAAATTTAATAAAGTATACCTTTTAATTTAATTTATTAATTTTATTTCTAGCTTATAGGCTTTATAAAAATATAAATATAATAAGAATAAAATAAGACTAAAAGTATTCAATATTAGATTTCTTTTATATAATATTTTAAAAGGTATAATTTAATATAATAATATTAAATATAATTTATAATTATAAAGGTAAATTAAATATATAATATATTTAGACTAAAATATAAAAATATTTTATTATAAATTATAGCTTTAATATTAATAATAACTATTTATATATATTATTTAGGTATTTTATTTAATTTATAATAATATAATAAGAATTTCTAATAAATAACTTTTATTAATAAAATAAGTTAACTATAATTTTATTAATATATTTACCTATTATTAAAAGTAAACATTTTAACTTTTATATTAAATTATATTTTTATTATTATTAAAAGTTTTTAATAATTATAAAATATAATTCTTTTAATAAAAAGACCTAATAATACCTTATAAAATTATTAATAAATAGTATAAAGTATTAAAACCCTTTAATAATCTTATTAAAAGCATTTTAAAAATCTAAATAAATAATTTTAAATAATACTTTAATTTCTATTTTAATAATAGTTTTAAATATTATTAAATAGACTTTATAAACCTATAGGGTTTATAATTAAATACTTTTAGTTTTATTAAAATAATATAATATTAGTATATAATTGTTAAGTAAAGGTTTTATTAATATTATTATATTTAAATACTTTATAAAATTCTTTATATAATAAAAAAGGGCTTTAATATTCTTATTATTAATAATTTAAATTTTAAAATTCCTTTTAAAATCTTATTTATATTACCTTTAATTTATTATTTTTAGCTATAGGAAAATATTGTTCCTTTAAATATTTAAATAAAATTAGTTTTAAACTATAATTTAACTAAATAAATAGATATTCTTTAATCTTTAATTATAAAATATATTAGTAAAAATATTCTTAATAATTAATCTATTAAAAGCTATAAAAATATTTATAATATTAACTTCTTTTATAATAAAATAAATTCTATTAATAATAATAATTATTCTACTATATAGTTAAAGTAAGTTAAAGTTCTTTATATATTCTATTATATACTTTAAAGTATTTAAATTAAAAATCTATAATATTTTACTTATATTTTTAAATAATAAAAGTTTTACTATATATATTAAAATATTAGTATAAAACGCTATATTTTCTTTATTATTATTAAAGATTTTTACTATATTATTTTCTATTTAGTTAGTAATAACCTATTTTTTTCCCTTTTTTTACTCTTTTTTATATTTTACTAACTTATTATAATTTATATATAAATAGCTAATAAAGGTAAAGTTATAAAAATAATATTATATACATTCCTTTTTGCTAGATTTTTTTAATAAAAAGTTAAAGTTAGCACCTAATAGTGCGAATTTCCTAGACTTCTTAGTACTAGTTAGTACTAACCTCTTTTAAAAAGTAGAAGTATAATAAACCTTTAATTACTTAACTTTTAAATAAGTAATAATATTTAATATTTTAAGTTTAATATTAGAAAACTTTAAGATTTTATAGCTATTAAAATTATTAATAATATTATTTATTATATTAAGTAATATTATAAAAAAACCTTTAATTTATTATTTTTAAATAAAACTTTATAAATTTTATTATAAACTAATTAAATATTAAAGTTTTAATAAAAGTTTTATTTAAAATTAATAGAATAAATTAAAATATTCCTATAAATTAGAACTATTTTTATAATATAAATTAGTTAATTAGTAAAATAGGTAAATAGTTAAATTTCTAATATTATAGTTAAAATAATCCTTTAAAATTTTTAAATTAATAAAAGCTTTTATATAATATAATATATATTATTAAATTAGAATAAATAGTACTTAAAAGTATAATAAAAGTTTAATTATTTTACTTTTATTATTTTATAAAGCTTTACTAATAATAAGCTTAGCCTTTATATTAATAATAATTTTATTAAAATTAATAAAGTAAAAGCTTAACTCTAAGTAGTATATTAGTTAAGGTAGTTCTCTCTTTTAAATTAAACTTAAATAATAATAATAAATTAAGCTTAAAATTAAAGTTAAATATTTTAAATAATATTTAAATTAATTTAAATAGTTTTAAGTTAGTATTAGTTAGTATAAAAAATTAAAGTAGAAGTAATAAATTATTATAAATTATATAAAAGTATAATATTTATTAAAAAGTATAAATAATATTAATAATCTAACCTTATAATAACTATATTTTAATAATTTTTAAATATAAAATAATTTAAAATTAATGAATATTAATAAAAATAAGTAAGTAAAGATATATTAAGTAATATTAGGCTTATAACTTAATAAGTAATTAAAGTAAATAATAGTTAGTTAATTAATGTTAGGGAGAAGTCTACGATCTCTCCCGGCGCTCAGAAGGAGCGAGTATAAGTGTTAGTTAGCTTAGTCAGCCAGACCTAACCGTGCCTTCCAACAACCGACACCATCCAGGAAGTCGCAAAAGCAACCGCAGAAGCCAACAGCACCAGCACCACCACCCACACCCGCCTGGCCTTCATCGACGCCCCCGTCTCAGGCGGGCCCATGGGCGCGGAGAAGGGCACGCTGACCTTCATGGTAGGCGCCGACCCCACGACCTCAGCCACGGCCCTCCCAGCAGCGCGGTCCCACCTCCGGCACATGGGCAGCGAGTCCGGCATCTTCCACTGCGGCGGCGTGGGGGCCGGGACGGCCTTCAAGATCATCAACAACTACCTGAGCGCGATAACGTCCCTCGCGGCGTCGGAGGCGCTCAACATCGGCGTCAAGGCCGGGCTGGACCCGGCGCTGCTGACCGAGGTCATCAACGCCAGCGGGGGCCAGTGCTGGGTCACCAGCAGCAGCAACCCCGTCCCCGGCGTGCAGGAGGGCGTCCCCAGCAGCCGCGGGTACGAGGGCGGGTTCCGCATCGAGCTGTGCGCCAAGGTCCTGGGGATGGGGTCGCGGCTGGCCGGGATGGTGGGCGCGCGCACCGTGCTGGACCGGCCTACCCTCGCGGCGTTTGAGGAGGCCATGGGGGATGAGAGGTACCGGGGGAAGGACGCCCGGGTCGTGTATAAGTGGTTGAATGAGAGTGAGGAGAATTAAGGACCAAATTATGTCACGTTGCTTCTCTGCTGCCTAGGTAGTTTGTTAATCGCCTCACCCCGCGGACTTGACATTTGTTGAAAACATAATTGATGTCTCAACACGATAGTATTGGTACTGTTGTTACATTCCCTTGTTCTTCTTGCAGGTCTCTCTCGCCCTATCGCCCGAACTTGTGCTTATAGAATGAGACAACCTCGTCGTTCGCACGCATCTGCAGCTCAAGGCCCCTGGCACCGCCCAGTATCTCGAGGCCCTGCAAGCTTGTGGCGCGTGACAGCGCAACGTATACCTGGCCATCGGCGAACGCCTTGGACACGTCAACCCTGACCCTGTCCAGTGTCATCCCCTGTGCCTTGTGAATGCTGAGCGCCCAGGCCGGCGTCAGGGGCAGCTGTGTGCGGCACATCAGAGAATAGGGCTTGTCGTACCCCAGCTCGTCGACCTGGCACTGGGGTCCGATCGTGCACATGACACCGTTGCTAAAACGGACTATGGGCCACTTGGAATGGTCCATGTTGTTCTTGTACGCCTTTATCTCGCGTTCTTTGAGTGCCGCGTGTCCATCCGAGCCAGAGCCCGTGTATATCATTTCCTCTCCCTTCACATCTAATGCTGTCCATCCGACAATGATGCCCTGGCTGCCGTTGCAGAGCCGCTTATTCATGCTGAGATTGACCAACAGGACGACGGGCATCCCGCATTTGAGCTCCACGAGGCGATTCATGGAATGTTCGTCGAGCGCCTTCAATGACCCATCTGCGTGCTTCTCCCCCTTGCTCCACAGATGCGGGTGCTTCCTCTTGTTCCAGACAAAGGTATCGCGGCACCGGAACGAATATGCCTTTGTGTCCAGCTTATTATATTCTCTCTCGTTCACGAGGCGGACTTCTTCCCGTGTCGGGTAGAGCTCGACAGCTCCTGTGGTGTCTGTTTCGTGGTGCATCAGGAGGTCGACTTCCTCGGGGGTAAATGGCTCGCCAAGTCGACACTTGTTCAGCAGGGAGATGAAGGCTGGGTCATGTTGCCGGTGAATTGTATCCAGATAGACGTGCTCAAAGCCGCACTCCTCCCAGGCCTTGCTGCGGAATGCCCACTGGTTGCTGGCATTATATGTCCTCTTGCACTGGCCACAAGAATACACCTCCGCGTCCTCTTCGTCATCCTCACCCAAGTCCATGTCGTTACCGCAGTCGATGCAATGTCTGAAGGGCTTCACAGGCGGGAGCTGCGCAAAGTCGCCCGTGGCTATGACCTGGACCCCGCCGAACGGCAGGTGCTCGGCCTGGTACCTGCGCCTGTGCCGCGCCGCCCTCATGACCTGGTCGAGGCGTTCAAAGTGCAGGTTCTCAACCATGCTGATCTCGTCAATGATGACGACGTCAGTCTCCCGGAGCCGCCTCCTCACCGCCATGTTCTTCTTGCTCCTAGCCTTTGCCTTGAGCTCCTCGATGCCGCGCTTGTGCGAGTTCGGAGTCCACCCGGCGAAGGACCAGGTGGTCATCCCGCCGACCGCAAGGGCGGCCCTGCCGGTTGGAGCCAGAACCACAACACACTTGTCCATTTGCTTCAGGCGCTTCACGATAGCGCGTAGAACGGTTGACTTGCCACATCCTGCTGAGCCCGTGTAGAATATGTTGCGGCCGCTCGCGGCGAGGGCGACCACATTTGCCTGCTCAGGAGAGAGCTGGGGGCCATCAGAACAAGGCGTTTCATGGCCTCCCCGTATCTTGACATCTCTTCCAACCTTGTTACTCGAAGCCCCTGCGCTGCTTTTGATGCTGTAGTTCAGAACAGCTGGCTTTGGCCTTTGTGTTAAGGGCTTGGGATTCTCTACACGCAGAGCGTCACGTGCTGGGGTAGATAGGAGTCCACAGGGGTTTAAGGCGGAGGAGACGCGACTCAAAGTCTCGCGAAGAACTGGCTGCTGTCGCTGTCGCTGTTGTTGAATCTGCTGCCCCACGCGATGGAAAGGAGCAGGCCTAAAGAGGGCCTGCCATCGAAACTGAACCATGGGAGCAGAGACCTGGGGATGGTTGGTAATCCCAGATCTACGGCGGGCACGTTGAAAACTGGGGTGAAGATTTGAAATTGAAAGCTCGTGGGGCGCGCAAGGAGGTTTGGCTACCTACCTAGGTTCCAAGGAAGTACCTAGGTACCTACCATAGCGCTCCCTATGGGGTTTATGAAAACAGTTACGAGACCGTCCCCTTGGGCTTCAAGACGTCTCCTTCAGCTTCAAAACAGTCTCGAACCCACTACAGGCTGGCGGCCGCTGTAAAGTATTATAGTACCTTTATTCAAGGCCAGAGAAATTCTAAAAACCAGAAAGCCCTTCAAGAACCTCCTTTTCCTTCCAAGACACTCCCAAGTGAAGAAGGTAGTGCATTCTTTTTGTGGGTCGCCAGACTGTAGTCGGCTGCAAGCGGTCTGTAGAAACCCCATAGGGAGCCCTACGGTACCTAGGTACCTAGGTACCTAGGCAGTTTTCACAGACCTGGCTTCTAGGGCAGGGTTATGAAGAGGCCAACTACAACAGGCCCTTCTCTCTGCACTGTTATTGGTATTGTATTTTTTTTTTGAACGCTGGGTCTTGGGCATTTTCTACTATATGAAGGCTCCACATGCATTTTATATGTATTGGGATCAGAAACCAAACCACTACAACGTGGCCCGCCCTCTCTGTTTCCCAGGGCTGGTTTGGGATACGGATTTGGAAGTATTAGCCGTGCAGATGATGGGCAGAAATTAAAATAGACCTACCGATACAACATTGAAGTATTGCTATGAACCATCACGCACGTGACCAGCCTGCGGACTGTGTTGCCGCGCCGTTGAGTTTCTCAAGTTTCTGCAGCCGTTGCGCGCTAACACAAGTGCCGGACAAGGTGGAAGAAACGGCAAGGGGTCAGGGATATTCTAAATAGCATCAACGCATTTTTCCATATCATCCTACTGGCCGGCGTGACCGGGTGCATGAGATGGGAATTGGTGGTCGGAAGCAGACATGGGAGCCCTGGGGGCACGGGCCTACCATCCACGGCAGGTCTGGATAATGCCACTCAGTGTCGCTCCCTAGTTGGTGCTGGTGCCACGCCCCCGAAACATGACCGGGGAAAGCATCGAAGCCGATCAGGCCGATCAGGCCGGCACCTGCCAGTGGGGGCAATGAGCTCTCATCTCTGTGGGTGGCCCTCAACAATTGCGCAAACATTGCATGGTACTCCGTACTAGTATCACACTTCACACGAAACTTGGGGTCAAGCCTTACAAGGTTATCACGCTCTAGTGAAAGTCAGCGTCTAATGGTGATCAGGATCAGGTAGGTGGTGCAAAGTCCCGAAGTCCCCAACCTCGACATTGCCACTGTGCTCCAGCCTCCAGCTGAAGACATCGTCTCAGTGTTCAGAATACCTGACACGGTGGCCCATTCCCGGGTCTCGCTCACGGACTCGTCCTAGGCTGGCTCGGTGTCGGGAGGCCGGTAGGTGGAGCTTCCCACGTATCAACCTTATCAACCGTAGCACAGGTGGATCGAGGCACGAACCTCAGTCAAACGGCAGGCGGCAATCGGCAATCGGCAGGCAGCTGCACCTGGCTGCACTGTTTGTGTGCTGCGACTTCCGTAGGATGCGTCTGGAATATGTATGATCTGCTCTGTCAGTTCTGTACTCTTGTGCTCTGTGGCTGCAGTCAGCCATTTCTGCGCGGTACACGGACCACGAGTTCGTGGTGACAACCTGGGAAAACATGGCATGCCGCGGGCCTTTCCCCCGGCAACCTGGTCTGCGAGCAGGCAGAGGGTTCCAAGATTGACATGACAGAGACTCGGATGCCGCACGGATGCATGAACGTGACGTCTGCTATACCTGGGCTGGTATATGTGCTTTGTTCTTCGGTTGGTATGGGATGGATGTGCAGATGGCCTCGTCAAGTGAGCAAGTAGGTAGTCAGTCAAGAGGGCTGTTCATTTGAACCCACTCTGAACACGCGGCAGCCAAAAAGTGGGTGCGGGTCCTCAACACTTTGTTTGACCTTGGATCATTGATGACTTGGTGCTGTTTGTAGTGGTCCGGTGCGAGAAGGGGAGATGAAAGGAAAACCATCAGACGGCTGTTAGTCGTCTGATGGCAGGATGGAAAGGAGGTGGTTGAGGATTCAATCGTGAAGAAAGAGATACAAATACAGAAAGAAAGAACGAGACAAAAGGCGAGCAAGAGGTAAAGCAACGGCTGCCAACCCTGTTTCACAGCGGGAAGGGGCGGGCCGTTCCCCCTAGCCCAGCCCAGCCCAGCCCAGAGCGGGAAACCTTTCCCTTCCTGCCCGGGTTCCCAGGCTTGCCATGCCATGCCAGGGCAGCGGCTTTGGGAGAGAGGAAACAGCCACCCGCATGCACACCCACTACACCCACATCCAGGCGCCGATCAATTGCCCGAGTTGCTCCTCCCACCTCACGGGCCTGACCGGTGTACAGCATCTACCGTGCACGCGTGGTACTCGGTACACTTTGACAATTTTCCCTGCCCAATGCGAGGCGCACCACCAGGTCCAGATCCCAATTGACCCTGTAAGAGGAGGGGAAAAAAAGGAAAACAAATTCAAAGTCAGGAGAGAAGAGAGAAGGGAGAGGCGACCCGTGAGAGAGAGTGTGTGAGAGAGAGAAAACTCAGCGGGCAGACAGACAGACGCGCACTGCCAGGCACAGGCACAAGCACTGGCACTGGCACTGGCACAGGCACTGGCACAGGCACTGGCACAGCTTACTCCTCTTTTTTTCTCGTCACCCCAGTCAACTTCTCACCTGACTGACCCCCAACCCGAGTCTTCACCACCCCAGCCTTGCCTTGCCTTGCCTTGGCTTGGCTTCCTTTCCCTCCCTCTCTGCCTCACCCCTGCCCATCCAGCAGCAACAGCTTGCCGGATGCACCTGCCTGTCGTTGTCTGCTTCACCCCAGCCGGTCCCTGGCCCTGCCCATCGTCAGCACCACACTCTCTCTGCCGGCAGCTGCCATAGCTCAAGTCGCTCGTTTTCTCCCGCCGTACCCCTTCGTCCTCCTCCTCCTCCCACTCCTGCCCCTCCACCAACGTCAACACCACCCACCCCACCCTCTTTGCTCTGCTCTGCTCTGGCCGTACCCTGCCTCACGCCTGAACCTCCGTCTTACCGTACCAGTCCGGCCGTCTCCGGCCCTCCTGCCCGCTCTCCCTCCTGCCCTGCCACCTTGAGATGAGGGGCAATACCGTCGCGGACACTTGGGCGCGAATACCTGGCCTCTCGTCGTACTGGTGCCTGCAGATCCAATGGCGCGTCGACGAAGACGTCGTCGCCGCCCTCACCGAGCCTCGCTATCCGGTGCCTGACGAGAGCCTCGACACCATCATCCTCGTCCAGACCATCTACCTGCTCCAGCTCTTCCTTCACCTCCACGAGTTCGACCCCTGCATCAAGGAGGGCGACCCGGACGAGGAGCTCCTCCGCCTGTTCCAGGACAACCTCGCCCGCGAGTTCAACACCTGCTACGGCACGCCAGCCCATGCCCGCCTGGACAGAGGGCCCTGCCCGGATGGCGAGTCCCTCGAGCGTGTGGTCCGCGGCCTGATGCTCGCCCAGAGGGAGGCCGGCCAGCAGCAGCCCGAACGCTCCCGGTCCTCGCACTCAGACTCGCCTGACTCTACCAAGTCCAGGCTGCAGCACCTGCTCGTGCAGCTCGTGGCCGAGCTCAACAAGCCCGTCTACATGAACAAGTCGCGATACGAGGAGGCCCACGGCCCGCGCACCGACGAGACCTGGGCTGCACGCTTTGCCACGCGTATCATCCAGTGGCGATTCCACATGCGCAACCCAATGGTTCAGCCAGCCCTGAGGGAGCAGATCATCCGCGTTGTTGAGGATGCCCACGCCCTGGATGAGGAGGGCCTCGAGGTGTATCGCATGCTGAGGACCGCAGCACCCGGCTCCATCCACCTCGTCACGCCCTTGCAGCCCGAGCTGCAGCCCGCACTGCGCCAGCCAACCCCCGCCCACCATGGTCCCCACTCGCACCAGCACCAGAGATCCATAAGCAGCGGCGGCGGCGGCGGCGGCGGCGGCATGAAGATGCAACACATCTTGGCCTCGCCCTTGCCCCAGACACCGGACCAGACCCCTTCGGCATCGTCGGCAACGCCGCGTACGCCCTTGTTCTCTCGCCAAGTCCCAGCCGCGGTGACGCCGCGGCCACCATCATCATCACAACACCATGGCGATAGCGTCAGCAACAAGAGGGCTTCGGCACACGACCTACCCTATCCGCCAGCGAAGCGACCACGATCGGCGCACGAGCAAGACGCAGTCGACGCCGACGCCACACATCCCGAGCCCAAGAGAGAGCCCCCGGCGGCAGACGAGGGGAACCCCGGGGGCGAGATCCCGATACGGGGCGGGCAGGCAGGCGATGCGGCGGGGCCCCCGCGGGCGGCGCGAGCAGAGGTCACGGATGTCCTCCAGCGCATACTGGAGGGCGTCAATGGGCTCCACCAGAAGATGGAAGGGTTGCAGCGGGATCTGGGCCAGAGGTTCGACTCGCTGGACGATCGGCTGCAGCGGCTGGAGGACTGGATGACGGTGAGCTGAACTTCCCCTGGCTCCTTCGGGAGTCCGTCCCTCTTATGAAGCGGCGCCAAGGCGAATTGAGAACGACCGAGCTGTTCTTTCTTCTAAGACATGTCTCTCCGCGCTAGTGCGCGGCTCCAAAATGGGTACTAGTGTTTCTGGGAACTCCAACTAACTTTGCAATCATTGGGAGGGAAAGGATCCTGTATAGTCCGCGAACTGGCTTCCGGCCATCGTCTTCACAGTACCAGTCGATCAGAGGGAGGACCCCAGGTTACACAGCACTGGGAGCCAGCGAGAGCCACGATCTCAGGCTGCCTGGCGCATCGAGGCCTATTCGACGTAGAATTGGGAAGCCTGGGAACGGAGAACATACAAGACTCGGCCTAGCGCTTCCCGTCTCAGGAGAGAATCGGCCTGGAATGACGAACGGCGGCGATGATCACGGATTTAGATGCGGGCACTGGCGTTTGACAGGCAACAACTGAGCCCTAGGATTGCCTGGGCAGGACGGAACATTGTTTATTATGGTAAGGGGGCAATTACGGTGCCTCACGGCCAACGCCCCTTCTTGCGCGGTAGAGAACGGCGTTGCAACAGCAAGCGAGAGCTGCATAAGTCCCATCACATCAGATCCATCCAGCAAGCCAGCCGCCTGGCGACTGGCAAATACGAATACGTATACGGACAACCTCGGCCCGCTCGCAGCTAGCAAACTCAGGATAACAAGGGAAAGGAAGGGTTGTGCTGGTTACTGTTGGCGCCTTTTGATTCTCCCGGATGCGAGGCAAGGGGGAGGAGAGAACAAGAAATAAAAAGGAAAGAGATGAGATGGCGCGCGGGACAGAGATGGCGCGCGCGCCGATTGGGACGTGCCAGTGGCGGGACGTGGCGCGACGCAGGGATTGCCTTGGACATAGAGAATTCAAGCAAGCAATTGGATTGTTCCTCAAGGTTCTGCGCGCCGAACGGCTTCTCTTTTTATTGTAACCTGTGTGGGATGAGATTTTTGCCTGTATGTGGGCAGCATCGATTGATATCCTACGTAACGTGAACTACGGACGGAGGAGCACGGCAAAAGCCGCGCGCGCTGCCTGGTTTCTCAGTTCGTTGTAGTCGGTCGGGCTCGGGTCTGGCATTCGCTGCTCGGCTGAAAGTGGGTCTTGGTTGGATGTGCTGCCGGGGCCCGGGGCTGGGGTTTTTGGGTATGTCGGTACGTACCGTGCATGCACGTGTGTTTGTGTACCCATGTGTGTTGCACGAGATAGTCTGCGGGTGTCTGTTGGTCCGTTGGTCTCTTGGGAGTGGACTAGTGATATGATAATAAACAGTATTACTAAGTATGTATGGTCAACTATACCATACCACAGTACCGTACCCATGTACAGATTATATACGCCATACGCCAGCACCCTCAATGATAGGCCAAACAAGAACTCGGGCTTAGATTTCTTGGCCTACGTACTGATATCGGTAGATAGGGGTATATATGTTTTTTTTTCCTTTCTTTCCTCTTCTTTTGAGATGGATGCGCGACTCGAAGGTCTTGTCTCGGGGTTCGAATGACGGACGTTGTGTTTTTTTTGTATGGGCCGACTCGCGGTTGCGCGAGTCACTTTCCCGTGCCTGTTGGTTGACCCCGGGAAGGTGGGACTGGACGGGGGCTTGGGTTGCTTGGCTGGCTGGCTGGCTGGCTGGCGGAGGGGGTGAATAGGAGGCGGGCTTGACTAGTGCGGGTGAATTATGTCTGTGTGTGTGTTTGTGTTTTCTTGGGTGTTTACCACTGTGTGAAGGCGCAATGCTGGTGTATATCTTCGGACGTGTAGGGGTAGAAGCCAAACCTCTCTGTGTGTGTGTCACAGTGTGTGTGGTGTGTGCCCCGTTTGTGTGTGTGTGTGTGTGTGTGTGTGTACGTCGCTGATGTGCGTCATAGAGGCCAGAAAATGTACACGCTGACAAATGTATGCCCGGGAGTGGTTTGCTGGCACTGCCACGGTAGTTGTAGTGAGTAAGTGTAGAAAGGGGCAGTGGATCGAAGAAGTGTTTATTAATGATGCCAGTGGGCCGGCCAGCTGGTCGAGAGCCGACTAGGCCCATTGAGAGATGATGGGGTTCTGGTGGTGACAGCACGTCTCGGCCATTTCGAGAGGAAAGGGAGGCTTGGTCGCGCTGTTGTGGGTGTCGTCTCACCTCCATGCCTGCAAACAAGTGCTCAAGTGTTTGGAAGACGTTCGTGTTGGGGAGTGTTTGACAGGCCTCAACAGGGAAGCGGGCTGACAACACACAAGCAAGGCCTTGGCTTCTGTCAAGAACTCAATGCCGACCGTTACTACTGGCGCCGGATTCCTAGGGCAGCGAGCATAGCGTCGTCATCGTACGAGGAAATTGCCAACAAATGCTGCTTTGTACGTACACATGGATAATGTCTGCTCTCGAGGGCGGCAGGATAATTGTGTGTTTTCTTGTCCGTGTCCTTTTCCTTTTATTTTTATTCTTGAGCCCATCAGGTCACTCGAGTGGCATTGATCCATATGAGTGTCTCCTGTCTCATAAGGTGTGCGCGGACTGCTCAAGCGGTGTAAGTGGTTTCGTTTTTAATGTGTGTACATCCCGAACGCGTACGGTCTCTTCACACAGTGATAACACTCATCAAAGACCGAGGGGGGTTTTTTTTTAAAAAAAAAAAAGAAAATGAATGCCAATAACAATGTGAGAAGACTGCCCACGTGGGCTCAGCCTCTTGGCCGTACAGAGAAGGCTGTGAGACCTGGTGTAAATGAAAATATGTGTCCCTGTGAAGGAAGTGCGCAAGGCTGGAGCGGAGTTGGGAAGTACTACCCCAAAGACTTCCCGACTCTTTCGACTGTGTCTCTATGCGTGGCTGTGCTAGGGTCAACTTAGATAAGGACCCAGATGACAGTTGACCTCCTTCACGGCACCTACCCAAGGGTACCCTGCTCAGCCTGCGGACAGCACTTGCGATGATGACATCTGGAAGAGCGTATTCGCATATGTGTCGGGTGCTGACATTGCAGGGCGGTTTTAAAGTTGCCTGGGTTACAACCCGCCTGATTAGAAATCCTGGTCTTTTCTTCAGCCCGATTTGACCGGCTTTAACTTTCGAGCAATAGTCCGTAGTCCGCCTCGTGCCAACGTGAACCCTATTCACCCCTGCCGTCCCTCCCCCCCTGAACCAGGACCCATACATGGATGGGGGCCGTCATGGGTTTTTCTGGTCGTCGTTCGGGAGGACCATAGTCACCGCCTGGTTGCTAGGTAATTGGCAAGCAGAATCTTCGATCCCGGAGTGGATCATGCCCCTGGATAGGCCCAGGCCTTGTCGAGGACGGTGATGGGATAGGGGAGTAGGGGGAGTACAGACTAGGTGAAGGGGTCGCGGTGGCCACTGCGCAGGCATGTGACAACGAGTCAAAGATCTATCTGGCTCGTATTGATGATGAGTGAACACACACGCATAAACAATACACTTACAGTCCTTCTCCTCTGCTCCGCTCACAGGAGCACATCATAGTTAATTAGTCACGACGGGCCCTGAGATGCTGCCGTCTAACATGGGACAGTACCCGTGTAAAACCCCGTCCCCACATGCCGAGAACCGAGACTGGTGTGGTGTGCCAAAGCCCGAGCCCGCCCGCCCGGGCAACTGAGTACAGCCCGCCCCGTCGGCGCTTCGTTTGCCACCGACGGACCCCGGGCCTGGCCTAAGCACCGCCCGCATCGCCTTGGCCCCCGCCCTTGGCCCCACCCCACCCGCGCCCGGCCGACTCCAACTCCCCTTACCCCCGGGGGAGCAGCGTCGTCTCGACGAACGGCACGGCGGTGTGCACGCTGGCCCCGGCGTGCGCGTAGGGAGTGCGGAGTCCGATTGATATGTATCTGGAGCGGGACGAACATGTTCGTGGCCGTCGTGTCGTGTCTGCAGGGGGTGGGGGGGTTCTTCCCGCCGAGTCGGGATGTCGTGCTCCATGTGGCAAGCCATGTGCGTACCGGTAACGGTACCGGTAGGGCGGGCGCTGGCGCGGGCTGGCGGGCTGGCGGATCTTGGCTCTGGTGCGAGGGCAGCGGCGGGACTGGGACTGGGTTTCCTGAGAGTTTGAGGACGGGGGAGGATGACGAGATTTATGACATCCGTGAGGGGCACTACTCGTGGTGGTTGCGGTGTCACCTGGGCTCCTGGGCTCCTGGGCTCCTGGGCTCCTGGGCAGTCGATCAGGCCATGTTCCCCAAGATCTATCGCGCATGGCATGGCACGGCACATTGGGACGATCTGAACCTTCGGAAGCGAGGTCCTAGCCTAATCTATCCAAGTGGACTCACGATGATAGACGAGGTAGTCTATCTAAATATTTGAAGCACCTGGGCCGCCATGTGGTGCACAATATCTGAACCGACTAAGCCCTCATGGGTACACATCGTGCCACCTGCAGCAGCCGAGCGAGTCGTTTATTCCCAGCAAATTATTAGGGTCCATTATTGAAGTAGCAAGACTTGCGATTACATAGTTTGAAATAGACACCCAACCGATTCCATCCTGTGAATGAAACATTTGAAGGCTGAGCGTACTATAAACTTTTATACCCAGGGTCAGTCGAATGCAGGTTAGGATTTTGGGAGATCAGGGGGGTCTGGGAGGGGGGGCATAGGGACTCTTCGGAAAAAACTACGCGTTCCCGGTGTCTTCGCCGGGCCCGGTTGAGCGGACCCACGCAACAGGGTTTGGGCCAAACGTCACGGACTTAATAATGCGCTGCAGGATGATCTTCGCTGCCAAGGCCAGCCGCATCTCCCGGCGATCATCCCTCGACGACATCGAAGACTCTACTACACTCTATCCGGGAGATGATTGCTCGATCCAGCCTAGCCCGCCCCAGGCCGACATGCGAATTTTGGGCCATGATGTGGGTACGGAAGCCCCGGGCTTCCAGATGTCTGCGGTGATAGCAGATTGACAGGTGGCCCACGTTGTTTACACTGCACAACCCTACAGGGCCGGATAAGCGATGGACCCCGTCAGCCTGGAGACTTTGTTGTTGCCGTCACGGAACTTGCTCGGTGCCGCGCATTGTTTTTCGCAGAGAAATCGTAATAAGGGTCTAGGCTGACACACATGTATATATTCAAATGGCATGGACTCTCTTCAGTCATCATACCATGTTTCAGTATCTTGTCCACTCATATATCAACACTGCGTGGTTGCATCATCTCCTTAATTAACTATTGTGTATAGACTGGCGGCTCTACAGCTACTTGTAATTAATCATCAAACACAGCAACAGGTTGATGTCAAGTGGTGAGCCTTACCGAGCCAGGTGGTCCTCACAGACCCAATGACCAAAGACTAACCATATTGGCCCTCTTTACAGGATAGCAAGATTTACTTGCTGCCACTGCATCAGCCGAACCCCCCCACATATATCCCAACATCAACTATACTAATCGACAACATGTCTTCACCATACAACGAGAAGGAGAGCCAGTCCCCGGTCGGCAGCCAACGGACCTTTGTCGACCATGAAGCCACAATACGCTCTCAAGAGAGCAGGTCCTTTGCGGGACAAGATGGGAACGGCTCATCATCGATGACGGACGACGAGGGAAACGACACCGAGATGGATCGCCGACAATCTATTGTCCAGGAGCTCGCCCGAGAATACACCCGCCACTCAGTCGCCACCAATGGAGTTGACCAGTCGGCCCTGTTCGGGAGCGATGACCCGGACTCACCACTCAACCCCAACGGCAAGAAGTTCAGCGCACGCACATGGGCGAGGACGATCGCAAATGTCACAAATGAGCACGGATCCGGATACCGAACTGCTGGTTTCTGTTACGAGAACCTGAACGTCTTCGGGTACGGCCAGGAGACGGACTACCAAAAGGATGTCGGCAACGTGTGGCTCGAGCTGCCCACCCTCGCCCGCAACCTCGTCTCGAAAAGAGGCTCCCAGCGCCGCATCGACATCCTCCGAAACTTCAACGGCGTGGTCGAGGCCGGTGAGATGCTTGTCGTCCTGGGCCCCCCGGGATCTGGCTGCTCCACCTTCCTCAAGGCCATTTCGGGTGAGATGAACGGTATCTACACGGACGAGCGGGCCTACTTCAACTACCAGGGTATCTCTGCCAAGGAGCTCCACGACCACCACGCCGGCGACGCCATCTACACCGCCGAGGTCGACGTCCACTACCCCCAGCTGTCCGTGGGCGACACCCTCACCTTCGCCTCCCGGGCCCGCTGCCCTCGGACCCTGCCCCCTGGGGTCACGGCCGACCAGTACTGCGACCATCTCCGGGACGTGGTCATGGCCATGTACGGTATCAGCCACACGGTGAACACCCGGGTTGGTGACAACTACATCCGTGGTGTATCAGGAGGTGAGCGCAAGCGTGTCACTATTGCCGAGGCAACGCTGTCCAACGCCCCCTTGCAATGCTGGGACAACTCCACCAGAGGTCTCGACTCGGCCAATGCCGTCGAGTTCTGCAAGACGCTCCGCCTGCAGTCGGACCTGTTCCGCCAGACATGTGCCGTGTCCATTTACCAGGCTCCCCAGACGGCATATGATCTTTTCGACAAGGTTGCCGTCTTGTACGAAGGGCGACAGATCTTCTTCGGCCGTACCACCGACGCCAAGGATTACTTTGTCAACCTGGGATTCGAGTGTCCCGCCCGTCAGACAACGCCTGACTTCCTGACCTCGATGACAGCCCCGAGTGAGCGCGTGGTCCGCCCTGGATTTGAGAACCGCGTGCCCAGGACCCCTGACGAGTTTGCTGCGGCCTGGGAGGCCAGCAAGGAAAACAAGGCCCTGAAGGCGCAGATCGAGCAGTACAAGGCTGACCACCCCCTCGATGGTGCTGACGCCGAGGCATTCCGAAACCAGAAGCAGACGGTTCAGGCCAAGAGCCAGCGCCTGAAGTCTCCGTTTATTCTCTCCTACGGCCAGCAGGTCAAACTGTGCATCTGGCGTGGATTCAAGCTCTTGAAAGGCAGCCCCGGTTTGACGATATTTGCGCTCACGGCCAATTCTGCAACCGCGCTCATCATGTCTTCTCTGTTCTACAATCTCCCGGAAACGACTTCCTCCTTCTATAGTCGCTCTGCTGTCCTCTTCGTCGCTATCCTCGCCAACGCCTTCTCCAGCGCCCTCGAAATCCTCACGCAGTACTCTCAACGGCCGATTATCGAGAAGCAGAGGCGGTATGCCTTCTACCACGCTTCGGCTGAGGCGCTCTCGTCTGTTCTGGTGGATATGCCGTACAAGATCACGAACACCATATTCTACGATCTGATCATCTATTTCATGACCAACCTGAACAGAGACCCTGGCAACTTCTTCTTCTTCCTCTTCACCACCTTCCTGATGGTCCTCTCGATGTCCGGCCTGTTCAGGTCAATGTGAGTTTACCCGTGCCCTACTCATCTCACTTAAAACTAACGTGAAGCAGTGCCTCGCTGTCACGCACATTGTCCCAAGCCATGGTCCCAGCATCGGTCTTGATGCTCGCCCTCGTCATCTTCACTGGTTTCGTCGTCCCGGTCGACTATATGCTTGGCTGGTGCCGTTGGATCAACTATTTGGATCCTGTGGGATATGGATTTGAATCGGTAAGTCGAGAATTCGGGTGCCATCACCATCTGACTGGAATTCCGAAGCTAACTTGGAATCCCATTCTGCAGCTCATGATCAACGAGTTCCACAACCGTGACTATCAGTGTGACAGCTTTGTGCCCAGCCCAGCTGTACCCGGTTACGAGAACGCCACGATTTCCAACATGGTGTGCTCCTCAGTTGGCTCTGTTCCTGGCGCAACCTTTGTCAGCGGTGACGCATACATCAACTCCCAGTACAAGTACTTCAACTCCCACAAGTGGCGCAACATCGGCATCCTCATCGCCTTCGTCATTGCCCTTCATGCGCTCTACCTCGCGGCCACCGAGTACATCGCAGCCAAGAAGTCCAAGGGAGAGGTTCTCGTCTTCCGTCGTGGTGTGACCCCCCCGGCCAAGGTGCAAGCCGACGTCGAGGGCTCCCTTTCTGGTCCTATCCCCGTCCTCGACAAGGAGAGCGACGTTCCCTCTAACGATGCGGCCATCCAGGGCTCCACCAGCGTCTTCCACTGGAGCAAGGTCTGCTACGACGTCAAGATCAAGACCGAGACTCGTCGCATCCTCAACAACGTCGACGGGTGGGTCAAGCCCGGTACCCTCACGGCACTCATGGGCGTTTCTGGAGCCGGAAAGACCACCCTCCTGGATGTCCTCGCGGACCGTGTCTCTGTGGGCGTTATCACCGGAGAGATGTTGGTCGACGGCAAGATCCGTGACTCCTCGTTCCAGCGCAAAACCGGCTACGTCCAACAGCAAGACCTGCACCTCGAAACCAGTACCGTCCGTGAGGCGTTGAACTTCAGCGCCTTGCTCCGCCAGCCTGCCAGCACCCCCAGGGCCGAGAAGCTCGCTTACGTGGACAAGGTTATTGAACTCCTGGGCATGCAGGAATACGCTGACGCCGTTGTGGGAATCCTCGGCGAGGGTCTGAACGTTGAGCAACGCAAGAGACTTTCCATCGGTGTCGAACTGGCCGCCAAGCCTCCCCTGCTTCTCTTCGTCGACGAGCCCACCTCTGGCTTGGATTCTCAGACCTCCTGGGCCATTCTCGACCTGCTCGAGAAGCTCTCCAAGGCCGGCCAGTCGATCCTGTGTACCATCCACCAGCCGTCTGCTATGTTGTTCCAGCGCTTCGACCGCCTGTTGTTCCTGGCAAAGGGCGGCAGGACCGTGTACTTTGGCGACATCGGCAAGAACTCCCAGACTCTTATCGACTACTTCAACAGGAACGGAGCCCCCAAGTGCCCGGAAGGCGAGAACCCGGCCGAGTGGATGCTCTCCGCCATCGGTGCAGCACCCGGCACGTCGTCCGACGTCGACTGGCCCGAGGCGTGGAAGGCAAGCCCCGAGTACCGAGACGTCCAGGCCGAGCTCGAGCGCCTCAAGGTCGAGAGCCCAGCCAGCACCGAGGACGCCCAGTTAGCCCACCGCGAATTCGCCGCCCCCCTGTGGAACCAGTTCCTGATCGTCACCCACCGTGTCTTCCAGCAGTACTGGCGCACACCCTCGTACATCTACTCCAAGTTCATCCTCTGCTGCTCGGTCGCCCTCTTTATCGGTCTGGTCTTCCTGAACGCGCCCCTGACCATCCAGGGCCTGCAGAACCAAATGTTTGCCATCTTCCAGATCCTTTCCATCTTCGGTCAGCTGGTGCAGCAGCAGATGCCGCACTTTGTCATCCAGCGCAGCCTCTACGAGGTGCGGGAGCGGCCCTCCAAGACCTACAGCTGGAAGGTCTTCATGCTGTCGCAGATCGTCACCGAGATCCCGTGGAACTCGCTCATGTCGGTGTTCATGTTCATCTGCGTCTACTACCCGGTCGGCTTCGACGGCAACGGCAACCCGGACCAGAAGCACGAGCGCGGCGTCCTCATGTGGCTCCTGTTCTGGCAGTTCCTCATCTTCACCTGCACCTTCGCCAACGCCTGCATCGCCATCACCGACACGGCCGAGATGGGCGGCAACCTCGCCAACGTCCTCTTCATGATGTGCCTGCTGTTCTGCGGCGTCCTCGCCACGCCCGACGCCATGCCCCGCTTCTGGATCTTCATGTACCGCGTCTCGCCCTTCACGTACCTCATCTCGTCCGTCCTGTCCACGGGCCTGGCCAACACGGCCGTCAGGTGCTCCTCGAACGAGTACGTCCACTTCGACCCGCCGGCCAACCAGACCTGCGCGGCGTACATGTCCGACTACATCAGCGCCGCGGGCGGGTACCTCGAGAACCCCACCGCCACCGCCGACTGCTCGTTCTGCTCCGTCGAGAACACCAACGCCTTCCTGGCCTCCATCAGCTCCAGCTTTGACAACAGGTGGCGCGACTTTGGCATCGGCATGGTCTACATTGTCTTCAATATCGTCGCTGCCCTGTTCCTCTACTGGTTGGTCCGCATGCCCAAGAAGGGCAAGAAGAAGGCGTGAAAGAATGTGTCAACTGGTGTTTAGGGGTTAAACTGCATTTTCTAATGTTATGGGATAGAATGAATGAATTTGGGCCATAGATATAATACATTATGCTTCATGTTATTTTCTTGTTGTGTGTCTTTAGATGTATTTGGGGGGGGATTAGTTAGCCTAGACACCTGCATATAGGTGACCCATCTGATTGATGGGCACGGAACATTGAATGAAGTATCAACATCCACCACATCGTCCCTTGCGATCGTAACTTAGAAGTCCAACCAACACCCAGGTAGTAATTTATATATCCCCAGGTGAGTCCCTAGGCTTTTGACCTGTCAATTATACGAAACGGTCCATATATCGTCTCTACGATAATGTTGCCGGAAGAGCGCTCATTGGCTCGGCTCACTTGCTAGTTTTATCACCAACAACCATCGCTTACATTGATTTCTTCTCAACGTTGACTGAATTTCCATTATTTTCGATCAAACATCAGGAATTCGATGACATAGCCAATCGCTCTTCGAATCTTCTGTCACCTCACGACTCAGGATTGTCCTGGGGATAGATAAGGTGTCACCTTGGACCACTACCATGTTACCAAGTCCCTCCACCGACATCGACCAAGCTCGACTTCCATCTCGCAGGATCACTGAGGATGACCTGCCCACCACTAGAACCTCAAAACCATCCAGTGATCCAGCATGCACCTGACGGTGTAGGCTCGCCCACCCTGGAGGGCCTGCCAGCCGATCTGAGGACGGCGGTGCTCCTGATCATGCCCGATCTGGCGACGCTGAGCCGGCTCGTCCACGCCTCGCCCGTCTTCCATGCCCAATATCTGCTTCACCGCAAATCCATTCTCTTTCAAGCCCTCCTAAAAGAGACAACCGAGGATGTGTTTGTAGACGTCTACGCTGCTTTCAGTTCCCATCCATCTAGGATCGGCCCGCCTACGGAACCCAACACCAATGTCACTGACTTCCTCAGTTCATATCTCGCCTGGCGTTTGTCATGTATTACTCCCAGGCAAATATTTGAGAAATGTTCTTTTGAAGAAATTCGTTCAATGGCCTCGTTCCACCAGTCGACTGTCAGCCCTCTGGCAACTCAATTCGTCTGCTGGGCGCTCGCTAACTACCGCTCCGGCCCGGCGCCGCGGATTGCTCAACCCCAACCCCTCGGGGGCGAAGAAGAAGCCCTGACAAGGACAGAGAAAACACGTGTGATGCGTGCCTGCTACCGCTTCGAGACTTTATGCCACCTCTTCTGCGATTCCCACTACGAGAAATTCGGCCGCGTGGACATCAATGAGCTCATCTTCTGCAACCTCGGTCTTGAGCCTTGGGAGGCCGAAGAGGTGTGCACAATCTACGCCTTCGTCAAGGCGAAGTACGAAGAAGTGGTGCAAGATGTGGAGTGGGATCTGAATGAGCACGACCCCAAGTTTGATGATCAAGATGAGTCTGAGCTCGAGGGCTTGGTCTTTCCTCTTGACGAAGAGTACGACGGTAAGTCCCTGTCCACCCCATGTGTGTGTATTTTCATATTTCCCAAGCTTCAACCGCCACAAATATTATGTGGCTGGGTGTCATGCACCGAACATATGTAAACCAATACGGCCGCTGGTGTACGCACACTTCATGGACCCATCATCTAACTCCTAAGCGCAGACTTTCTAACCGGCACCATCGCACACGGAGGCCTAGATCTGGCCCTGAAAATGATAAAGGCTGTGACACATGACGAGCGACTGGACTTGATGACCAGATCCCTACAGGCCGGAGGCGACTCAGGCGACTTTGTCGAGGAGGCCACGGATCCCGCAACCCATGTGTCTCGGCGGTACCGCCAACCCAATGACCGGGACCGTGCCGAAGAGAGGGACCAGGCCATGTCGTTTGCGGGCGACGATGCCGGCGCGCCGCCGCTCGCCTGGACTCTTCTGTGGGGCGGGAGGTACTCGAACCTCTTTGGCGGGTACGTGCCGGACGAGCTGAGGCGGTGGGGCTATGTCCTCTGGGATGCACGCCGGATTGACGTCGATGGCGCTAGAGGGTATCTCAAAGGCTTGTGGGCGACGTCGCCTGAGCTGATGCTTGTTTGCCGCCAGTGGGCGTGGATGTCTGACAGACCAAGATATCTGGACTGATGCGCCACACTGGCAGCAGTCGGAAAATCGCCAGTCTATGGTTCCTTAGTTTGCTTGCATTTTACCTGCGGACTGATGCCAACTACTGCTTCAGTCGATTTTATGTGGTCTGATCTTACCTAAACCTTCGAAGAGGAAAGAGGGCGAGGATCCTTGTGGCCTTCAACCCAAAAATCTAGTTGATATCCGGAGCGAGGTGGGTGCTGAGATGAGCAACATTTATATCCTTACAACAGCCGGTGTTAAGACAGTCCAACTTGGCATTGGAAGTTGCTGGAGTTGAGGCTGGTGAATAATTTGGCTTGGTCGTCACCAATCCGCGCAGACTGCCTGGCTCGTGGAATAATTCCCAGGTGATGTGGCCTCGCCTCTACGTCTGTGGGACTGGCACCAGGCTCGGATCCTGCAGAGAACATCCAACAGGTACTCGGACTACATACATCATCTGCAATGTGCAAGACATACGTGCCCCAACAATAGAGGTAATCACTAATGCACGAAATCCGTACGCTACACTTACTTAAGCTAATGGTATCGCTTTCATACCACCCCTTCAACATTTCATACTCTGAGGGACTTTCAGCTGCGCTGAATGCTGAGCCCTGCTGAGCCTGAAGCCCGGCGTGCAGGGTGAATTCGCACGGGGGATCTTGTTGCTAGTGTCCCGGCCCGCAGGCGGCAGAGGAAGGCCAATTCTTTTATTGATTCATATTCAGCACTGCATCATCTACAGAACTTCCTACAGCTCCTTGAAGAATTCAGTCACCACCAAACATTATGAAAGCCTTTCCAATATTCCTCCAGCTCATCCACTGATTGTAGAGTTCTAACTCAGTGCCAACTCGTGATTGCCAAATCTAAGTTTGGTCACAAAAGAATTGAATGGTACTGTAAAGTGAAGGGACTAGCTGATGTGATCAATAGCAGATGCATACAAAGCTGACGTTCTCCTTGCCCACTAATCATGAAAGTGTGGTCCGTCATCTTGAGGCTTCCGCGGCCGCTCTTCGAGTTCTTGCCCTTCATTTTCGTCGTGGTCGTCTTTGACCCTACCGCCATCATCCGACAAGCTATCAACGAGACAGTTCGGGAAGAAGTCGTCCTAGGGATCTGAAACATCCACCACAGAGCCGCCGTTAAAAATGTCCAGGTCGATGGTGTTGATGATGCTCTGTGCTCTAGGCACGAGGCTTTCTATCGCGTCGCAGCTGGCTTTCAATCTCCTGCTCTCGCTTACGATGTCGGCGGAATACTTCCTGATCTCCCTGAGCTTCGCGCGGCCGATAACCCCCTGCCTCGGCGGCGGCGGCGGCGGCGGAGGGTGGCCAGAGGCGGACCAGTACCAAGTCATTGCGAACCGGGGGAGTCTGGGATCCGGCCTCGAATCTGAACCCCCGGACGTCACCGGTGCACCGTCGCCTGTGACGCCCGTTGGATTCGGTGGTGGTGCTGGGTCGAGAATGAGTGGCTTGAGAGGGCCTGGGTGGGTCCCATTCTGCCAGTCGTACGACGAAGGGAGGTAGATTTGAGAATCGTTGACGAAGCTTTCCATTTTCGGGATTGGTTCCTCCTCTTTCGAGCCCGCGGAAGAGTCGCTGTCTGGTGTCCTTGTCACCCAGCGGGTCTGTTCTCTGAGCGTAAAGCGATAATCGCATTGCCTGTCTGGGTGGGCTTCGTTCCACACCTCTAATTTGTGTCAGCAACTCGATACGAATTATTTAGTGATGCTTCCTGTGACATGAAAAAACATAAAAGGTGACTGGTAAAAGCACAATGGCGGCACTGACTCCACATGTTGTCAAACATGACATAATCGATGGTATCGACTTGGTCGATCTGGTCCTTGTCGTCCCACCCGAGCTGGCGGTCCAGCCGGACATTGGGCACGGTCCAGGATGTGCTGAAGTCCATGAACCGGCAGTCGACGTAATTCCTGTCCTGGATGTCCTGGTGCGTAATGCCGATCCTGTGCAAGGTGTTGACAGCCGCGGCCATGTCGTGGACCCTGTCGGGGTCGATAGGAGGTGCCTGAATAGCTTCAGCGGGGAAGAACTCCTTTACCATGGCGTAGATGGGCCACAACTCCCTGTCGGCAACCTGCTCGTCAGACTGGAACGTATAAGCGAACCACTCATAGCGTTTCAGCCCGATCACATCCCACACGGCCTGGCCGTAGGTCGCCTCGTCCAAGGCAATCCAGCCATAGCACTTCCAGGCCAGGTCCTCATTGCCTGTCTCGTGTAACCGGCCATATGCCCGCGCCTCGCAGTTGAACGGCGTGAGCTGGTCATCCAGAAGTTGCCGGCTGAAATTGAAACTCTGGAGTTTATCTTCAGTGAAGAAGTTTTCCTCTCTGGCCCTGATTTTCCTGAACAATTTGAGCGCATACAGGTCCCCGTCGATCGTGACCCTCCAAACATGGCTATGGTTGCCGCTGCCCATCCCCTGCAGGAACTCGATGTTTCCGAAATTTCCATCCTTGAACTGTTTCAGCTTCGGTCCCTGTGGTATAAAAACCATACGTTAGCCTCACTGCCCTAGGGTAGCTCCTGCCCTATTGTTTATAATGTGCTTGGGATTAATGGGGGTGACAAAAGCTGTGTATATACATAGACTCACGGGCGTATTCGGCAACATGTTGTTCCCACTCATCTCGTGCTGTCCTCTTTGGGGTTGGACTAAATATTATTGTGTAGAACCCAGTAGATTTATCACCAAATGTTTTGAACCATCTACCCGAACGTTGATTAACTGAACCCGGGACTCGTTATCTAAGCGGCACCCATATATCCACTCATGTTGAGACAAAGAGTCGTGGTTCTTTTCAGTGGAAATTTGCAACGTTTGTTCTTAGCATGAATTAAACCCTCCGGATTCGTCCACGTCTATCAAGACCGTAAAGACATCTTCTATTGTCTCGACAAAAACCACAAAGAATCCCATCAGGCGAAAGATTTGCCCTCCAGTGACCTTTCTGAGATATCTTTTGCAAAACATTCAGCTAGCTTTGCTTGTTAATCAATCTTTAGAAGAATCCACCCGAAAAGATATAATAGCATAGTGCATGAATACGCGTTCATACTGCCACCATAAGATGGTTTGGCTGATTAGACATAGAATGCCTCGATATAGGCATCATACAGCTGACACCTGGATCTATATTCTAACACCAGTTGACGTGGGCGACAGTTGCGGGATGGGTCAGTAACCTTGGAATGTCCAGAGCGGCATCGAGGCTTTTCCCATCGACCAAGATCAGTTGACTGGTATTCGACTCGGTTGGCTAAGGTTATCTCAAACTAATCGTTCAGAATGGTACGTTCTGATTCAAAAAGGTTTCAATCAAAAGGGGGTTATGTCACCTTAAGCCACTGATGAGGAATGCCCAGGGTGGACAGCAATTTTGCAAAACTTATAACAAGCAACCTTGCGGCCTTTGAAATCGACTACCCCGTCACGATAACGTGACTGCGTAAGACGTGCCAAGATGCCATGTTACAAATCGCTCATCGGATAGCAATACCATACATCTGAATCGGCTCGTTGTGCATTATCCAGTCTAGTGACGGCCCTACAGACTGGCGAGAAGAGTCTGCAAAAATGGCCCAAGTCTACTCCAATCCATCCTGCAATTATTCGGCCGACTAGAGGAAGAATAAACCACCTGTTTATATACATGTACCGCTTGGTAACGAGCATGATTTGCCTGCTTGGGGTTTTGACGAGAGCACCGGGCAACACACATTATACAGAGTGTAAATCACGACCCTGCATTGAGGACGGTAATGAGCAGAGGTTCAAATATTGCAGAGCGGGGCCTACGCAGCAGGGGGTGAGGTGCGCCAGGGGAGAGCTTGACTCGGCCGCGCCGCCGTCAAGGCTTGAGCGTCCCGACCGGGTCAAGCACGGAACGGACGGCCGTGTTCGGCCCAACGCCCCGGGGATGACGTCTTCTTCCCCTGGTGCTGTGGTGAAGGAAAAATGCACACCTTCTAGAAGTCGATCTGCAGGGTCTTCACCTTCATAAACGTGGTCTTAGATCTGGCCCACAATATATATGATCCTGCGTGCAGATCGGACCGAGCACCTGGGCAGGGAGGCTCTGTCGACTTTGCTTCACGCAGTCTTTTGGGACGACAAGACGCATGGACACTATTGGGATTTTTGCGAGCTCATTTGGAAAATCTTTCTAGTGCGATGCCAGACCGGTCCTATATGGTGCATAGGGCACGAATGTCAGTCAATTACTGGAGGCCGAGGCGCCATTGACCATCTGCATGCTGCCACGACCATTTTTCAACCCCGTCGCTGCATGCACTGCAGCCAGTCAGTCTCATGCCAGCGGCAAGCAGACTCAACGACTGGCAGAAAGCCACACAGACCTGACAGACGTGCTTGTCAGTGAAACCTAAAACAGAAAGATACCGTACCCATGAAGAGCGTTTACGAGGCCCAAGGTAGAGGCCACCCGGGCAGGGCTGGTCCTTTTTAGTCCTTCACACATGCCAGATATAGCGGGCGGCCGCGGCGACAGGGGTGTTCCCATCCAGAAGCGCCCGACGTGGCACGCGTTTGATTGGGAACGTTCATGCTCTCTCCTAGCCCTCTTGCCCTCTTCCCGCTTCTGGCTGCCCATGTCAACAAGAGGAGGCTCCACCACGACCGACCTGCCGACCAGCAACCACACAACCGCGATCAGCGCGACTCGACATGGTGGAGCCCAGGGTATGAGAAGCTTGAGCAGGGGTTCTCGATGGGACGACGACTGGACCGGGCTGGGCTGGAACGGCTGCAGGAGCAGGCAGGGAAGAAGGGTCGAGTGGCCCACATCAACCGGAAAGGCAAAAAAGGGTCTCTCTCCCTTTGCTCTGCTGTGCTGTGATGAGGGCCATGGCCAATATCACGAGCCTCCCTGGCCTATATGTGGTCCCCTTCTGTCCTGCCATCCCATCCCACCCCACCCCCAGCAGTCGACGCATAAACTCGGGAATTAGCGACCACCAGGCCAAGATAGACAGTCCAGTGTGTTCTTCTGGCTTCTCTCCCTCTCTCCTCGTGCAGTCAAACGCGGTCGCGCCCCACACAAGGTCCCAGGGCCCAGCGCGTGCCCGCCCCTGACCCCAGCGTCGCGCGTACAGAGAGGAAGATCAAGCAAGCACCAGAGGGGGGCTACGAACGAAGGGGAGCGGTCAATAGGTGAGTCACAATATACCATCGAGGCATGATGGAGTTGTTTGATCGGATATCAGGGGACCCATTGCCCGCCTGTTCCTGTCCCTCTGGAAAAGTCCCTTCCTTTTTTTATATCCTCTCGTCTCGAACTTCTCCTTTTGCGTTCGTGCTTTGCGATACATCCATACAGACAGACGGTAATACGTTGCGTCGTCCTGCCATTGTTTCTTGTTGCTCTCGCTAGGGGCAAGAATATAGCCGCCACGATACGACCTATACTAGTGGTATAACATCGTGCTTCGCCTCTTCATCTATTTTCCCCTCTGTGACAAGGAGCAACGACGTTGTCCAGAGACAAACATATCCCATCCATCCCATCCAGCACCTCCTGAGACGCCGATCCGCCCGCCCAAAAACCTTGGGGCCAAAAACCTCGGGACCGACCTGCGACATTGATCATAATACCACCTCACCAACGAGGGGCCACCTTGGAATAGAAAAGAAAAAAAGGAGGGAAAACAATCGACACCCGACACCCCATCCGAAAACTTTATAAAAAGGAACCAAGAAGCAAGACCCAAGAAACCACCCCTGATGGGTATCTTCACCAAGACCAAACCAGAAATGGCCCGCGAGACCCCCAAGACAGGCTCAAGCGAAGAAGGCAGCCAACCCCCCTCCTCGGACTCAGGCGCAGCAGGCGCGGCAGAGCCCCAGCGCCCCGGCACCTCGGGCACGGAGATGCTCCTCGTCAACAACCGGCAGCGGGCGTCGGTGCGGCTCCGCGACGCGCAGCGGAAAGAGCGCGCCTACAAGACCAAGAAGCGCAGCACGCAGGCGCGGGCCAACTGGGGCGCGGCCAAGCAGCACTTTAAAGAAGGCTTCGCGCACAACACCAACGGGCTGAAGCTCACGTGGCGCGTCGTCAGCTCCGTGGGCTACCTGTTCCGCGCCAAGAACGACAAGCTCAAGGCCGAGGCGGAGGAGAAGCGCCGGATGCGGGCCGCGGACAAGCAGCGGCGGCTGGAGGAGAGGCTCAGGCGGGAGAAGGAGCTTGCTGAGAAGGAGGCGGCTGGGGAGGGGGAGGGCGAGGGGGCCAAGAAGGAGGGGGAGGGGGAGGCTGAGGCTGCTGCGTGAGTGGGTGAGTGAGGTGGTTTGTTTTTGAGTGTTGTGGTTGAAGTTTGGTTTGTCTTCTTCTGGTGTGATGGTGTTGGGGGCTGGGTGTGTGTGTGTGTGTGTGTTGTTCTGTTCAGCGACAATATTCTGCTGGGACACATCTACACACACACACCGCGAAACCTTCCCGAATTACCCACCGGCATGCTTCTCCTATGTCTCTGTTTTGACTGACGTCTCTCGGGACAAGAAATCCCCCTCCACTCATTCTTTTTCCTTTTACCTGTCAGTCATGTTCTGCTTTCTTTTTCCTTTTCCTTACTTGGTTTCTGTTCATCTTGATTCCCCACTGTTGTTATTATGGCTTTTACGAGGCTACGATCATGACCAGCACAATCACCGAGAAGAAGGCGGGGGCGGGGGGGGGGGGAGAAAGAGAGGGCTTGGACTGGTCAAAAGTCGTCGTCGGCTGGGTTCTTGAACCCAGGCCTCACCACATTTTCGGCCCTCATGGAAGGGCCGCCTTTTCCTATGTCAACGTCCGGAGTTGAGATTTTTGCTTATTTTACCAGAGATATCCACGGTTACAGCCAGTGTGCTGGAGGACGCAGAATTGGGGAGGGTTGGAGGAAGAGGGTATGGGCGGTCATAGTAGACGGTAGCAGCAGGAACATGCTACAAGATAATATCTAGTAGTGGAGGGGCTGATATGAGGCCGATCATTGAATTCACAACGATAAGCACCAATGCACAATCTATCCTTGAAACCATGGGGTCCATTTTCAACGGCTTGTTCCAACGTCGCCTGATAATGTCGCAAACTTGGCCTTATGGTCCAGATTGTACCCTGTTACCGCAGCCGTACAAGTCGTAACTGCCAGTCGACTCTTCTATCGTGCCAGGCCCTGCCAATAACCTCATGCCTGACACCAGGCCCCCAGCTGACCTGACCTCTAGCGCGTTCTCTCACCGTACACCACGTAGCATCAAAACAATATTCGAGGCCCGAAACCGGTCAAATAATCCATTTTCAAGACCTATGTCATCATGCAGTCTAACCCTTGCCGACAGCTCCCATCTGCCAGCCCCCTAGCACAAAGCACCGACCTAAGCAGCCTTCTTGGCAAACTCGACCTTGAGGATAAGGTGCTTGAAACCGAAGCCGTCCATCTTGCCGCACGCCCTCTCGGCGTCGGTCCTGTCGGCGAAGCTGATGAAGGCGAAGCCCTTGGCGCGGCCCGTCTCCCTGTCCTTGGCCAGGAACACGCGCGTGACCCGGCCGAAGCGCTCGAACATGTCGCGGAGCTCTTGCTCCTCTGCCATCTCGGAGACCTGGGAAGATGGGTTTGTCAGCACATTTGTTTGCATGTACGATGTGAGGACCGAGCAGAGTCCGTCAGGGACGGGGTGAAGAAGGAAGAGGAAACAAAAAAAAAACATACGTTCGTGACACGCAGCGTGGCAAAGTCGTCCCGCTCGCCAAACTTGCCGCCGCCCATCCTCTCGCCCTCGCCCCGGGCGCCGCCGTTCCGCAGCGCGGGGGGGACATACGAGCCCTTCTTGCCGGCGCCGGCACCGCCCGCAGCCGCACCCGCCGCGGGGTCGTCGCCCATGCCCGCGGCGACGTCGCCGGCGGCGGCCTCGCCGACGGGGGCCATGGTCTCCTTGTAGGGGCAGCGGGCGGTGAAGTGCTCCTGGGAGCAGATTCGGCACTTGACCTTCTTGTCCTTGAGCTTGTCCTTCATGCTCTGGGCGTTGGGGTCCTTGCTCTCGTCCTTGGCCTCCTGCTTCCAGTTGGCCGAGGGCCGGAAGATGATGTTCTCGCCGACCGAGGTGGTGTCCGGGGCCGGGCCGGCGGGGTCGTTGCCCGAGAGGCCGAACTTGGACCACTTCTTGCGCTCGGCGACGCGCGGGTTGACGACCTCGCGGTGGGTGATGAGGCGGATGCGGCGGGTGGTCTTGACCGTCTGGCCGTTCTCGTTGAGGTGGTACGAGATGATGGTCTTTGTGCCGTCGCGGTTCTGGATCGTCTCGTCGCTGGGGAGCGCGGTCGAGGGGACTTCTTCGTTGTCATCGTCGTCGGCCCAGTCCCTGTGGTTTTTCGTGATGTTAGCAAGGGGGGGCTGGCTCCTCGGGGACAGACAGACAGACACACGCACACACATGGTGCGGTTGCAGGTGCGGTGCGGTGGTCGTCAAATGAGCGACTTGTGCGGCAGGGGACGGGCAGACAGCTTACCTCGCTGGGTTGTTTGTGGCAACAGCAGCCATGTTGGTTGTGTTATCGTATTCGCGCCTGACCAAAGTTTCACGGTGTAGCTGGGTTGATGGCGGTTTGGCTGGGCAGTATGGGGTGGTGGTGTGGTGGTTGAACTGGCGATAGTGTTCGGTTGGCGTTTGATGTGGGGTGGGATTTTTTTGTGATGGCCGAAATTCTGAAGTCTCTGGACACCAAATATGCGGCAGCAGGGAGGCACAAGGCAGAGTTGCCTTCCCAGGTTTGTGGGGCAATTTTGCTCTTGGCGCCAATTAGGCGGGTGCACCAGGCCCGCCGACTAACGGCAGGCCAGGCAGCCAGGACCTAGTGACCTGACGAACTGCACCCGAACAACTACCTACCTAGGTACCTACCTCCAATATTAGTCACCCTCGTCAGCATCGTGGCTACACCATTTCTATAGCATTCGACGGCTCTGTGCCTACTTCGAGAGAGACATAAGTTGCCCACCAAGACTGCATATGAATCCAATCCGATGCATCTTGCCCCAGGATGACTCAGAACCTCACCACCTCACAACCTCACCACCTCACAACCTCACCACCTCACAACCTCACAACCTCACTAGTTGACAGTCTCACGAGCCCTCGTAGTGATTTACCCCCTCGAAGTTTGACGATCAACAGCCAGCGTTCAATTCTGTCGGGTGGGTGAGCTTCACGGGTACCGTCAGATGACGTTGAAGGCAAGCGGACCTTCCTCAGGTGCCCGGATAACAACAAGCTTGGAAGGACTTCCAGGGCCAAATGCTCCGGTGAAAAGACCTGTCGTTCAAACTTGGAAGGCTCCAGCGCAGGTCCCATCTGAAGGAGCCGCACCCAAGCCCAAGACAGGGCTCTTTGATGCTCAAATGAACTGGATCTGAACAGATGTTAGACGTCACGAATGCACCGGCATTGTGCACACAGCTGAGTCAAAAGAATTGTGTGGAAATGACGTTTGGATAATACCTTTCTTCTTGTGCTTGATTCCTTGACTCTGCATCCCCTTTATCTCAGCCACGAGTTTTTTGGCGCTGTTCAGACGAACGGCAAGTAAAGTTCATGAGTATGCCATCGTAAAGGCTTCCGCTGTTCAGGTTCTGATCGGGCTATGACCAAAGCCCTGGCTGTACCGTCCTCCGTTGGCTCGGTCACCCCTTGCTCCTCCTCCGTCTTGTAGATCGGCCGTTTCAATGGCCTAGCCCACCTCCTCCTCCTTCTGGCCAAGCAAGCAAGAACAATCCAGGCGAGAATACACAAGGGCGCGTTGATCGCGGTGAGAAGCATGATCCCCCGCCAGATCCCCCCTCCGCCCAGGAGCGTCGCTACTACCACGAGAAATGACATGATAGAGCAGTAAGTAATAAGCCCAGCACAAATCTTGATACCGTCATCATGTATCCCGCTATCGTCCTCGGAGAAAATACGTATGCATTTCGGCAGTCGGAAGAGGTGTTGGAGCCGCACGATCACGTGTATGATCCGTTGCTCGTGCCTTGTGATGTAGTTACCGATTCTCACAATCGTGAGCATCCAGACTCCTTGGAAGATGACTTGTGCACAAAATTCTTCCAGTAAGCCGTCCATCTTGGGCGTCCGTAAGTTTTAGGACTCGGATCTGGGCTGGCTGTTTGCTTGCAGTCTGGAGATCTGTTGCTGCTGGGGTGTAGACTGCTGCTGTCAACATGTGTCGATGTCGTGGAGTTGAGTGTAGGTTGTGGAGATCTCGGAAGAGTCTAGGGGTGGGTTGAGTAATAAAGTATGATTTAGAGTATTGAGGATTGAGAGGCCGAAAAAATGTTGAAGACTCAGTGGAGGGTAGGACATAAGAAGCAACATTTGAACCCGCGCCGCTGAATCGACGGCGAGAAGGCCTAAAGCGAGAGCGACGGCAGCTAACCTGCCTAGGTACCTAGGTAGCTAGCTTGAGGCTCAGCTTTGAAGGCCGAGACGGTGTCTTGTGGGAATCATTGGCAGCGAGGACCATGACTTGGTCTAAATACCGGCCAGTTAACCCGATGATGATACCGTTCAACAGTTATTCGCAAAGCATCAAAATGGTCACTTTGCCAATCAGCCAGAATAATCCAGTCAAATGTTCGCTTACAGGAAAGCCTAGGCAGGCACCAACTACTAACAGCGCGCGTGGGCCGTGTTTGGTCCAAATCACCAGATCCAGCTAGCCTTCTCCGTCTTCAAACCAAAAGACGCTGTGCTGTACCCCTCCTTTAAGTTTATGGCTGTGATTGTGACCATCAATAGATAGCTAGCTACCTAAGCTAGCAAGTCCTTATCCTCCCAGGCAAATGCTGCACGTGCTTGCCCAGGTATCCTCTAATATCCCGCCCAGATACATATATCTTTCCCATCTCCACCATGTCTCTTACAAAACAAAACACACATGTAGGCTCGGACAGGGAAAAAAAATAATAATCAGCACATGACAGCGCTTACTCGTTGGGACGCCATCCGTGCCTTCCGTCGTTCCTGGTTTCCCGTTCCCAAGAAAATCCGTTTGCTCCCCGACCGGTTGGCCACCAACCAGTCTTCCCTTTTTTGTTCCCGTGTTTTTCCCGTACCGGCCCCCAAAACACCGCCGTGGAGAAAACCCAGACAAAGGAGAAACAAGGACAAAAAAAAGGTCGCATTTAGCGAGGTTCAAGCGCACCACCCAGTGGCGCTATGACTGTCGAATGTTGTATAGTATAGGAAGTTCCCGCGCTTCCTTCCCGAGCTTTCATTTCCGTTCCGTCGCATACCCCGTTCACCATTTCAATTCATATCAGTCATACGTATTTCCTTTCAGGAAAACAAAAACAAAAAAAATACCAGGACATGTTCAAATGTCGTCCGGTCATATCTCCCCTCCGACCAGCGTCGCGGGGGTCCTCATCCCCATCCGGGGCGGGATGCTCGACGACCTCCTCTTCCTCGCCTGAGGGGGGATCGGCGGCAGCGCCTTGGTCGGTGGCGGCGCGGGGGGCGGCAGCAGCGGGGAGTTCTGCTGCGGGTGCAGGTGCGGCATCTGCGGGAGGCTGCGCCTGTTGATCAGGGTGATGTTGTTGTTGTTGTTGGTCCGCGGCGACGACGGCCGCGAGCGCTTCTGCCCCGCGTAGCCGGGGATCGTCATGGCCGATCCCCGCTTCGGCCCGCGGTGCGGCGACGGTGACGGCGACGGCGGCGACGGGGTCCGGCCGTCGGCGGAAAGGTCCCGGTGCCGGCTGGTGGCGGTGGTGGGGAACATGGATACCGACCGGTGGCGCGGGGACACCTTGACGCTGGGGAGGCTGCACATGCTCGCCCTCTTCTTGGCCGCGGCGGCCCGGATGATGGGGGACCGGCTCCTGCCGGAGCTCTCGTACGTGCCCATCGAAGACATGCTCCGGGGGATCCCCGCCGGGTCCTCGGCCCCGTCGCGCAGGGCGGGCCTGCTGAATGCAGCGTGGATGGGCAGGTCAAACTTTGGCGCCTCGCCCCATACGGAGTCGTCGGCGGCGGGGCGGAGCGTGGTCATGCTCGCGTACTTGCGCGGGCTGTTGTGCACCGACACTTGGTAGCTCGTCCTCAGCGAGCCGCGACTGGAGGCTCGCGAGGAGAGATCATACTCGGGTTTGGCGTTCCCTGGGGTCCAGCCTGCAAACATTGATGGCGAGGTTGGACGTTGTGAAGCACCGGTGCTGTCGTCAGTCTTGAGAGGGCTCCGTGGCGTCGGCGAGAGCTTCGATGGGGAGGGAGTATCTGCGACGATCGACAGTGGTCTGGACAAGCCGAGCGCCGAGGGAGGGGGGCGCCGCATCCTTCGTGGTGGCCGCCCCGATGCGCCGTGGGCATTGTGGACGTGTACTGCATCATGTGTTGCGGAACGGCGACGTGTCCCCGCGTACGGGAGGCTGAAGTTAGGCGGCTCCTGGATGGATGACAGGGACGAGTGTGCCCTATGCGCCGGGCTGGCGCTTATATCATGCACCATATTGTTGGTCCGGTAGGACTGGCGTCGGTCCTCGATCTCTGCAGCGTTGGGTCGGCGTCGAATCTCGGTCTCCTCCGCCAAGGGAGTGGGCTCATCTGAGTTGCTTATCAGGCTTCCAAAGCTGTCGCGAATGGGCGAGTTGGACGGCGATGAGTCGGAGGTGACAATTGTCCTGGCCGCCGACGTGAACGAATACCGGTTGGAGCTGTCCCGGAGGCCGTCGAGCTGCCGCCCGTCCTGGGACACAAAGCTGTTGGTGGTGGAGTTGTCATCAAAACTTCGATCCAGGGGCAACTCGGTCATCGTCGCGTCGATGTGCATCTCTGGCTCATCGAGGGCGACCGGGGCATCCCATCGCGTCTCCGGGCTCGTCACTGACCCAAACCTATGTGGGTCTCTCACAACCAGTGCCCTTTGACTTGAGTGAGTCCTCAGTGGAGTGTGTTGCACGTGCTCCTTGGGCGCTCCTGTCTCCGTCACAGGCCGTTTGCCTCCCAAAGATTCGATTTCCCTTCGCAAGAAAGACATCCAATCCTCCATGTCGTCGACATTCTCAAAGACCATCAAGATGTCGGAGGCCAGGCGCTTCTCCTTCTCCCGCATCCCGAATTTGCCGAACAATGACCTGGTGTCCTGGCTTGTGAGAGCTCCCTCTTCGAACACGGAAGATACTTGAAGCACCCAGTGCTTTCCTGGGATGATATCGCTCGCGAAAGCGGCCGAGTCTTTGCACAGCTGGATGACCTTCTCAGGCAGGCGGTCGTGAGTGCCATCACCGCTGTACTGCAGCAGATACCCCGAGGTGACCAGGACGTACAGTTTGGTGGTCCAGTCGAGCTTGACAGATGAGCTGTTACGCCTGTGCTTCTTGCGCGCCATGTCCACGAACAAGGCCTTCTGGTCCCCGAGGTCTGGGTGGTTGATGTTGCTGTTGTTGATCAATTCTCTCTTCTGGTGCGCCCGGAGAAGGCTGTCCGCTTGGACACAGGCTGGCAGAGTTGCGGTCCGAACAGCCTGCGGGTATGCCTGGAAGAGAGGAACCGGATCCCAAGTGGCAAGTGATCCTCGCCTCTTGCCCGCTGGACCGAGTGGTGACCTTGGCGCCATGAAGGTTGGAGACTTGATAGTTGAGGTCCGGGGTCTGAGAAATGGCCCATCAGCTGACATTGGTGCGAGGTGCGTCTCTGACTGCGCTGCCGTGGGCCGCAAGCCGTAAGATGGGTTGCCGTCCCTGTCCACGGTAATCGAGTCTCGCTTCCCAGCCCTCGCGACATTCCGAGCCGCTCTAATCTCATCGCCATCACTAGACCCTCGATGCCTGGCGAAGATGCTCCTGAATCCCAGTCTCGACTCCCTCTTGCCCGACCTGGACTCCTTGGTAGCCCGGAGCGGGATCCTGTTCTGCATGGCGGCGGTAATATCAATGTCCGGTGGTCTCTGTCTCCGTGACAGGGTAGAACGAGGCTCGCTCTGAGTTCCTGAGATACTGCTGGCGGGGCTGGCTGTGTCGAAGGCCGCCATGTTGGAAGGGCGTGTGCGTGTAAGAGAGTACGTGGTTGAGAAGATGGTTCCAAAATGGTAACCTCCGGTATATGGTTACCAGAGGCGCGGCTCCTTGTATAATATGGCTTGGTCACGCGGCGGTGACTGACACCTTGATGCAAACGAGGGGATGACGCAGACTCTGAGACAGATCATCCGGTGTGGAGGTCGACCGAGTGGTTACGAGCAGGAGGATGGAGACAGGTAAAGACAATCAAGTGAGAGCAAAAGCGAGTGAAATGTCTGAGCGACGGATGAGACAGGAATCGATCGTGGTGCGGGAGCGACAGAAAAAAAAAGGCGGGCTCAGCACGAGGGGCACGAGAGACACAGACGAGAGCAGGTAAACATCACAGGCTGAGACGTATCATGGGTGAAGGAGACCCGTCGGCGGCGTGTGGAATGTCTCTTGTGCGGGTGCTCGAGTGGTGCAAGGTCCAACAGCGACGGTCTCACGAGCGTGATGAAAGGAGGAGGGAAGAGGAGGTGTCGTCGTCGGGGCTGCGAGAGGGAAGGTTTGTGTGTAATATGAGAGAGTTACAACCAAGGGGGAAAACAAACTCTCGGGCGTGTGAGAGTTAGTTGTGCGCCAGCACGCGAGCAACAGCTGCAACGACTAATAATAAGGCTCAGTCCCGAACTTTTTTGGCGCAGATCGAAGAGGGGAATTTATCAGGCGATGATATAGCACATATGACCACATTAATATCGATTGGCAGCTCTGGGGGAGAAAAGAAAAACATTGGCCGAGTCCCAAAGCCGCTGGGAGATGGGAAAATGGGCACAGGCTCCGAGGTCGAGGCTGGCGGGCTTCGATGGGATGTCCCGGCTGGGGTGGGTGGGTGAGTGAGTGAGTGGTGTGCTCTCCTGCTGCTGCTGACCGAAGTACCACACGGGGCGTGCAGGAGGGCAGAGGTACAAGGGTACGGGAGTACCAAGTCTGGAGGTGGGAGGTGGGCCGGGGCGCGCAGACGAGGTACGTACCGACGGGCATGTACACTACGTATGTACCTCCGTACCTGGTCTCTGGGCACTGGGCAGGGCAGGTGCTGTAAGGTTGGCGGGGGTTGCTGGATAATGCAGGGACCGGGGCGGGACACACCCTGGCGGTTGAGCGCCCGCATTCACAGCGAGTAGCACCACCAATACCAAATATTGCATCTGCTATGATGATACTATGGCATCTACTATTTGCGCGAGGGTTAGACACAGGCTGTAAATATTACACAATCTATTCACCTAGTCGGTAAGTCGGTGTGGGAGGACGTGTGAAGAGGTGACCGGGAACAGAGGGGGGGAGACTTGGGATGAGAGACAGCAGAAGATAAGGTTGTGATGGTGATCGAGATGTGATACTCAGGGACTGACTGCTCGGGGGCCAACAAGCCGTCTTGCCTGGTACGCCGAGCGTACTCCGTGCTGTAATGCTGGGACGAAGGCTCTGTGCAGACAGCGCGAGCGCGCCCCGTCCTGCCTGTCCTGTCCGTCCTGTCCGTACCACAGTAGATAACCACCCACCCTGCACCCTGACACACCTGCACACCACCTGCAGACCTGCCGGGCAGTTACGCACCAATGCAGCTAGCTGTATTGTACGGATACTGTGTAACCGTCTTCTTTTCTGCTGGGGCTTTTTGGGGCCTTTCCCAAGCTGGCAGTGACACCTGGTTTGATCCCCTACGCGGTACAACGGTACAACGGTACAACGGTACAACGGTACAGCGGTACAACGGCCATCGACAATTTGACAGGCAGGCAGGGCTGGCTGGCAACGCAGACAGCAGCAAAGAGCGAACGGAGGGTCTTGCAAGCGCAATCAATTTGCCCTTGACCATCATTCCGAGTGAGCCGCACAGCACCAGCTGTCTGCACGCAACAGCACCCAGGTAGTGTACAACTCTTGGGCTTATTGATTACCCTTGATTACCTAGGTTGTCGGCTGCGCAGCCCATCCCTGGAGGCCACTGGGCGGACAGACAGCCTGACAGCCTGGCGTGGTGTCCGTGTGTGCCTGGGCCAGGCTGGTGGCCAGGTTTTTTAATATTGCAGTACTTGGGGTCGACGGTGGGCCACAGGGCGACAAGTACCCAGCTGCCCCAGGTAGCAGCAATGATCTCATCCTTTTCTCTCCCGTCAACCCCGTCGTCACGCCAGCACCACCACTCTTGCAAGGATGCCCGCCGATTCTATCCTCGCAAATCTGACTTTTCGATCTTGGGCTGCTTGGGTGCCCTGCCAGCCTGCTGCCCCGGGGTCTGACCACTCAGGCTCCTGCATGAACGACACGACGCGCTCTCTCGCTCGCTCCCACCAGAGCGCGTCCTGCCCTGCTAGGCTGCACAGGCTGCCAGGCACCACGGAACCCTATTTGCTCGAGCTTGGCCTGCCAGTGGCGCGAAGCTACTCCTCCTATTGCTGTGCTTACTGCATGTGGTCTTATTACCAACTCCAGCCTATCGACAGGACCCTGCCGTTTCCTGTGGGTTCACAGATATTCCCAAGCAGCCGGGCAGCCCAGCAAAGTCCGAGTGAGCCCACCAGAGGGCCAGGAAAGGAGAAACGAGAGCATCGCAGGAAGGGGGGCCCTGCCGATGCGATGCCAATGCCTACGCCACGGCACGCCATGTCTTCTCTGCGCACCTTGGCATAGCCAGCCTACAAGGCAGCAAAACAACGGCAGCGGCAGCGGCAGCAGCAGCAGCAGCAGCAGCAGCAGCAGCAGCAGGGGGAAGGGGCAAGGGGGCGGGCTGACGGGCTGACGGGGCGGCAAGCTCCACCATCAGCAGCAATGGCATCAGCAGCAAAAGACAGCAGCACTAACCAGGTCTTACAGCCAACTTCTGGTTCGTGGACCCTGACTCCCCACGAAAACTTTTCGCCTGTCCAACCCCGGCCCATGACGATGGCCGTCGACATGGCCGCGACCGCGGCAGCGGCATGGGTGAAGCCGTGGGTATTGGAGAAACGCAGCGAGACATCGCGGCCGTCGAACTGTTTCGGCGGTGGGGGACCCTCTCCTCCTCTCCTCTGCCATGCCACGCCATGCCAGCCCCTCGCATCTACGCAGTTATTCCCAATCGACAGCTGATGACTGACATGACGACGTTGAGCGGAACGCAGGCCGACTGACAGGCAGGCTGACTCGCAGACTCTCTCCCCCTTCGCTCTGACGAAAGAGTCACAATCTACAAACCGACCCCGCCCTCTGCCCTGCCGACGGCTCCCGATCCGGAGCCCTCGCGGGTATCGAAACAAGATCCTACATGGTAAAACACCCCACTCCGGTGGCACCCACGACCCATTTCTGCCCTGCCCGTCTTGAGCTCTGCCGCTGCTCCAGAGTCCAGAACCCATCAGTCCCCACCGGGACAATGGCTGTATCGTGCGACTGCGCCAGCACTGTGTAATCTAATCTGCTGCGTAAGAGCAGACGCCATCCTGCCCGCCGACCAGGTCCGGGTCTAGCCCAACCCGCCGGGTTTCGTCGTGCAGCACGGTGCAAAGGGCTCCTTCTCGTGCCTCATCTCCACGTCGCCAGCTCTGGCAAGCTCTCGGTAGTGGAGTTTGCTTTTGTCATAGTTCGCGCTGTCGACGAGAAATGGGTCCTCATTGACTGACTGACTGATTGCTCGTATCTATCTTGCTTTTTCCCCCTCGTCGCGCACACTAGGGATTTTCCTGTCTCCCAGTCGTCTACCTACACGGTGCTGGTGTACATCATAGTGCCAGTGTGGTGTTCACACAGAGGTGGGCAGACAGTTCCACTTCGTACGGGGCAAACTGGCAGACTGGTCCCAGGGCTTTGGAGAACGAAACTCAATCAGGCCGTCCCGCAGGTGTCTGCAGATGCGGCCGTCAACGTGGCCTCCTGCCGACACATTCGATATTATTTCCCCTTGCGGGATCCTTGCCACACGCCCACACGCACGCGCGCACGTACGACGCACGGCGGTAGTTGAATCATAGGCCTGGTCAACGACAGTACCGGCCATATTAACTCAACTACAGAAACTGACTAGACGACTGCCACAGCCCCTGACTACCAAAGCCAAACTGCCTCACACAGATTATCGTGGGCTGTGTGTGGGCTGTGGATTGTCGGAAGGTTTGGGCTCAGGATGGGACGAGAGGTCGGTCCGGTGCCCTCCCTGTCTGTATATGGTATTGGTATGCCGGATTGAAATCTTGAACAGAGGAGGGCGGGGTCAGAGAAACCTGGATCCGGTCCCGGTGTTGCGCTGAATCCACCCGTCTACCCACTATCAGGCCCATGTCTGCCACGAAATACAGGGGCCGCACGGAGCTCTTGCTGAGACGACCGCGGAATCCCTTTTCAGCCTCCTCTGGGGGTGGGTTGACCACACCTGTCTCCCACCTGAACATTCTGGGTGCCGACACACTAACCAGCAACCATTGATAACCAAGCTGAAGCTGGCACACACGGCTGGAGGCGCGGGGAGGAAGAAAGGTTCCAAGATCAGCAAATCCGAACTCCCCGTCTCGTCCCTGCGACTGACAGGTCTCGGCAGCTTGCACACGCGCCGACCCCCGCCGCCTGGGCGGGGAACAGTTCGTGTGACGTGAAGGAACGAAAATACTGCACTCCGTACCAGTTCTGCAGATGGACAGAGCATGGGATGAGACCAGACAAGCAAGTGACGGCGGCTCTAGTCTAACTCTAGGTGCAAGCCGGTGCAATCCCCACCACTCGACTTGGTCGGCATCTACTGTGCTTGCAGCCGCTGCTTGATGATCATTCGTAAGCCCTTGGGCCCGATGCGATATTGCGTAGTCGCTGGGGCTATACTGCAGTGGTCGCATGCACCTCGCCTGCGAATAAGCAGGGGCTGCAGCACACAGGCTGGTCGGGACCGATCTTGGAGCGGAGGGCCTACTGTGTAGCTGCTGCGCGGCCAAGAAAGGAGGACGAAAAAGAAGGAATCATACGGAGAAGATGATAGAACGATTACCGCCCACTTTTTTTTCGTTCTTCTCACGAGATGAACTGGCAAGAGGCCACGTATCCGGCCGGGCTCATCTGCGTCTTCTCGTCTGCAAGGCCGTGCGCGGCCAAAAACAAAAAGAGAGACCCCGTCACGATGTTCTCTTCTCGTCCTGCGAGACAGCAGCTGGAGTACGCACGCCTCTCCTCTTGAATGTCTCTCGCTCGCTTACTGTTGTCGCACCGCGTCGAGCTATTCCACTTTCAACTGCACGATCCCGCTGGTTCGACTCAAGGTTGCGGGTTGTGCTACGCGCTTCCCTGGCCGCCCTCATGGGGACTCGCGCACCGGTTGGTTGGTTGGTCTCGATGCATCCGCGCCTCTGCCTGTCTGGGACAGCTCTCCAACTCACATCACCTCAACCCCCTCTCCTGCTGCTGCTCCGTCCGGACATTTCCTTTCTCGCCGCCCTCCCCCTCTCCTCGTGCTGCCCACACCCTCCGGATCTCATCATCCATCCCGCCGCATCGTGCCGCCGCGAAGAACTTTCCGGAGGGATCACTTGCCAACCACTGTTTTCTCGTCCTCTCATGGACCTTCCTCCCACCCTACAGCACATGCCTCCGAGTTTCACGAAGCAGCTGGCAGAAACTGGTCCAACCAGTTCACCATCTCGGTCGGGACAATCTCCCGATGTGGTCGTATCGCCCCGGTGTCACACAGTCGTCAGGCTCTACCTTCTGGCCTCTTCCCGACTGCCTCTCTAACTTTTCCTCTCTGCTGCTCGTGCCCGCCTATCGCAACAATAGCGGGGCCACCTAGCTTCACAAGCGTCCCGTTCCAGCCCGGCCGCCCGCCCTATTGTGCCCTTGGTCGGGATGCACCTCCCGGTGCCGTGCCGCAGATCCCTTCGTAAAACTGCTATCGTACCTGCAGTAGCGCCAACTCACAAAAGGAAAAAAGGGTTGGGGTGTGCTGCCCTCCAAGAGCGTTCCCACCCCATCAATCGAATTGTTCGGTAGTGTGGGGTCATTGCTTTCACGGCAGTCTGTTTCCTACCAAAGTTCACTCACTTACAAGACGATCTACATGTGTGTGCTACCACCCTGCCAGAATGGTTTCCACGCCAGGTTTGGCATTCTTGACTGCAGATCACGCTTGGCTTGCGTTTCGAAACGAGCGCCATCGCGCAGTATTCAGCGGGTTTTAGTACTTGCCCTAGGACACTAACCGCAAAAGTTTGCGATGCTTTTTTTCTTTCTGTCTCTTTCTTTTGATATCCTCGGTCTCTGATGAGAGCTGCCGGGATCTTCGTATCCAGAAGCTTCTTGTCTCTCGTCTCAAGGAGCTGAGGGCATCTTGCTGTTTATGTTCCGAGAGGTCGAGAACGCTCGATAATGACGATGATATACACAGTAGGCGTAGCACAAAACCTTGCTGTGCCGACGGCTTGCGTGCGCACGCGATACTCTCCGAAGTTGTGAGAGCTATTAACGACTGGATTTGCCTAGAAAACCTTGGTGCTCGGGATCGCCACCATGAAGCATAACATGCATCCCGCTCACACTGTTGTGTGTGTGTGTGCATGCCGAGCCGTCCGGCTATTCCAAATGCTCCCCCAACTTTCCGATCTCAGCCACACAGAGGCCGTCCCAATAGCTGCAACGGAGTGCGTGTTTTGTATGTATGTAAGCACATACGCACATGTGCCAACCGAATTAAAAAAAATCCCCAAAGTACAGTAAGTGAGCACAACATGATGCCGACCACACACACACATACCCTCCAGCCAGCGAAAGTCCACCACTCGCCACTTTTCCCTTCCTTGCGCCTCAATCACCAAAGATCAGGCCATCACCCCAAACCTGCCAAGCAGAGGCGTTCGGGTACCGCTAGGCAGGCAGGCAGGCCGGCCGACAGGCCGACAGGCCGACAGGCCCGCCCCTTCTCGTCGGTATTAGGTGACACGAGGGGAGCAGGCAGGGCAGGCAAGAACTGGAGCTAGAACTGGCAGGCTGAGTCGAAGCGCTTGAGCTGGACTTGGTCACGGTGGTGGTTGATTCGACAGATAGACAGATAGACCCCATCCCGCCATCCCGCCACAGCCTTACAGCCGGCCAGACGAGATGGCCTACCAGCCCTCTTCCCATCTCCTGCTGCTGCTGCTGCTACCGCCGCCGCCGCCGCCGCTTCATCCAAGCTGACGCGTGCCGCACCGGGCCAATCTCCCGTCCCAGTGCCGCGCAATGGGGTCTACTGTACCGGTGGGATGGTGTTCCAAGGTAGCTGGATGGCTGGTTGGTGGTTGCGGCCGGCGCTGCATGCAAGCTGAGCAGACTATTGACTGCAAGGCACACACCTACCTCAGGTTTTCCCTTCCCACTCACACTCACCATATCCACCCTGCCGGTAGATCTTGATGATTGATCTTGGCCCCTACACACCTGCCTGCTGCCTTGCCGCCTCTCGCTTCCAAGCTTCTTGCCGCCACCACCCACCCACACCCAATTGTCAAGGCTGACGGACCGGACCCAGCCTGGGGGCCCCCGTCCCGTTGCGACCGTGTGTAGATCATCTCCTCACCAGTGGTTTTATGGCGTCGCGGGAGGGAAGGGCAAGGGAGCTCCCGGGATGGTGGAGCTGCTGATGTGAGCTGGCTGAGAAGAGAGTTCTTTCCACCCACCCCGGCGGGCGAACAGGCATGCCCACACCGTGGACACACACACATACACACAGCGAGCGCATGAACGCACACAATCTCAACTCCTCCCCAGGATGGCTGCCTCCTCCTTGGCTACGCACAGGATGGACCCGGGGACCATCGATGGTTCGGCGGGCACTGCCTGACCGGTTAAGCCACGCGGCTGACCATCCACCATCCTGCCATCTACATGATCTGCGAGTGTGGAAAGTGGGTGAGCAATGGAGTCTAACTAAACGACCAGCGAGCCGAGCAGACGGACGGGCAACCGGTCTCTTCTAAATCCCCCAGGTGCGTTTTCGAGTACGTACCGCTTCGTGCCCAGACCTTGAGCAACCACACCACCCAAATCCAGTATAGAGCGTGCTTGGCAGACGGGAAGGTCGAAGTACCTCTCTGTTTGCTCTTTTTGAGGTTATCACCAACTCCAGGGCTTTTTTTTCATCCCTCTAAACGCGGTTTGTTTGTTGACTGGCCTTAACGCGTCTGAAAAATCTCTGCTATTGCCAAGAGATTGCTTGGGGACTTTATATAGCGAGCAAGGCGGCAAGCCCCCAGGGCCATCTCCCATCTTCAACTTCCTCCTCTTCTCTTCGTTTCTCACACCAAATTTCTCTCTCTCTCCCCCTCTCTCTCCTCGAGGGCACTAGTTGCGGAGCGGACGGCCCTGGTAAGGGCCGCGCAGCCACTAGTGACCAACCCTCCCGGGCGGAGCCCCTCTGGTCCCCCGGCCGAAGGCCGTCGCCTCGAAGTTGAGGTTGAATTCGAAGTCGAATTCGTCTATGGCAACGGTTGCTCAGGAGTGACGCGTTGGACACTTTCGAGTGAAAGTACCTCTCCCCCCTGTCCGGTGTGTCACACTGCCTCGCATTCGTGCATAAGCGAGGGCCCACGGGGGATATAGAAGAGACCCGGGCAACCCATCCCGTCCACTCCACTCCAAGCACTCCACCCACCGTCGAGGAAGGAAAAGCCCACAACGGTGAGTGAGACGCCATCAGCACCCAATTTTCTTTTGCCCTCCTGCCCTCCCTCCTACCTGTCACTGTCGCTGTCACGGAATCGTTGAGGTGGAGAAAAAGAAAGGAGATGAAAAAAAAAAAAAAATACGGACACATCCATCGGAGAATCGCGATGCCCACCTTCAACCAGTCACCGGGACGGGACGGACAAGGCCAAGGACGAGTAGTTCGTCCCATAGCTTTGCTTCGGATGACAAACTGCAGATGGTGCGTCCACATCGGGCCCAAGCGCCGGCAGCCGGGGCTTTGAGAGGCGCCACATTCCTGGGGGGGCCTGGAGGCCTTGGAGGCAAAAGAAAGGACGAAAAGAAAGGATACGCGGCTCGTGATTGCTATTTCGGTGGCAGGTTGTTCTGCTTCTGCGGGCCTGGTGCAGGCTTGATCCCATCTTGCCGCGGCAGAGGACCAGGGTGGTTCATTTCTTTGCATTCCAGTGCCGTGGACAGCTGGCTCCTTGTTGTTGTTTTTGTTGTGTGTTGTTGGTGGTGGTCCGTTGCGTCCTTCCGCCACGGTGACCGTTTTTGGACCACCCGTACGAGGCGTTCACCTTTGTCTCTTCCTTGGGGCTTTCTTGGAAACATACAATGGCTTTCGTGAGCCACATGATTGTTGTCTCGAGATTAGGCACATTGTCAGCGTGGCATCACAAAGAGGGCGGCGCCCCAACGGTCACGGCTCCCAATGGCGACGTTCAGGATGCCGTGGCAAGCACAATGCCAGTCGATTTGTGAGATATATAGAGCAATATATTGCACCCTTCTCCCTTCCTGGGGACCAGTCCCGGCTCACACATGCTCCCGAAGCAGTAGAATCTCCGGAACATTTGAACCTGTAGTTCAGGTTCGATCCTTTTTGTCACTCGCGTCTGCCCCAACTACCCAACCCGGTTGACAGGTAAGTTTGAAACACCAAGCTCACCCGAGGTCGAGCCCGGAGATTCGCGAGACATCACCCGCCACCGCGCCCTTCGTGAAAGCACCCGGCCGGTCCTGTCCAAGATGACAGCCACCCTCCCCGCGCGGGACGCGGACCGCGACCCCGTCGGCCTGGCGTCGCCGCCAGAGTCCGTCTCTGACAGGCCCAAGTGGGCGCTCATGGCCCTCGACCCAAGCGGGAAGAGGCAGCTGCTGGTCAGGCAGCTGGTGTCGGGCATCGAGTCGGACGCCATGGTGTTCCGCGAGCTCGCGGGCGGCGGGGGGGACAACGACATCGACATCGACGCCGGGGGGCTCTCGGTCGCCAAGTGGAACAAGAAGCCGTTCCCCCCGGCCAAGATGGCGCGGGGCAGCCGCGAGGTGCGCGTCGCGAAGATGCTGGCGGGCTCGGCCGCGGCGCGCCGGTTCGCGGCGCTGCTGGCGGCGCAGGACATGAGGGGCGGCTACCGCGAGAGCTGGTGGCGGCACTACAACCTGGGCGACATGCACGACGTCGTCAGCGCCGGCTTCCGGGGGTCGCAGGCGCCGGCGAGCCTCGTGTTCCGGTGGGTGGCGCAGTGCCTCGAGGGCATCGCGTGCCTCGACGGGGAGCTGGGCGCGCGGCACATGGACCTCCACCCGGGCAACGTCTTCTTCCACACGGACGGGGGCGACGTCGACGCCGTGCTGGGCGACTTTGGGCAGGCGCGCCTCGCGGGCGAGCGGCCGCCCGTCTTCAGCAGCGGCGAGGAGGAGCTGTCCGCGATGGGCGCCGAGGGGGGGAGGGCGGCGCGGATGTCGCCGCCCCTCAGCCTGGACGAGGCCAAGGGGGACGAGGACTACTCGTGGCGCACGCGCTGGGACGCGCGCCAGTTCCTCGACCAGATCGCCAACACGCTCATGAACGGGTTCGGCGGCGGCGAGAGGGAGGAGGCCGGCGACGACCTCCTCCTGGCCGGCTTCTTCGCCAGCCTGGAGGCCATGGTCGCCCGCGACGAGGCCGACCGCCGGCTCCCCGAGCGCCAGCGGCCCCCGCTGCAGGACCTGGCGCCGCTGGTCCGCGACGCGTGGGAGCTCTCCCGGCTGTGCGCGTGGGAGGCGGCCGACGGGGCCGCGGCGCGGCAGGTCCGCGCGAACCTGCTGGCCGGGCTGGCGGGGATGCCGTCGGGGGTGCAGGTCTTTGACAGCGAGGGTGCGGCGCGGGATGCCTACGAGAGGCACGTCGGCGCCGGGATGCTGCGGGTCGTGGACCTGTCTGATGACGGCCGGTCGGTGAGGGCCGCGGCCGCGGAGCTCGCGGCGTTCAAGGTCGCCGGCACCGCGTGGGTGGCGCCGCCGCCGTCGACCAGCTCGACGCCTGCCACGAGCGGCGCCGCCGAGGAGAGGCCGCTGGCGCTGGTCTGCGAGGAGCTCGTGAGCAGGTACGCCCGGTAGTGAGGGCTGAGCAGTCTCTTCCGCTGGGGATAGGTGAGCCTGGTAAGGTTGGGGAGACCGGGGTGAGTATAATGGACACTTTTGATTCTCTTGCATGTTCCGCCCAGCCTCTGTTCGGGCCCTTGTTGGCTTTCCAACGTGATATCTTGTTGGGTTTTCGGGGGGGGATCCCTGAACGAGTGTTCATGGTCCGTCCCTTTTCCTCCCTTGTGATTTTCTCACTCCTCGAGAGCCCATGATAACATCTGAACTGGTCACCTTTTCGCGCCGGTGCATGATCGACCACCGATGGTGCAAGTGTGACGGGGCTAAGCCAGCCAGCAGCTCGGGCTAGCATCGCAGGCTGACATGCCTAAGTGCTGCAACATCCGTCCAGGTTAGATCAATACTTCAAATGTTGTTAGCGGCTCCGGCTGGATGGCTGGGCCGCGGACGCGTGATGCGTTGGCTGCAGGCTGTCGGGGTGTCGCGTTTTTTGACGCGTGACGGAGACGGCGGCATTGGCATTGGGCCGGGTCTGCCCGTCTCTTTTCTGTCTCGAGGCTTCCAAGGTTGAGTGAGGGTGGTCTACATTGTTCGATCGAGTCTGGACTGCAACCAGCGTACATGTGCTGGGCAGACAGACTTGTTGGTCGGACCTAGAAGTAGGTGCCTTGTATGGGCCATTTTACAACATTTCTCCAACCCCCACTGGGCCGAGCAGCAGGCAGTCCGGATGGCACCAGCACACCTGGGCAGCCGTTCCCGTTCCATCTCGCCGGACTTAGCGCAGAGCATGGATATCTAAAGCCTTCATACCTAGATAGCGAAAATCATTGTGTCTATGTAAAATCACATTGCATCTATCTTGTCCTTATAGCACGAGAGGAACTTGAAGAACAAAATAGTCCATACGGCAACTCAATTTTTTCATCCTGATAATAATAAATAACAGCCTCACTAGCATCTCACCCGATCCGCAATCTATTAATAAGGCCAAGATGGCCTCCGATCGTCATCAAGACGCACCTGCTTTGCCAGATCAACCAGGCGCTCGGAACTCATCGGCACAGAAAATTAACTTGATGGCCCTAGTCAAAGATGTAAAAGAGGAAACAGCGAAGATGACTAGAGAAGAGAAACTAGAGCGGTTCCAAGGTTTCCCTGGATAAGTAAGTGACTTCGGGACATATCAAATGACAGATCAATTGATAGTACTAGTAGTCTCTCGCACGAGTCCCTCTGTCTGCTGACCACTGCGGAATTTCACTTTCTCAAAGAACGATCCACCTCCAGGGGTAGACGGCGCCACGGCCATGCGGACCTTGGAGGACATGGAGATGAAGGAGGCTGCAGCTCGGGATGAGGACGAACCACCGGCACTGGTGCAGGAGAGGTTTCTTGATACTGATAGCAGAGCGGAGACGGCGATTTATTAGTGAGTGCCGGGCACCTGGGCAACTAGAACCCAGGCAACTCGTGCGTCCAAAAGCCGCCTCTTGCACATTTGTTGCAAGTGGTAACCGCCTATCGGATTATCTCCTGTAGGAATAATACCATCTATAGTAAAGTATTATTGGGTTTACGCCGGGCCTGTGTGACCTCCTACGTATAACTTTCTGCGAGATGGCCTCCAGGGCTTGATACTAGTTCACTGTAACTGAAAACTACCGAATGTCAATCACACGCCTGTGGTCTAATCGCATCCCAAGATACCCCCCCCGAGGTCCCTGGAGGCTTCATGGTCTTTCCGTCAATCCTTGCCGCACCCCTGGCCACCTTTGCGGGATTGTTAGCCCCAGGGTGGCAGAACGGCCCTTGCCTGTCCCCTGCGGAGGAGCTTGCGCCGCGGAACAATTTTCAACGTCTCTGTTCAAAAACGGGGGCTTTGTCTAGCAACATGGCTCCCCGGTTGACCGACGAGCGCTCCTCGGACGTATACGGTATAGAAGCGAAACCACACACATAGGCTGGTTCCGTGCCTGTCTGAAGATCTCCAGAAGTCCTGCATCAACCCTCCCGTTCTTTTGTTTCGATTCTTATCGGCTGGTTTCAACTTGGGTATTCAAGGGAACTAGGTGGATTGCAAGGAAATCGTGAGGAATAAATATTGACCTGTGTTGAGAGATGTAACGAAGATGAGATCTGAGCTGGCAGATATGTATGCATGTGTGTATCGGGTTCAGAGTACCTTGTCAAATTGAGTCATTTATTAAGCGATTCTGGGTCCAAAAGACCCGAGAGCCAAGTGACCAGGGAGATCATTCCAGTTGTCATCTTAGTCACCAGCGGTCATCCACCTGAGCCTAACATTTACAGTCCTCGGCAAACATGTCATGGGTGTCGTTTTCGGTGTATCAGTTTCCTAATACATTAGCTGATGAGCTGGTGTAAGGTGGTCGAAATGTAACAGCCGGTCAAGGATATCGTGAATGGTACATCGGGAATTGCAAGTTACTTTGCCTCCGGGGTTGTTGCTTGGTGGTATTGTCTCTTCTGCCTCCTCTCTGCCCTTTATTTCCTTCTGCGTCCTACTCTTACTCACAGAGGTGTTGTCCGCGAAACGACGAATCAGAAAGAGCATGTTTCCATTTCAGATTCTCCTTCCATGGTGCCAAGATCCTTCCGGAAACAGTCCGAAATGATTTCTCATGGGGAAGAGGCCCTGCAGTGCTTGGTCACCTATCTATCTGAACTGTTCGAAGCACAAAGGCAGTCCGTGTGCTATTAATTGGATGCGTGGTTCAGTCAGTTTTAGTGAGTTAAAACGTCTTTGGAAATGAACCCCTTTGTGTGGAGCAAAGAGAAGTCAAGTATCGAGTTCGGAGGCGGCATGGACGCTACCAATGTTGAGGCGACAAGGATTTAATAACAGCTATCGAGCTTTACGGTGGTCCTCGCCACAAGAACAGTGGGCATCCAAACAGGTCATCAAGAAAAACATCTGCTATTGAGGCGTACCCCACGCCTCAGTGGATGTTTGTTGGTTAAATGCCCATTGTCACTATCTGTTCACAATCACGGTTGTAGCTGATCAGGATTATTTTGATAACTAAGCCACGCTGTAAATCTCTTGAATAATCTGATAGACTTGGATTCAGTTATCGTATTTTTACCACTGTTTTCGGTGTGTGAAGGTGCCGTATTTGGCTTTGGACGTATACGGAACAAGGATGACACCCAGTTAGATCCTAAAATCCAACACAGCCTTGAATCGTCTGGGGCCATGCCTTCACTCATGAGATTACACCAAAACAGCATGAACCTAGAGCATACAATGATCCCTTGTGTCCGCATAAAGCACTTGAAATGGTGTTGGAAGGGACAATCATTCTGATGCAGTCCTCCTGACAAGCTGGAACAACTTGTCATCAGTTGCATATACTAGGTGCTCTGCTAACGATCAAGGGTAGTCTGACTTTGGATACGTGAAGCAACCCTGCCTCGGTACCACTGCCTGGGGAAAACGTGTCTGAGGCGCAGCGGCTGATGTCGAGACCAGAGACATGGCATGTGCGACCCAAGACCGTCCTGGAGTGGGCCGAGGGAAGCTGTCAGGTGAACTTTACCAGGTCTAAAGTGCTCGATGATCACAGCCACTTCGGGGTCAGGAACCGACCCGGCCGAGCTTGGCCAACCTCTAGCCACCCCGGCTCCCCGTCACGCCAGCCTTACCAGCAGCTCCCGATGCCACCACCCCAATCGAGCCTATCATGCACGAGGGCGGGTTGCCCGAATTGATGGAAGAGACATCCAGGGTCTCCAGGGTCCAGACGCCATCTTTGTCTAAGACCAGAAGTCATGGGGACGCGAACCATTGAAATGAAAATGTGATGATGGCCGAGAGAAAGACAACCATCTGCTGTGCTGTGCAAATTGTAAAAGAAACCCTTGAATGACCCAGGCCCCCCCCTTTGAGACGGCAGCAAGCCACAAGTGCAGAAAGTCGTACGGTCTGGGAGGTCGTGTGCGCGTCAGTGGTGCGATATATTGCTGGAGTGCCCTCATTTTAGGCCCGGGGGGACGAGCTCGAGGACAGCAGGCATCGGACGCGGTGTTCCATGTTCCAATGCAGGTGGAACATCGAGATGGATGGGATTTGCCCCTTTGGAAGTGGTCATGTGGCGCGCCCAAACGCGGTCCTGATCAGCATGGCAGCCTGCCAGACCGACATGGCAATTGCACGTTTGCGGCCGACTGTCGGTCGGACAGTTCGTCTATGTGCCCGTTGGGTGGTGTAGGAAGGGATGGCATGAATGGAGGGCGTGTAAACGGGCAGACGCTCAGCGACTGACTGTGTAGGTTAGGCGAGGGTGGGAATGGGACGAACGAAACCGAACCCCTGCCTGGAGGTGGGTGACTCGGGGTTGGGTGCAGCCCTGTGACGCAAGGTGCCCCTCCATCTCACCTGCCATCCTTCCCGGGGCCCCAGCACAGTGAGGTTCACTAACAGCAAGTCAAGCAAGTCAAGCAAGTCTCCCCACTTCTCAAATCCCTGTCATTGCGGTACTATGCACTATTACTGTGGTATTCGGTACGTGCACTAGCTACCACTCGTCGCAGCTTCCCCCAGCTTGGCCCCGCCATCATCCATAACCCCAGGAACAGTTGCCCCTACGTACCTGCCTGCTTGTACATGGATTGAGCGAGGGGACAAGAAATCACACACCCACACGTGCATTATTCCTGCCTGACCTACCATCATCTACTGTTAGCACTCACTCACTCACTACAACTGACCTGTCAAAGAGCAAACGGCAGAAAAACCCCAGGCGCTCCTTTAAAACCAGGGAGAGGGGCCCACTCGCTCCAGCATGCCAGACATCAACTCTCTGCCTCCCTCCTCGGCCCTATCATCACCACCACCACCCCTTGCCTCGTCGTCAGCCTCCTCTCAAGCCGCAACATCGGCGGGCCCAGTCTCAGCTTCTGCCTCCGCCTCCGCCTCTGCTTCTGCTGCCACCTCCACAATGTCGGCCAATGCCAACGCCAACGGCAGCGAGCCCATCCCGGCCCACGGCCACAACGGCTCGCCCTCTCCAAGCCGTTCCGCCTCAACCTCCTTGCAGGCTGCAGCCGCCGTCAACGCTGGTCTGCAGCATGAGCGCTCTTCCAACTCGCGGAGTATGCTGCCTACTCGTTCCCAGCCGTGCCTTACCTTGGTCCTGACCAATAATCGTACGCCCCTCTGTGGCCTCGCCTAGCTGACATGACCCACCCATACAGGATCCTCTGGCTCTCTCTCGCGTCACCTCACCTCTCCCACCAACGGACGAAGGCGGTCCCAGGTCCTCCACAACCTACAGATCAACGACCCCTCCGTACCTGGGCCTGGCGAGATGGTTCCTGACTCAGCCCATCCGCCCACCCACGGCCACGGCCACCGGAGTAGCTTCACCAGCCCAACTGGCCCTAGCATCGGCTCGCCCCTGTTGATGGCCGATCCGCATCACAACAGAGCTCCGAGCTTGGGCGAACTCCACCAGGAGCTTGAGGCTGAGCAGGAGGCTCAAGTGGTAGGGCATGACCTTGTCATTTCTCTGGACCCTTGCCTGTTCGCAGATGCTAATACCTCTGCTTCTTTTTAGAACCGCCTACTATCCCAGATTCGCCAGCAACAGGCTCAAATCCTGCAACTCCAGTCTCACCAGAACCAGTCATCCTCGGCCATCGCAGGTGACGAGTCGCCCGGTGTGACCACTCCAGGCCCTGGAGCACAACCTATATCCACATCGTCAAATCCTCCCTCCACAGCACCGAACCCGTCGGCCTCGGGCTCGCTCCCTCGATCGCCCATCTTCCCTCGCAGCTCCTTCGATCTGGCGCGCAGTGACCTGCGACACCGGTCCCGAACCCCCAGCCGCGGTGCGTCGCCACGCCTTCGATCTACGTCTATCAGCCAGGATAGCGGGGAACCGTTCGCGCTGGGCGGAAGGGACGAGAGCGCGTTCTATCAGGCCGAGACTCAGATGTTGACCAGGGAGAACCAGATGCTCCGGCATCGCATCCGAGACCTAGGTAAGTCTGGGGTCACGAGCCGTGCAGGACATGGCCTGAGACCCAGCAGTACGCTGATGCAGAGCCTCCTACGCAGAACGACAACTAGCAGAGATCACTCCCGGCGGCAACACCGCTTCGGTGACACACGAGCCCGCACACCACTCAGGCCTGACCCGTTCGGAGTCAGTCTCTGAAGAAAACAGACCTACCGGCGTTGCACAGGGCACCCATGCTCTACCCATTCGAGAGACCCCCAAGGACGAGTGAGAACTTGTTTTTTTCGGGCGCGGTTTTGATGTGATGGTGCTACCTACGGGTGGACACGAGTAGCAGATTGCGGCACAAGGCCCCATAGCGAGCGCAATTCGGAACAGAAGGAACGTGAAACTCTCCGGCATGCTTGTACGACCACTTGACCTGTAATGCTGTGTTTGGGGGTGTTGGCGTTGGCGGCAAATACCTAAATAGTGAACAGTGATAGACCCCCCGACGGTTTGAATTTAGACGGCACAGATCATGCCCGTCCCCCAGAAAACTCTGTCTTTGATGAGGGCCAGTGTGACAGTATGTGGATGGCGAAGGGGGCTGTGGTTGTGAGGCTGGCACGACGGCTGAATGGGCTGACACTTTCATATTCTACAGCCGGCCTCGCCGTCGGGCAGGGCTATAGTTTGCGCCCTTCTTCAAGACAAGCAAATGACTGTCCGCAGACAATGGGCGTTTGTGACGGGGCAGCAGCTGGCAACAACGATCACTCACGAGTTAAGATATAGCTGTCGGCCCGGTCTGTCATCAAAAGGATGGCTCGCTTGATTCTCGGCTTCCTGCCGTGGGTATCATCTGGTCTCGGCCTTTTCCCTCCCCATCCATCTATCTGTCCATCTACCCGGGGCGCGCGTACACTCACACGGATCCCCCCATCATGATGATGGCCATGCAAGAAACAAACACCCGCCCCAACCTGGACCCCTCCCCTTCCCCCCCTCCCCTTCCCCCCTCCCCTGCCCCCCCGCCGTCGCCATCCCGCCTCCCTCAGGCGCCGACCATCCGCCTCACCTTGTCCAGCAGCACCTTGCTCTCCCTCCCCAGCTTGGGCTTGCCGCGCGGCCTCCCCGACGCCGAGAACCCCTTGGCCTTGAGCATGGCGCGCCGCGTGCGCTCGCGCTCGGCGGTGCTGCGCTCGCGCTCCTTGTCGCGGCGCTCGGCCTCGGCGGCGCGCGCCTCTGCCTCGGCCTTCTTGTGGGTTCCTTGTTCTAGGGCCTTGGTGTAGTAGTCTGGGCGGCGCCTGCGGCTGTCGCGGGGCGGTCTGGGGCCGCGGTGTGCGTGTTCTTGAGCTTGTGGTGATGGTGGTGGTGGGTATGTTGTTGTTGTTGGTGTGATTGTGGGTTCGTCTTCTCCTCTCTCGCCTTGGAGTTCTCCTCCTCCTCCTCCTCCTCCTCCGTCTTGGTTGTTGTTGTTGTTGTTCCCTGCTGGCTCGTCATCCCTCCTCGCCTGCCTGCGCTGCCGCCGGGGTGCTGCTTCCTCGCCGTCGAGGATCGCCTGCTGCCGCTCCGGGTTCATGTGCTGCCTGTCCCTCTCGTCGTCGTCCATCTGCTGCTGGCGGTCGGGGTGGACGTGTGGCCCGTGGCCCCCTGGCCCTGGCCCTGCCCCTGCGGCGGCCCCATCCCGCCCCCTCGCCAGCTCCGCCTTGACCTTGGCGTAGTCCTTCTTGAGCTTTGCCTTGTGGATCAGCTCGTGCTTGATCTTGGTGTTCTTGCGCCGCCACGCGCCGTCGGGCAGGTTCTCCGGCCCTACGCGGAAGCCCTTGCGCTTCTTTGGCTCTGGGGGTGGGGCGGCGGCTGCTCCTCCCCCGTCGACCTCGTCGTGTGGGCGTTTGGAGCCCATTGTGAAGGGGTGGGGTGTGTTGGGTTTTGGTGTGTTGGTGGTTGCGGGTTCGTCGTTGGGCTGCTGTCGAAGAGAGGTGGGAGGTGGGAGTGTGTGCCGCGGTCTGTCTTCAGAGAGAATGCAGCCTGGCAGACAGAACTTTAGAGTGGACCCTGATGGCTCCAAGACTTCAGCAGCCTCGCGATAAGGCAACAGATAGAATAAATTTTAGCGGGGCGGTGGCAGCTCGGCGAGATGGCGGTCTTGGGGCCGACCCGAGTCGGGTATGTTCGGCCATGTCGGAGTAAAGGCAAAATGGCGCAGAGATCCTGGCGGGTGGAATCTTTTTAGCGGCTGGCAGATGGGGCACGGCACCCGCAGCCAGCAGCCAGCAGGAGCTTCGGCCCCAGGCGGCTTGCTTGACCTCGACCTTGCCGTTGACGTTTTGCTGTGTTACTCTGGACAACATTCTCAACTTCAACTCTACTCACTCACTCTTCCACGCACTCTTTTCTCTCCCGTGGTCTGACCTCCTCTCCTCCCCACCGGCAGCATACCTTTCATTTGTTGCCGTGCTTGTTTCTGGGAATTGGCTTATAATCTAACCAGCCATTCCACCTTGCCTGCCACACTACTACTCTCCTCTCTCCCCACAGACTCTCACCCACACCACATCGCCCAAAATGCTGGCCGTCCGCTCCATGGCCGCCCCTGCCCGGCGCCAGTTCGCCCGCGCAGCTGCCCCCCGCGCCACCGTCGCCTTCAGCCAGACACAATGCCAGAGGAGGTGGATCTCGGGCGAGAGGGTGGCCAAGTACAACGGCGTCAAGGACAAGAACGGCAACTACCCCGTGTCGCTGATCGAGGGCGACGGCATCGGCCCCGAGATCTCGCAGGCCGTCAAGGACATCTTCGCGGCCGCCAAGGCCCCCGTCGCCTGGGAGCCCGTCGACGTCACGCCCATCATCAAGGACGGCAAGACGGCCATCCCCGACTCGGCCATTGAGAGCATCGAGCGCAACAAGGTCGCCCTCAAGGGCCCCCTCGCCACCCCCGTCGGCAAGGGCCACGTCTCGCTCAACCTGACCCTGCGCCGCACCTTCAACCTCTTCGCCAACCTGCGCCCCTGCCGCTCCGTCGCCGGCTACAAGACCCCCTACGACAGCGTCGACACCGTCCTGATCCGCGAGAACACCGAGGGCGAGTACTCGGGCATCGAGCACACCGTCGTCGACGGCGTCGTCCAGAGCATCAAGCTCATCACCCGCGAGGCCTCGGAGCGCGTCCTGCGCTTCGCCTTCCAGCAGGCCCAGGAGATCGGCCGCACAAAGGTCCGCGTCGTCCACAAGGCCACCATCATGAAGCTGTCCGACGGCCTGTTCCTCTCCACCGCCCGCGACGTCGCCAAGGACTTCCCCGGCATCGAGCTCGACGACGAGCTGCTCGACAACACCTGCCTCAAGATGACCACCGACCCCATCCCCTACAACGACAAGGTCCTCGTCATGCCCAACCTCTACGGCGACATCCTCTCCGACATGTGCGCCGGCCTCATCGGCGGCCTGGGCCTGACCCCCTCGGGCAACATCGGCGACGAGTGCTCCATCTTCGAGGCCGTCCACGGCTCCGCCCCCGACATCGCCGGCAAGGGCCTCGCCAACCCCACCGCCCTGCTGCTCTCCTCCATGATGATGCTGCGCCACATGGGCCTGGGCGACTACGCCGACCGCATCGAGAAGGCCGCCTTCGCCACCCTCGCCGAGGGCAAGGCCCTGACCGGTGACCTCGGCGGCAAGGCAAAGACCCACGAGTACGCCGCCGCCATCATCTCCAAGCTGTAAGGTGGGAGGGAGATGGGGAAACAAATTCCACATGCGCGGCACAAGGAAACATGCCACAGTTTCCTGAATGCCACTCAGCTACCCACCCACGACGAACCATGATCAATTACCACTGACTGACAAAAACTTGGCTGCGTCTGCAACCTTTTTTTTCACACTCGACCTACTTCCTTACCGCTTATACGGAGGGCTGAGGCTTGGATCGGGGGGCGGGCCAACTGTTGGAGTACAAGGGGGAGGCATGCATGCATACTTCGTTCAGCATATCGACTACATTACAGACACCACCGCCTTCGTCGGCACCTTTTTCATCAATCTCGCAACAAGATTCAAGGGGGGACGTCTTATCCACACACACACAAACACACACATACATCACGTCACGCCACATCAAATGCACACAGGGGGGGAGGAGAGTAGGCGGGGGGGAAAGGCTGTTGCTGCCTGGAGGGCACTACGGGGACTTGTAGACTGTAAAAGTAGTTAGGGCTCTGCAAAGCAATGCATCAGATTATAAAAGGCCATCTAACAGACAAGGCCTCCCAAGGGGCGCGCTCGTGCTCACGTTCAGGCCCGATTCTTCAAATACACATACACACGCCATCTAGATAAAAAACCCGTCCTCCTTGCCACCCGCAAAAAACACAACCGACCTGACTATATGGACGGCGCCGCAGACATCGTGGTGGAAACACTACTCGTGTCCCCCCTGCCCCCCGCGCCGTCCCGCCGCCTCGGCTTCCGGAAGCACGCGAACTCGTTCTTGCTCGCCTCGCGCAGCCGCTTGAGCACGCTGCGCATCTCGGGCAGCTCGGCCTGCAGGCGCGCGCGCGCGTCGTTGTCGGTGCGCGAGTCGAGCTCCTGGTACACGGCGGTCTGCAGCTCCGTCGCCTTCTCCGTCATGTACTGCGACAGCGTCTGCGCGACGAACTCGACGTCGAGCGTCGCCTGCATGAGCGCGGCGAGGTCGTAGCGCGGCCGCGTGCGGAAGGCCTCGAGGAGCTCCCGCGACGCCAGCTCCAGCAGGTACGAGAGGACCTGGGCCGTGAGGGAGGCGGCCGTCGTCGACACCTGGCTGTGCACCAGGACCAGGCTCAGGAGCGCCTCGTACACGTACGGCTTCACCTCGCGCGGCCGGTCGCCCGGCGAGGCGGGCGCCCAGTCCGGCGCCGTGACGCCGTTGCGGATCAGGGCGCGGAGGGACTCGATGTAGGGCCTCGTGTAGGACTGGAAGAGGCGGGCGTCGATCTGCGCCAGCACGTCCTTGATCTTCATCGTCTCGTCGGTGAGCTTGACGGAGAAGGCGTTCTCGAACTGCGTGTTCAGGCCTGGGACGACCTCTGCCCGGAGGGATTGGAAGTTGCTCAGGGTTAGCAGCATGCGGACGTTCTGTTGTACAACATGGTTAGCATTTTTGTGTCACCTGCATGGAAAGAAAGGGCTGCGGGATTGGGCTTACCCTGTCGCCGGCGTTGATCGTCGCGCCGGTCATGCTGGCTACCCTCGAGCTGGCCCCGTTCACAACGACGAAGCTGTCCTCGGTGGTCCACTCGTCGTCCGTCTTCCGGACGGAGCGCTCTGCATTCTCCACCATGCCGCTCAGAGCTTTGTACAGCGTCGTGACGTACTGGCTGCGCACCGTCTGCAGCAATTTCGTGGGCGGCGGCTGGACGATATCGCCGGCGCCAGGCTTTGACATCGCCTCGGAGATGTACAGAATCTGCTGCATGCCCGTCAAGAGGGCGCTTTCGAAGGCCTTGAAGCTGGCAGGCATCTTGGTGACGTCTTTCCTCTCGGGCGACCTGCTCCAGTCCTCGATGTATTTGATGTTCTCGGCGTCCTTGTTCCACGCGGCGCACAGAGCCGACACGCACCGTTCCCTGACCGACCCGACAAGGGTCCTCAGCTTTTCCAGAACTGCACCGTCGCCTCTGGCCACGGGCGTCAGGCTGGCCATGTCGCACGACCCCGAGCCCACGACGGCGAGGATCTTGGCGAGGTAGTGCACGGCACTGACCGAGTTCGACCATGGTGGCCAGAAGGCGTACTTCTCCCACTGTTCCCCGCGTCTTGGTGATGGGGGCGGGATGCTGCCTGGGTCCAGGTTCATCCGGGGGTCTCTAAGCGTGGTGGGGGTCAGAGCCACGCCACCCAGGGCTGCGGACAAGGGCGTGCTGGGCTCTGACGGCATGGGGGAGAGGAGCATCGAAAGGTCATCGGGTGGCGGGCCAATGAAGAACATGTATACGCTCTCGCGGATCATGTCGACCAGTTCTAGTGTGCCCTTTTGTAGATCCGCTGCCCATTCTGGGGTCAGCTCGTGGTGCTTCTGTGACTCGCCGTTGTAGCCCGTTGGCATCGACGTCTGAGTCCTTCCCTCCAGGAACCCTTGGACGGTCTGCCAGAAGTCGACGACCTCTCCGATGATGCCTTGAGAAGACAGCATGCTGTTCAGGAACGAATAGATCTTCTCCCACAACTCAACGATGTCGGCTGAATCGAACGAATGAGTCTTACTCTCCATTGACTGCCGTGCGATGGTCTTCAAGTGCGTGGCGATTGCCTGTGGGCCTGGCTTTTCGACGCTCGCGATACGACGCCTTGCCACCTCGATCTCGACCTTGGTCCTGTCCGCCGTTGACGTGGCCTTGCTCTTCAGGTACTCGTAGCGACTGAGCAGCCAGATCCATATAGGGTTCTCCTCCACGCCAAGTTCGAGCAACAGGCTTATGATTTCCATGTGCTGGTCCTGCCGTCCAGCGGTTTCTGATTTCGGTGCTGTGTGGAGATTGACCAACTTCTTCCACATGTCTCGCTTGAAAGCCTCGATCTGCGCCTGCACGTCGTGCCACATCCGGGCGGCCAAGAGAATCTGGTATAACTGGTGGTCCGGTAGCTTTTCCTCGGCGCTGCCTCCCTGAGCGAGCAGCCGAGCTTCGTCTGCAAACGACCTGGCCCGGTTGTACTCTTCGACCAATGCCTCGTGGTCCTTCCGCTTGATGCTGTCCGCAATGGCCGCACTGGTCTCGACGTATTCCTTGTGTTTCTCAAGGGTTGCAGCTACATCCTTTAGTCTTTCTTCCTTGTCTCGTCCGCCCAGAGCAGGTCCCCACACGTCCTCTGCCTTGGCGGACACGTCCAGCAGCGGGCCCTTGATCCCCGATACTCCATACTCGCTCTCTTTCACAAGGGCGTTCTTCTTCCTGGGATCCGGCACCATAGGGCTGGACAGGCCAATGCCGCTGCTGCTGCGAAAGCTATTCCTACTAGCATGTCTAGAGTGGGCGCGCGGTCGGCTCGTCGGCGGCGTGGGGTCTGCTCCGCGGTACTTCATCTCCTTGTAGACGTTGTCGATGGTAGCCTTGGCGCGCACGAATCGCTCAAAGTTGGACTCGACGAGCACCTTCAGCGAAGCGCTCTTCTGGTCGATAGACTGGGACAGGATGTCGAGGCCGTTCAGCAGGGACTGCGTGTCCGCCGTCGAGTGCATCTGGGAGAGGAACAGCGCCGGGGAGAACGTGGTCGAGGACATGAGGAATCGGTTTCGCAGGCGCGGGTCCTCCTGCACGGGCACGCCGAGCTGCTTCAGCGTCCTGACGACGCTGTCGGTGGTGCCCAGCGGGTCGGGCTCGTCCTTCTGGACGATGTTTCCCACCCCGTTCGCAGACTTCTCCTGCCCTGGGAGCATGCTGACCCTGTTGCTGACCGCCCGCTCCAGGGCCTGGTATCTCGACTTGCGCCGGTTGATCTTCTGCTTGGCCTCCTCATCTTCGGATACGTCGCTCGTGTCCTTCTCGGCCGGCCACTCGACGGGATAGGGGTCAGACAGCTGGTAGAAGTCCAGCACTGTTCTTTCGAGGTCGGCCATGGTGGGCGTTGGGCTGTCGTGCTGGCGAGTGACAGCCACCAGGCTTCGTTGGTGCGCGATTCGTGGTCCAAAGGGTAGGTCTGTTGCATCGATTATGTTTCACATGTCCTAAGCTGGAGCTGTCAAGCAACTAACAAGTGTCCAGCGAAGCTGCATGCTACAGGGGAGGGGCAAATGGGAGGGGCACGGACCATAGCTTAAAATGACCTACCCCAGAACCCCGGCCCTCACTAACAGCCTCAAGGATAAGAGATTCAAGGGAGGCCGTCCAGCCGGAGACGGCGTAGCTACTTGGTAGGTTGTGTGTAATGTTTGGATGGAGACGCATATTTTACTTTCTTTCAAAAATTGTGTTTTCGGGTGAACAATGCATTGTGCCTGTTTTATTTATCGCCTCCCCTGCCCGATTCGTGTGCTGTGCGCGCTAGTACACGATGAAGAAACACAAGCCTCAATGGAAAGTCACAATGAGAATGATTGTGGGGACTGGCCGAGTCTAGAAGCCAGCTGCATGCTCCACAGAATGCTTCTGTGGCAGAGTTTCCGGTACGCAAGGCCGGGGCTCAGCCTTGCACACACTGGCGCCGAGCAATTCAGCCCGTCTCGCGATGGCAAAGAATCCATGTCCGTGCTCAAGCCCAGAGGAATTAAATAGTGGTATCTGGATGCAAAAGTGACACCTATACGAGAAGCAGCATCGCTAATACGGGTGCTTTGGTGGCTTCTGACGCTTCGTTGCATTAGCGATCAACCGGCGCCTTACCTATGCATGCCCCCCTTGTTGACGGACGTAACGCATACCTCACGAGCCAGAACAAATATATCTTGCCCTCTAGCGACAATGCATGGCCTTCAAACTTTGACAATCTACAAGTACAAATACCGGAGATTGGTCCCTGCCTCTTCCGGTTTGATGGCAGACATACTCACAGGCTTACCCTATCGAAATAACTTCCCCAAATCACGACCTGACCGGCGAAATTGAAGTATGGCCAACAATTTTGAGTCACTTTTCGGCAGAAGATGTTGCCACTCTGTTTGGTGCACATGTCACTAAGTTCTGTGGCAGCACCAGCTTGACAACAGGATTGCTCCTTGTTGGGACCAATACTATTGTAGGTGCCTGTTCTGGAGGCCCAGTTGGCTCCACATGGCCTCGCAAATGTTGACATCGTCCATCTTTCCATTGGGAATTGTAGAGTCCTCGCATCTACCCTAAAGAAATCTAGCCATCCCATGTTGGGCCCCAATCATAAATGCCTGTGGCTGTCCTTCCAACCGACCTCGATATAATGTAACTGGGTACCTTGTCACTTCCTCGGCTAAGGTATTAACCATTGCAAGCACGGCTTGACATGGCATGGAAACGATCATTGACGGATGATCCAGTGGTTCGAAGGCTAGTGTGTTGCTACCTCAGGGTAGGTTCCTGCCTAAGCACCTGGGCACTTACCTACCTACCTACCTAGGTACCTAGGTACTTAAGTAGGTGCCTTCTTAAACAGGTAGTTGGTTGAGCTTGAGAACCCGAGTTATGGCAAGTACTAGGGCATTCAATGAATCCTTCCCTGTTCATTCTGGCCTGTCCCGTTTCCCCAACACGCACTCCACAAACACTCTGCACACACTCTCCACACACACTCTCCACACACACGTCTCAGCCCAGTCGGTCAGCATTGCACCCAAAAGTCAACCTCAATATGCCAGCCTGCCACTGCTGTCAATCACAGACGCCACCAGCCACCATTGGCGTTCCTGAAGGCAACTTCCCGGGATGCTGCCAATTGCACGGTCAACAATGCGCATTCACAGGTCCGAGCCAGCCGCCAGTATCATGTCTCGAAGAATCCTGGGTGGCGGGACCACTTGCACGTGGTCAACCTGTCAAGCTCCACACAACCCCGGCAAGCTTATCACCAGTCGATTCGACCTCTCGTCATCTCCATCCTCATTTCACCCCATCTCAAGGCCCAGTATGCTCGCCCATTGTGCCACCCGGTTCTGAAAATATCAACCCCCACGGCAATCATCTGAGCACGGCACCGCACGCCAGCCAACGTTCCGCCTCCCATGACCTTCTAGACATCTGACAGTCAACCATCACCGGTCTTCGCCGTAGTAGTCCTCGTCGTCGTTTCCTCAAGTTTTCTGCAGCTCTCAAACGCTCGTCGGTTCAAGCAACGAACCTGATTTCGGCTCGGCCGCCAGAAGGCTCAACTCCATGGTCAGTACCGCTTCCATCCTTGCTGTCAGTGTGGGTGCCTACCTCTGTGGTGTCGAGATTATGCCTTCATTGCATACATTGAAAGTTCTTTTGCCCATGCTGTCTGCTTGTGGCCTTCTATTCTATCTACCTCCTTCTCTCTTCAATACAAACAAAGTCGTCTTCGACTTCGGACTTGAACGAAGCAAGGTGAGTTGATCAGCCAAATCCAGACTTGTGAGTCCTGAACTTGAACCTGACGCGACAACCCGTAAGATCATTGATCCTCAAGTTGGCCCTAAACTCGAATGGCAATGCATGTCATGCCTACCCTGCGCCAGATTCTGGTGTCAAACAAGAATCACCACCAGCCAAAGCAGCTACCACACCATTCGGTTCTTTCATGCCATCCATGTCAACCGCGCGATCACGAAACAACAACTCTTTTGGATCCCCGCTCTCTGGGTATTGCAGGCAGGATTGACCACAAGCAAGCGCTTTCGTTTGACACGAAACTCGAGGTCACTGGGGACGCAGTCATCATGTCGAACCTCAAAACCTTTGCAGACCACATGGACCCTCCCTGCAAAGCAAGCCATTCATCTCCCGGAGCTATCAGACGCGGAAGGCATCGGCCTCGGCGGAGTCGGCAGTCAGCAACCAAATTCGTTGGACTGCGTCAAACATCACACCTTTGGGCTTTGGTTCACGGATCGAGCTCGATGAGGGGCGACACGAATGTCGCCACAACTATTCTATGAGTCCGTCTCCGGCACAGTAGGGACTGTGCAGACTTGGAAAAGGTTGCGGCGAGATGTTGTTCTAACATTCCACATCTTCGGACAAGATCAGGGATCGACACCGGAGGAAGTGGGCAGATGGGAACAAGAGATGGCATCGAGGACGGATGCAAGGGAGAGTGGACTCAATTTGCTTCCGTGTAAAAGGTCGAAAGTCATTCTGCCTACATGTTCAGTAGAAAGGAGTACACCAAATACCCATCGGCGTCCCCACTTGTTCGCATCATGCCGTGTTGTCTCGCGCTGCTACCAAGTCCTTGACAAAAGTCGAACCCATGAACTCAGGCCTTCCCAGAAGAAGTTTCTATTGCCCCAAAGAAAACCACCAGCCTTGCATTGCCATGGAATGACTCGCTGCCGGTTGAACTTGCGAAAGAACCCCGGATCAGATTACAGGCGTCCTGGGTCTCTATTTATTAGTCACTCCAGTGCCATCACTCACCGCGAGACTGTGAGCTCGCAAGGTTCTGTCATGTGGTAGGCCTTCTCGACAGAACAGGAGTAATGAATGGACACCTATCCGAACGTGGCATGGACAAGATACACTGGAAAACACGTCACAAGTGTCGTGTGAGCTGAGGGAGACTCAGATGCTGTGTACTCTTGCCATACCAGTCCATGCAGTGTTCGATTGACCCAAGACACGAACTATGTCGTTGTCCCACCCGAATCACCTTGGTGCCTGCTCCACAGTTGCCTTGGAGAACAGCCCTGGAGGTCTACTGCAACGGCGTATCGCCTTCTGGTCATCGGATATCAGTCATGTCCCATTCCAGCATGTAGCTGATCACACGTGCGCAACCTCGGACGGCCCCCACCCCAACACCCGGGAGATGCGGGAGGAGACACGTCGAACATCACGGGCAAAGACGGAGGATGAAAGACAAGAGTGGTCTGGAAACGTGCCGCGCCCACGGCGCATGTCTTGATTGTAATAAGAATAGAGGAAGAGCTAAATCTACAATATCTAAAACTATAGTAAAGTTAAATAAGATTAGTTAATAGTTAAATGGTGAAGGCCTCCGCCGCCGCCGCTGCCTCGCCGCCGCCACCGCCGCCCGCACCGCCCTCGCCGCCGCCGTCGTCGTCGCCGCCGCCCGCCAGCACCCAGCGCAGGGCGAGGCCCACGGCCAGGCCGGCGCCGAAACCGGCCCACCACTCCCCCCAGCCGCCGCCGCCCGCACCGCCGCCGCCGCCGCCCGCCGCCGCCTCTGCCGCCTCCGCCATCAGGGCCATGCCCTGGCGGCAGCCCTCCGCCACGAGGGCGAGGGCCTCGCGGCAGACCGCCGCGCACGACTCCGTCATCGTCGTCGTCTTCCTCGTCGTCTTCGTCCTCGTCGTCCTCGTCCTCGTCCTCGGCCTCGTCGTGGTGGTGGTGGTGGTTGTGGTGGTTTTTTTTCCTAGAAAAAAAGTCAGTGTGGGTGCCTGAAGAGGGAAAGAAGAGAATTCGGGGGACCGCGGGGAGGGCGCAGCTGTTTTGATGTTTGTTTGTTTCTGACGTCAAGCCGTCGCTTCCTCATGGGCGAGGAGTGGGCGTCCAAAGTTGACAGAAGGCGCGCCCTCATGGCTAACTTGGCAGGATGGATGAGGAAGGATGGTGGAGATAGCACCATATAAGGGTCTTTGGTGAGATTAAGAGCGCGTGGGCAGGAGCGCCGCATGACGGCACAGGAGTCGCCCACGGGTGGGATGACGGGATGAGAGCGGACTGCTCCTTTCCATTTCATCTCCTGGTGCTCTCACGCCCACTTTCCTCGTGCGTTGGCTTCCGATGTCAGTGTACTTAGACATGATGGAAGGCTTGTGGGACAGGAGGAACAGAAGGAGGAACATCGAGTCTACGGAAGCAACAACGAGCGGTTGAGCAAGCGATAGATGACTGCCTGATGTGGCTTTCAGGTCGTCCTGCCTGCAGGCATGAATGAGATGACCTGCGGTGCTCGCTTTTTGGAGACAATGACCAATCATTCGAGAGTCTGGGAGGGCTCTTGCTCTGAAGAGTGAGGTGAGAGCACCTGCGTCATTCTCTTATCTTTCGCCCGGACAGATGCCAGCTCCACCTGCCGTGACAACGGAGCTGGGCTCACACGAGACCCAGGCGCGCGAGCTGACCCCTGACTTCCTCTCGGCATCTGGTCGGCGCGTGCCTGCCGATGGCTTGTGCTGCTGTCCCAGTGAGGCATCACATGATGAGGGAGAGGCATCAGGGCTGGTATCAGCGGACGGATCTTGATGGGCTCCAGGCTAGGCTTCTGGATGAGTGCCCTTGGTAGGTGGTGGTTACCATATGACACCCACCTTGGGACTCACCTACCTTTGGGCCACAGGTACCTAGGTACCCACACAGATAGAGGCTATTCCCACAGCCACAGATCAGCCAATTCTACAATAATACAGATGTTTTTGTAGTCAATTAGTAGCTCTTTGAAAGTTCTATCAATCAGTGTGCAACCCATCTGGACGTACATAGCCTTGCCATCATTGACGACATCTGGATTTACTCATGCACGTGTTACTTGGTTGATTCACAGGTTTGGGTCTCCATTTTCAAATGCAATCCATGGGTACTTTGCACCAGTGACATCATGCAGACAAGCTTGACGGAGAGGTGAGGATTTAGATCGTCAGACACCTTGGCTAAGAGGTGTCTAGCAGCTCACATTCTGTCCAATGTTCATTGTGTACCGCGTCTAATCCGAACATTTTTCTAGCGTGAGCGGTGTGGAAGATGTTGCTCAAACTAGGCGAGCTGAAACCACCCCAGGTGAGAAATGTGAGCCCAACAAACTTGCTACACCCACGCGCTCGTAAGACGGCTGCGTTTGGTCTGGCTGCAACGGCAGAAAGCGTTGAGTGGCGGGGCGGATCAAAAGGACGTAGTGGGCAGCCTCGTTGCCATACCTCCCCATCTTCTCCTTCCCAAGCAGAACACACCTCCAGGAGTCTTCGAGGGCGCTTGGAGATTCCGTATCCAATAGCGCTCTCTCTTCCAACACAGAAACATCCACTCGCAATCCCCTCACCTCCACCTCCAGGGCCCAATCTGGATTATCTGGAGGCCCATGCACATTATCCGTCCAATCGACGCCACCAAAGTCAATGTCCAAGAAGGCTATGCGGCCACTGCACGCCATCCAAGACCACGACGGCGGCCTGGAGTCGACGTCATCGTAGGAAATCCTGGAGAGCGAGCCTGGTCGTGCTGCACACCAGAGAAGCATCCTCGCCGGCCAGCGCCAGAGAACTCCATGGTCAACGCTCGACTTCAAGACACGAGCGATACGCTTCTGCAATCCCGCGATAGCCCGCGGGCGGTCGGACGGCCTGGTGAGAGCCAGTGTTGAATACGTCGTGTAGAAGTGCTGGAGGAGCCGGATCCGTTCGTCCTTGTAGAATTCCAGGGCGAAGTGAGGGAAGTTGCTGTCACCGAGGAAATGAGACTGCGGACTGGTGCATCAGGTTAGCAACGCGTGTGCCAGAGACCAACCGGTCGCGCTCGTCGGGACTTACTTTCTGAGCTGAGCTAGTGTCTCGCAGACAACGCCGCCGCCGCATTCCCAGTAGACTTGGCCAGAGGTGAAATAGATCGTGCGCCGGGACAGAGCTCGCTCTTGGAATACCCACCCGCGGGCGGCGAGAACACTGTTCTCAGCTTCGGTGGCGAAATCGTCGATAGGCTCTGCGAGATAGATGGGTCCTGACGATGTTGTAATTCTGATGGTATCCCTTGGTGTTCTTGACCCCAGGAATCCCACAATGGAAGACGACGCTGAGCTCGCTGCGATTGTGCAGTATGCGTTACTAAATACGTCTTCCATTTTCCCCGCCTCATTGGCCCAATCGGTCGCATTTCGTTGGATGATGCATAGGGAATCGATCCAGAGGTAGCGAACACCTAGTGCGCGGGTGACATCGACTGCGTCCCTGAAGGTTGCTGGTAGTTGGTCGTATTGAATGTCTGCCATCCGCTGGTCGATGTTGCTATAGTATGTACAAAAGCGCTGATCGTCACTCAACTGGCCCCAGCAGTGGCTAAGAGCAATGTACCGGTCTTGGGCTCCCTGGTTGGTCTGTATAAGCCGGATAGGTCCCTCGTTGTTCGTTCCCACGTCAATGAGTCTTGTGGGCAATTCTGACGGTGACTCGGAACCCATGCAGTCGTGGCTTTTATCGCAGTGGTCCAAGAACGATCTCAGCAAGCTGAATTGCTCGGCACTACCCGGTTCGGGAAGTAGAGGAAGGCCAAACTGCGCGAACGGCGCTGAGGATGGGGCGGGCTCTGACCCTGGAAGCGAATGTTAGGTCCCTTGTGTACCTAGGTAGTCAAGATAAATTCCACGACTAAATCCACTTACCTGGATCATAATACAGCGAAGCAATAGATCGATCTGAGGGAACCACCTTGATAGTTGATTGAACTCGAGCCAACGTTAAGGGCCGATCAAGTGCGATATGCAAGGCCGAAAGGCGCCGGGAAAGGAAATTGCACAGATCACATTCGGAGGTCATATCACAGAGGTGCTGGAGGCTCATTTGAATCTCTTTCGGGTTGGACACAATGTCCGAGATCTTACAAGCACTGCCAATGCGATTTGGACACTCTGCTAGCTGACGCCAAGTAGGCCACAGGGACAAGCTTTTGAGAAGCTGTGGCAGGAAAGTGGAGTCTTTCACCGTCTCCCATTTGTCAACTAATTTGCTAGTCCGCTGTTTGAATTAGCATTGACAGAGTGTCATACGAGGGCTCGAGAGGCACATACTGGCTGTGATTTTGGTGTTAGCGACACCTCGTTCAAGTGGGTTGATTTGGACTGTGCTTACATTCTGTGGATTTGCATAAGAACACCATTGTCAGAAAGCCCGCTTTGTAGTGATGTCGGAAAATCGGGGACTCACGTACTGTTGAAGAATTAGTATCCAAAGAGTAATACAGGTCTCACGGCTATGCGACTCACTTCTTGGGAGATGGGGAAGATATTGTTGGTGAATACCTCGCCCGTGGCTTCCCTATGCTCGGTCAGCGTCTCCTTCGCGTCGTCCCACAAGTAGGAGGGATCGCTAGAACAGTTCTCTGAGACTCTCATCAGATCTTTGAGAAATTCGGCGATGTATGATCGTTTACGCAGAGACGCTTCGAGCAGGTGTTTCTTCACCAGAATCAGGAGGTCTTGAAGTGCCGCGGACAGCACCCCACCTTCGAGGAGCTCGTCGATATATAGTTTTACTGCTGGGTGCAATATCGGAGCCTCGTTGTGATATTGCTCCCAGTAGCGATCAACATTAGGTCTCAACTCTGCGCGGCGTATTTTGTCCAGCTGTACCAGGCCGCGGTTGCCGCCCTTCAGCCAGACGATAAACTCCAGTAGAACGCATCCGAGTGACCACGAGTCATACTTGCGAGATATCACTCGCAACTGGCCCTTTTCATCCCTCTCAGGTATCTCGATCTCGGGAGGTGCGTATCTCTGGGTTCTGGACCTGTTGGTGGTTGGCTTATTGTTGATCTTGCGCACCTCAGTTTCGAAGGCATGATACTTCGCGATTCCGACATCTGCTATGACCAAGGGACCTAGTCTTGGGGAGTCGTCGGGTCCGTTGAATCTGAGGATGTTCTCTGGCTTCACGTCTCCGTGTCGAGTGTTGGTGTTGTGTAGCTTGGCGAGACCCCCCGTGAGCCCTAGGACTTGGTCTATTGCCCATCGCCTGACCTCCTTGGTCGGAGGTCCGGGGCTTGCCTGCCACATTTGACGAAGGTTGCCATTTGGAGCCCATGGAAACACAAAGCCCCGCTCAATGCCTCTTCCGTACGCTGCGATAGCTTGAATAAGATGTGGATGAGCCGCGCGAGTCCTCATGGTCTCGAGAGTATGCACCTCCTTATGGAAGAAACCGTCAAGTTCTTCAGCCGAGCCGCCATCAACCCTGTGTAGTTGCTTTACAGCGACATCAAGAGCTGCTGTCTGTGAAAAACGAGTTGCCCCCCCCCTTGTTTTATTACCCCTGTCTACCCCGCTGCACCTAAAAAGCGCTCCCTTCGCACGCACGCCTACGCTGCGTCTACACCGCTTCTTCGTCCTCCAATTCCTCCCCCTCAGCAATTATCTCCATAGCATTTACAATCCACTCAAACACACTCACAGCACACCTTATAAGTGCTAAATATTCATCCCCTCCAGTAGAGACCTCTGGAGCTGGGTTTAAAGGCTAATAAAGGAGTCATTGTATAGCCTTAATTGCTTCTATAACTTCTAGTTTGTTGTTTTCGCAAAGGCAAATTACTTCCTAAAGGGGCTCAATTGCGGCGAAGGAAAGAGCTTTATATTTGCAGTTCCCATACGCACAAACAAAGCAACGTCCTCCAGCCCCTTTCTAGTCGTAACAACAATAAGAATGGTCGCAAAAAAGGCGTGAAATACAAGCAGTACACCAAGTACGAAGAGGGCGTAAGAACGCTACGCGGGCGCGTTTATTAGGGGGGCTGGCTATTTTGAGAGTTTTAGAGGATAAAGAAGTAATAAAGACGCTATGTGGGCGTGCGTGCGAAGGAAGCGCTTTTCAGGTGCAGCGGGGTAGACAGGGGTAATAAAACAAGGGGGGGGGTAACTCTCGTTTTTCACAGATAGTGGTTTTGAATTACCCGAGGTCGTAATCTAATGATGAAACAGTCAGTAATGGTACGGCACTGTAGGTAGTTGTACGACTTTCGGGGTGCCATTACCCGGTGTAAGTAGGGAAACTCTGCATAAGTCGACGTCAAATGCTTCTCGTTCAGCCCGACTCTGAAAACCTTTCCAAAATTGCCACTCCCCGTACCGTCCGCTGATATCTTGACAAATGGGAGAGGGCACTTTGGATGGAGGCCCGTGTACAACAGTAAACTCCTGTGGAAGACGACAGCATAGAACATCCACTGATAATCAATGAACTTTTGCAGGTCTCCCAAGTCCCATTTGTCCTCATCCGTTTCATCGTCACCTTCGACGAAGGCATTCGGTGGCAATTTGACTGTGTTCAAAGAGACAATCCGCGCGCGATTCGAGCCTGTCCCCTCTTCATATTCCTCTGCCAACGGAAGATGATCGTCCCTGACTCCTGCCCCCCTTAAGCTTGGAAGTTTCTTCACGAGCCGACAAGACACAAGTGTGAGAAATATATGGGGATTTTGGTGTGCGTATTCCACGAGCTCGTGTAAATCTTTGGCGCTTGATGAGCCGAAGGACTTTTCTATAGTCGCCTTCACCCGATCCCTGCTCGACAACTGGTGAAAAAGATCTTGTGGAAGATAAGTGGGGTTGCTAAGTGAGCCTCTGTCCAAGCGAAATTCTAGGGTGCATCGGTCATGAATGAATTTGTAATTCATTGGTTTCTGGGGAGTTTCGGTATCCATGGCTAGCTTTGACATTGTTGCTGGCAAGCCTCCGACAAGACACTCCTGAAGTCAAAGTATTTGAGGAAACTGATCCTCTCATGGAGCTTGTATATTAGTTAGATCTCTCTGAGAACCGGTGACAATTGGACAGCCAACTATAGGCTTATTGTTGACCGAGAAAACGTTGAGCGCAGGCACAGCAAAGATCCAAAGTTGAATTAACATTCCGAATTCACCCACTATATGGTGGACAAAATGCTTTTCTGCCCGGCTTTGAGGCTCACTTGCGGCTCGAGGAGGCGGGCTTAAAGCCAAAAGGTTTCTTTCCATGACTGGGAGATTACGGCGATCCAGCCGGCTGTTCGAGGCCACTTGTGGTACAACAGCCTCAGGGATGCTGTCACACTGCATGAACTATTGCTGATGGGCATATGCGGGTCCGATAAAGGGTGCAACGTGTGGAGTCGCAGCCCACCTGGGCAAGGGTGTTACATCGTGTAAGCAATTGCTGACGGGCCCGGAGAAACCGACCGGGCTGCGAAGACATGGCTATGGCGTTGCATCGATTGCCTGAAAATCACAGCCTGCATCTGATTCCCTCGCAGAATCCGTGGTCCGCGGCCCACTTGTCGAGGATCCACGAATTTTATTTTAGAAAGCCGAGGCCCACTTCGCCATTGACGGACTCCAACGCCGAAGCCGAAGTTTGACGTCCACGTGTCAATGTAGTTCACACAGACAAACATCGATATCTTATTCGACAGGTTTGGGGCAGCATCTTGCGTTTACTGAGTCCTACTTTTCGGATACAGGTACGCGTGTGGGTGGGACCCAACTCATCCATGGATCACCATCACGTTGCCCCGTTGCCTGCTTTGAGGCATTTAAATTCCACCATCGCTGTTTGAATGCGTCACAGCGCTAGTATGATTGTATTAACTCTGTCCTAGTGCGGATCGGATCATCTGTTGACTGTGCTATTGAGGCAAACATATGGTCATGTTGGTTTGGCCTCAGCCGGATGATGTATTCGTCATTTCGCATCTCAAAGCTTTGCAATTCGAAGCCTCGTGACTTGCAAAACAGCCTCAGTGTTGTAGGTAGGTCTTGCGGGCTTCTAAAGGAGGTGCATTGGATACGCTTCTCGATGATTTCGGTTCGATCGTCATGCGGCTTTGAGAGGTCCATTTTGCTTGAAATGTGTCTGACTTAAAGAACGATAAACTGAGTTGTAGAGGCAATACGCCTTGAAGGCGAAGAGAAGACAAGGTGGCGGCGATGATGAGTCCCTCCACATTAGAGTGTGAGCAGATATCATGATCCTTATATGCGGCCATCACAGTGTCAGCTGGTCTTCTCGGATCCCCAAATAGACCCCATGCGGGCCAATCTCGAGACAGTTGTCTGATTGAGTTAGGTCTCATGCATGGTCAGAGCCCTGGGTCGCCTTACACGGTTCGCCCACAGCCACTTGTGCTTTTTACACTTGTCGGATTTGGAACATCATTGGACATTTCCTCTTCTGGCGCTGACCACCGCCGGACTGCGGCAGCTTCGCCTTGCACATGCGCACGGCTGCCTATCCAGCCGCCCGAATCTGAACCTGTGCTTCGCCTCATCAATAAAAGCAGACACGGAATCAGCCCGGCCCCCAAATTGCATCAGTGCAGACCGTGGGGCAGTGGATGTCCCTCGACTTCAGGCACATGCAGGCATAATTTCGAATTGGCATCTATGATATTTATTGGTAATGAAAACCCAAGACATGTAGCAGAGAGGATGCTGTCGGCGATATCATATCGTGCCCGCGGGCGTCTCAGTCAGCCCATCCAGAGCCCATGGCTTACCCTTCTGCCGAAGTGCAGCAGAATGAGGCTCCGTGAAGCTCAATCTTCAGCCCCCGAATCCCTCAAGCCCATGGCTTGAAGGATGGACATGGGTAGCCTGATGCACACCAAACCAGAGAGATTGGATTGGGGGCGGTTGTAGTCAGCGAAATGGTGGCCCTTCCCGGAAGTCAGCTTTAGTTACCGGCTACGCGTATCTCGGCACGCATGTGGGCCTGCGATCCTGTCTGCGTGTATTCAAGCGCTCTCTTATCTCGCAAAATCGCTCGAATAGCTCGGAGACACTGCGCAAACGAGCCGTGACGTTCATCAATATCCCGCTACTGGTACGGCTGCCGGAAATTGAGATTGTTTTGGCACTCGGATACAAGGTATGAAACAAGGTCTTCTGGGTAAAGGATAGCCTCCATTATTCAAACATGGCACCTACACGAGATGTAAGTCAACTTTTAGAATCTCACTATTCTACGCTTGTCTCACCACCGAACATGGGCGTATTGAGACAGTAATTAACTCATTTCGAACAACATCAGTACAGCAAGCCGCATGCTGCAGACCCACCTGAATTCGGGAACTACTTACAGCAAAGTCCCACGAGCTCTACAAGGCCCAGCAGTGATTCCCAAAAAGCTCGCATGCCCCCAGAACGACAAGACCTCAAGACCGTTAGGACGAGCCTTCAAGATGGTCGCGTACGGTGCGTGGCGTTGGTCAGGGAAGACGACCGATTTCTCCCACGGAATACACTTGAGGAGATCCTGACGGAAAGAACGATCGAATCACTACTGCTGGAACGAGACGAAACAAGCCAAATACATCGGAACACCATTGTTGGCGATACCGCACGCATCAAGCTTTTCGCCATCCTTATACTCCTGAAGAAGACTAAACGTCTCGGGGAAATGATACGGCTCGGAATCTCAGATGATAGACTGCCATTATCGGATAATGTTTACGAGAGTTCGCATCGACGTTATGAATTTGTGGATCGTTTTCTCAAGAAGCAACCCTTAGTTGCTGTGCCCGCTTGGGACTTCACATCCGACGATATAAGAGTGGAAGAGTACACAGTGATGTATCACAACATGCCATTCCTCAAAAAGGAGAATCTTTCACGTGGTGCGCAAGGAACAGTTTGGAAGGTGGAAATCCACCATGCTCACTTCACGGGAAGACGGACCGGTTCGGTAAGTTTGCAGGTCTTAAATGTCTCTTCTAAACTTCACAACTGAAACGCTAGTTCCAGGATCGCTGGGAGTGTTTTCAGAAAGGTCCGGAGTTCGCCGTGAAGGAATTTTCGAAGAAAGAAGAGTTCGAACAAGAGCTCTCTGCCCTAACGAAGTTCAACTCGTCCGAGACTAAGCACAGACATTTAATCAGGGTTCTAGCAGCATACTCGCAGGGCAGGACTTACTTCTTGATCCTGCCCTTAGCTAAAGGCGACCTTGTCGAATTCTGGAGAAAGAATGATCGTGAATTGAACGACCCTCTCTGGCTACTCCAGCAGTGCCGCGGCCTTACGGATGGCTTGTACAACATACACGAGGGGAGGTCCCTGCGAGGTCGCCACGGTGACATCAAGCCGCCAAACATACTTTGGTTTATCGACGAGTCTACACGAGAGAATCGACTGGTCCTCTCCGACTTCACCCTGATGCGTTTCCATGAGCAAGGGAGCAAAACCGAAACGCTCGTACACAGCGTCGGCAGAACCAGAACATATCGCGCCCCAGAACTCGATGCGGTCTTGTCGCACAATATTCGAATCAGTCAGAAATACGACGTGTGGAGCCTAGGATGCGTGTTCCTGGAATTCATCAGCTGTCACCTCGTCGGATACAACGCAACGCGTGGTGCATATGATGAAAGACAGGAAAGACATGAAAATTACTTTGAGGGCGATGACGGTCAGAGGTACGAGACCTTCGACACTACACGCGTGGTGGAAGACCGCAAAGTCATCGGGGGCTTCGAAGATAAATACTTTGTCTCCAAGGAAAAAGTGGCGACGGTCAAAGAATCAGTCACCAACGTAAGTGTGACATATGCATAGCTAGCTTTGATGCCGGATTGCGCTAATCGTTTCGACCATAGTGGATATCTTACCTGCGTGGACTCGAACATTGTCCACCTGCGCTGAGTGATTTTCTGGAACTAATACAGAATCACATGCTCGTCATCAATCCGACAAAACGATGGGGTTCGAAGGAGGTACTTGGAAGCTTGGACGGGATATTGAATCAAAAGGCTCATCCCAAGGAATACTACAATACAGGCCGCTCGAGGGCTATCTTCCAACGAGGCTCTTTCTTGCACGTATGGGACGAGTCATCATACGATCGAGAACTTCGGCACAAGCTCAACGATCCGAGCGAGCAGTTCGTTTGCAGCGTGAACAACGACATGGAACACGACTTGGGCGTCTTCGACGCTGAGTTTCGTCCTCAGTCCTCCAATCCAGTGTATCATCCAAGCCGCTTTCCTCCCTCCACAACATCAGGGGACGCTCTCGCCCCAGGAGATGAGCGCCGTACAATATCGGAGGAATCTGTTAGTGCTCAAGACCATAGCTCGAGAGAAACCTCGGTGGATCTCAAACGTGCTTCTTACCAAGACCTCCCTCTACGACGAGGGCCTCTGGACAATGATGGTCGAACGCCGCAGATCCTGGAAAATCCCTACAGCATGAGCTCCAATCAGGCATCTGAGGAGTTTGTTCAACACGATGCATCCCAGGACGCACATTTCCTACGCACACCGTCAAAATCGTATGATCCTCCAACCTCAAGAGCCACGAGCGTCTTCTCCGAGGACTTACGACCCATTTCTATTCGGACTGGACCGTCCACTCCGGACCCTGATGAGGTTGTAGAAGCGCAATCAAACATAGAGAAGCATGCAACGAGCTCAGATCTGGAGGCGATCGGGGCATGGGCAGCAGATGATGATTCACAGGTTCCAGACAGAGGGGGCTCAGATCACGAGGCTGGATTGGCACAGGAGGCACGCCGTTCACGAAAACGCAGAGCACCCAGTTGGGGGATATCGGGCTCATGGACCAAGAAAGCTTTCAAGCGTGTTCGAAGGTTTGTCGGTCTGAAGACAGAGGACTCATCTTCATCATAATGGGGGAGCTAGGAACGGCATCTCGACGGAGGTTGCGCAGGATTCTCTCGTGGCTACCACTGTCTCAGTTCTGCCTCTATGAAGATCGTTTACTACGAGCTCTGTGCTGACCCCCCCAAAAAAAACAATAAACAATAAACATTACAACAAAAATTCCGAGGTGCGTATGTTCTGCTGAAAGGCTTGAATTATACCACCCCTTAAAGATTCTTACTGCAAGATGATGCAGCCTTTGAAGTCCATGCCACTACCACATAGGTAACTGCTCTTTAGAATTGGTCTCGATTTAGGTACTTTGCCACTTTGGGAATACGTCTCATTGGGGCTGATCCTCGACACTACCCATAATTGCTCGATTGGGGAGTAGCTCGCTTATGGCCCTTACCTAAAGAAGTAACTGTCCTCATTGGGGAGAAAGCTACTCCGTACTACAAGTCCTGGAGGTGCAGTCTATCTTCATAGCGGCATCGGGATACTGGTGCTCTCGGCACAGGGGTGTACCTAGATTTATGCAGGTTGGCCAAATCTGTTGAAATTCACTGCAGGAACCTCCCCACCCCTTGCCTCATCTTTGAAACCCCTGCACGGGACTTGGCCACTTCCTTTTACCTCTGAGGGGACCGTGCCTATGAGTCTTGGTTTTATAGATGCACTCTAGAATACTCAAGACCCAGTGCATTCACAATCCTACCATCCCACGCACAGCACGCCGAAATTCACATCTCCTATCTCGTGGCACTTTTCTCTGGCTAGAGTCACTGATACGCTGCCATGGCCCAGGAGTATTTGGCCATTCAGCTCAATGCAAAGGTGCACGAAAGGGACGTGGAGCTCGACCAAAATATCGTCGCCGGTGAGTGTACGAGTTCACACAAGAGAAGTACTGGCATCTCTTGGCGTTCCCGCATCTCTAAGTCTCGTGAATAGAACTACCCTCGGGTGCCGTTATCAAGAGCAGTCGCGGGCATGGCTCAAGCAATTGGAATGAGACAGTACGCGTGGATATCGAGGTGGATGGAGAGGCAAAGTCTTATTTTCTGAAGGTCAGCACGCCATGAGCAGCTGAACAGAGAACGGGTGCTGATGCGGGCATTTCATATCTAGTTGACTGAGGGCGAGAGAGGAAAACCTATGCTCCATGGGGAATTCGAGTCGATGCGCATGATCAGCGATTTGATTCCGGACTTCTGCCCCAGACCTCTGGCCTGGGGGCAGTGCACCGACCCAAACATGACATATCTGCTATTCCCCTTCCACAAGCTCGAGAAAGGCCCCCCGGACACAGGCCGCCTGAGCCAGGTCGTCGCGGAGCTTCACAGTCGAAGCATCGAGCACAACCAGACCGGCAGGTGGGGCTTTCACATGACCACGTACAACGGCCCGCTCGCCCAGGACAACACCTGGACTGACACGTGGGAGGAATGCTGGATCAGGGGAATGAAGAGGCTGTTCGCGTACGAGAGGGATTCTCGGGGCCCGAGTGAGGAACTCGAGCAACTGATGAAGCCCTACTTTCAGAAAGTCTGCCCGAGGCTGCTTCGCCCACTGGAGACCAACGGCCGACGCATAAAGCCAGTATTGATCCATGGAGACCTATGGGTCGGGAACACTGCGGTTCAGACCGGGACTGGTGATCCCTTCTTGTTTGACTCTTCAGCCTTCTGGGGGCACAACGAATGTGAGTGAATTGCTCCTGCCTTGGACCTTCAGCGTTTAAAGCCTATTGGTTTTGAAAGATAACCCGGTCAAGCCGCTGACGGTGGACTAGATGAGCTCAGCTACATGTATCCTAGTGGATCCGACTGGGGTAAAGAGTATATGGAAGCTTACCACCGAATCATACCAAAGTCGGAGCCGCAGGAAGATTGGGATGCTCGGATTGCGCTTTACGCCACGTAAGTCTGTTGTCTACTCACACAGCTTACGTCCTGTTGACCATCTCAAGCCGTGTTGTCGTCGTGGACTCTGCGATCTATCCCGAACATGAACATTTCAGGAGGGTGTAAGTCTAACTAGACTCTTTTTGTCTCTGGTGGGATTGTCTTTTCTTACACAAGAAAAAGATCAAAAAGAGGAATGAGTATCGCAAAAGGGCTTCACGTCCTCAAATTGCTAACACGAGATCAATCTTTCAGATTGATTGAAGAAATCAGAAAATTAGTAGAAAGATTCCCTGAGGGTTGTGTTGAAGACGAGTAGGGGCTAGGACGGCCTGGGTGTTTTGACCATCGGGGTGAGGTTGTGCTTGAGGATTGCGGCTTAAAAAGCAATCGACTTTTCAGGCCCGACCTTACCTAGGTACCTCGGGTCGACCAAAGTACCTTCAATTCGCAGTGCGAAATCATTGCGATGGATATGGAAACAGATAGAGTGGTTGAGTGATGATGTTGACACCCATGGAATATCAGAGATGACAGGCTGGGCGCTTTGCCCGCATTTTGCGTTGAATCTTATTCTCCCTACAAGCCTTATCTCGACTCAGACCTCCTACATGTGTAAAGCCTGTCTAAAAGAGAAGACGGACATTCCCTCTATGGTAGAACTCTCTTATCCACTTGTAAATCCTTGGTTATTCTGGTATTCTATTAGGTATTCATACTTTTGTGCTTGTGACACCCACGGGTGTATTCAGAAAGGGAAAGCCATCTTCATGCTAGAAGTGGTGGAGGGCATGTGATGGGAGAGTGCGTTTTTGCAAATAAGTTAAAGTAAATTTCTTTTCTGTTTCTGAAAACAAAATGCTGGGTCTTTGAGCGTTTAGCACCGTATAAAGGCGCCATGTACGGAATTGAAGTGAAACCAGGTAGGTTGAAGAAAACCCTGTGTACTGCCTAGACTAAATATTCGGTAGCTTCTCCTTCATGCTGACTTGTTGAGACTATCATTTCTTAAACTTTCGCTCTATGGCTTGTCAAGTACTCATCCATCGTCTTCGATCCGTCTACCCTTCCTATTCGTACCTCACTCTTCTCTTCACAACTGGGTTATGCCTCAGCCAGTCTCGTCTGCAGCACCCGGTGCCGAAGTTTCCGAGTATGGGTTGTACCAGAAGTCACGGAACCGTTTCTCGAATGAAATACTGGCCTTGATATCGCTAAGGGTGCTGTCATGATTTTGCAGGACTTCCTTCAAGGCCATGTGTACCTCCTCGGTGTTCAAATTTAACCCGCCAGGTGCGAAAACGGCGGCCAACAGATACTTGAGACAAGCAAATAATTTCGCCGCTTTCTCGAACGGCACCAGTTCCTCGTCCAATATGGCTTCGAGTTCCACCTTGGAATTCCCGGGATGTACGTTGAAAGTGAGATAGAATGGCCATACTCCAATTGCGATCTTCTCGGCCCTGTTCCGCCGCAGCCCAAGCGACGTCGTGGCAGGCTCCTCGTGGCCGTCTTGGTCATTTACCAGGACCCAGTAGACCGAAGACTCAATCTGCGACAAAAGCTGGTTGTCCAATGCCACGCTATGCTGCAGAGCCAGACCTTCTGTCGTATGCTTCTGGACGAGAGCAGCGTGCTCACTCATGGTCCCCGGCTGAACAGCAACGCAGAGTGGGACCGCCGCGACTACGGGCGCCGCTAGTTTCTCGACGCCAGGGAAAGAGCTTCCCCGGCCGTTGATTTCGTTGACGGTGAGGATGGCATTCGAGTCTTCGACGACTGCGACCGCCAACGTCCAACAGCTGAGCAAAAGGCTTGAGTGGGACACACTCAACTTGTCTATGACCGGCAAGTCGAGAGTCAAGACCATGCGCGCGCTGTTCCGGGCACGGTACTCCGTCCAACCCACGGTGGATCGCGACGTGAACTGGCGGCCTAGATATTCATCGCGCAAGAGTGAGGATGTGAGGTGCACGCCAAGACGACTTTGCTGACAGACATGTGCAACAAAGTCCCGGTAGCATGGACGGACATAGGGCAGGCACCCACTCTGGTAGGCGTTGTCAATGTCTTCCAACATCATGATGCGGCTCCACTGGTCCCAGACGACGTGACTGCTCGTCCAGACCAGATGCGGGGGCAGATGGCGCTCCTTGTCGCCAGCCACGATGCTGAATCGACTCAATGGAGCCCCCATTGCCCATGAAACCTTTTGGTCTTCCTCATGGCATTCTTCCAGCCGTTCGAAATGACGAAACACGAAGTCCTCCCTGCACACCACTTGGACGAGCTTCCCCGAAACCGATATCACGCGGGTCCGCAGGCTGGGGCTGGCCTTCCAAACACACTCGATCGCCAGCTCCAATCTTGGAACGTCAGTACCTTCTGGTAGCTCATAGACGTGTTGGTATGTGGTCGATCCCGGGAAGACTACCGCCTTCTTCATGTAAAATCCTTGTAGATGAAGACATGGGTATGCATCTTCCACGTCGTTTTCCGTCAGTCCATGTACTGACAGTTCCTCTGTTAGCGCTTCCAGGCTGCAGCCTATCTCGCGGAGCAGACTGAACCTGGGCGAGCGGGCTGTTGCCAAGTTGGAGTCTCTCTTGTCGAGACTGTCCAGCTGCAGAGCCATGTCCTGTAGGACCGGATATTTGAATATGGACTGGGCAACAAGTGACAGGTTGGCCTCGCGTGCCATGGCAACCAGCCGGATCGCCGACATCGAGCTGCCGCCGAGCTCGAAGAAATTGTTGTCAAGTCCTAACTGACCAGAATCTAATCCCAGTACCTTCTGCCAGAGGCCATGAAGCAACCTCTCCATGTCCGAGCTGGGCGGTCTCACGACTGAGGCACCATCCTCGGCATCCGCCCAAGAGAATGGCAGCTGGGAACCGAATGCCTTCAACGCTCGCCGATCCGCCTTACCATTGGCCGTGACGGGGATGATCGACACGCCGACGAAGACTTTGGGAACCATGTAACCGGGCAGGAAACGAGACAGGCTTTCTGAAATCTTGTGCTTTTGACCCTGAATCTTCCTGCTTAGTGCTGGATCCAATTCCATCGTGCTTTGGAGCTTGTGCTCTTTCAGCGCGACGAACGCGGCCACGACGTCGGACTCGTGGCCTTTGAAACGGATTACATCAACGAGAACATGGAGCTGCACATCTGCCAGAACAGTTCTGACGTGATGCTCGACCTCCTTCGCTTCGAAACGCTGCCCATGGAGTTTTACCTGGCCGTCAGCACGGCCAACGCTCGTAAGGCTACCATCCGGGTTGTATCGCACCAGATCGCCTGACTTGAATACTACCGTCTTGCCCGTTCGGAAAGCACGAAGCCAAGATGGGGTGCTAATGAACCATTTGGACATCTCGGCAGGCCTGTTGATGTACCCATCAGCCAGGGTCGGTCCCTCAATCAGCAGCTCCCCCACAGCTCCCAGAGGACTCAGGCGTTCGTGGTTGTCCGGGTCCACCACCCATAGGCTCGCACCCACCGGCCGACCGAGATTCTGTGGGTCGTCTTCGGTCATGGCAAAATTGAGTGTCTGCTTTGCTGCGAATTCACTGGGCCCGTACCCATTGACGAGTTGGACATGGCCGGCCCACTTGGCGACCAGGTCACGGTCGGGCGGTTCGCCCGAGACGAGCAGAACCTCCAAATCTGGTACTTCGAGGGGAGCCAGAGTGCGTGCTACCGAAGGTGTGACGTTTGCAAAGTTGATCCTGGCCTCCTTCATGTAGCCTGAGAGGTCATTCATGATGGCGTCGTCCGAGGGGATACAAATGCAACCGCCGGCCGTGAGAGTAGCCAGGATGTTTTCGATTCCGAGACGGAAGGTGTATGGACCAAACTGCAGCACACGCATTCCCGTTCCCCGTCGGATCCAAGGTGCTCTGGTTACGGCGCCGGTGGCGAAGGCTGTGTGCCTGACTGTGAAAGTCTTTGGCTGCCCCGTTGTCCCAGAAGTTTGCAGTGCATAGATGAGACTTTCCGGCCTTATCGAGGTGGGTAGGAGTGTTGCTGGTCGCTGAAGAAAGCTGCCCTGGGTTTCCTCATCGGCCACAAGGATCTCCCAAGGACCACTTGAGAGGCTGTCGCGCTGCTGACGGGAGCAGATAATGAGTCGAATCCCGGCATCGCGGGTAAAACTCAGCAGCCGCTCTTTCGGATATCCAGGAGGGAAAGGAGCGAATGCACCACCGGCTTTGAGGATGGATATCAGGGCCACTGGAGCCCACCTGCTCTTTTCAAAACAGTGGCCAACTAGTGTATTTTGTTTGACCCCTAAACGAACCATCTCGGAAGCAAAGGCGTCGGAAACCTTGTCGAGGGCTGCGTAGTTCAAGTTCCCATCCCAGGCGTCAATTGCCAATGCTTCAGGATCCCGCTCGATCTGTTTGCGAAACAATTCGATGCCGGAAGTGTTGACTGGTTTGTGGTGCACGGCATTCCAGTCGAAAATTCGAACCTTATCAGTCTCACTCGCAAGGTCGAGGTCTCGAAGCTCTGTGATGTCTGGCATGGTACAGAGTTGGGCTAAAGTCTGCTTGAACTGAAGAGCGAGTAGCCCGACCTGCTCTTCAGACACGCAATTCTCATCAAATGTCCACGACGTGTTCACGCGTGTCGGGGTGGGAGTGACGGTGATCACCAAAGGGTACTCGTGGAGGCATCGGAAGGCTTCTCTCCCTTCAAAGTTGCCTCCCAAAGACAGCGTAGATTCGGGATTTTGGACGATCAGAAGAACTCGAAAGGAAGACGAAGCACGTGTCTCTTGGTTGATGCCACGAATCCGTAGCAGTCCATACTGCTCGTAAGGTATCGTGGCAACGAACTGATCCTGAAGATCCGCGAGGAATCGAGAAATGGTATGCTGTTTATCGACTCTGACTCGCACAGGAAGTGTGGCAAGTGTAGGCCCAAGAACATTGTGAAGCTGAAGCGGGAGAGAGCTGCGCCCGTGTACCGTATTCCCAAATACTACATCTTCCGAGTTCTCGTATTGCGATAGAAGAAGTGCAAGACCTGCTCTGGCCAGAATTGTGACTGTGATGCCGGGCTTCGAAAATTGAGAGATGGCCATAGACTCTGTAATGCATGATCTATCGGCGATCTGCGCATTGTCTGCGCGAATGGCTGGGAAGGAGGGCATCGGTGCATCGTGGAGCTGATGGAGCCAAAATTCGCGGGCATATTCTGTGTCCGTGTTCCGACTGAATTGTACGAACTTGGCAAAGTCCCTGTCCAATTCGTCTTCGTCCTCACTCGTGTCCCTCTCTTCAAACCGACTCCGCACGCGTTCAAAAATGCGTTCAATGCTCCATCCATCGAATATGGAGTGGTGCAGAGTCCAGACCAGGTGAACCTCGCCAGATTCCATATCGTCTATTATGCAATATCTGGTAAGTGTCTCTCCAATGTCGAAGGTTCCTTGGCGGTCTGTCTCCAAAAATTCGTCAAGTGGCTGCTGAGTGTGTGTCCATTGGAGTGAATCTTTTATTATAACTTGGTTGAAGTTCTTCTGACCCAGTAAAATGCGCGTTCTGAGGATCGGAACGGCTGCGACTGTGTCCTCCAGTGCCTTCTTGAGATTTTCCGCGGCTGCGCCACGACCTATAGGGAAAACATATTGGCTTATGTATGACCCGGGAACACTTAGTGAGAATGAGAACATGCTTTCCTGCAGCTGTGAACATGGGAACACGTCCACTATGTCTTCTTCCTCGAAACCGAGTGATTTTAAATTGGCCGAGGACCGAGAAAGATCTTCCTTTGATAACATCGAGAAGGCCGATGAAATGACAAGTTTGTTACTGTGAGAGATCGGCTTCGTTTTGGAGCACATAGCGGACAATGTCGGGTGCTGGAATATATCTCGGACAGATAATTCGAGGTTTGCTTGTCGTGCCAGTGACACAAGCCGCATTGCTTTGACAGAGTCTCCGCCCAAGAGGAAGAAGTTGTCCGTCAAGCCTGGCCTCTGCGTCGTCGTCAGGGCCCGTTCCCACAGCTGGCTTAAATGCTGCTGAGCTTCGCTCAGCGTCTCTGTCTTGCGAGCAATGCTTTTAAGACCCAACAGGTATTGTCTGCCGGCTTGGCGGAGCGCAGAGCGATCAAGTTTTCCCGAAGATGAGAGGGGGACCACTGGTAGAGGAATCCAAATAGTCGGGACCATAAACTCGGGAAGCACATCTGTAAGGGCGAGTTGCAGACTGTCATACTCGGCAGCCATGTTCTCTGCCAGGGACTGGTTGTCATAGGCTTCACTTTGGTGTTGAGGGATATGCACGAACGCTGTGAGACTTGGCAGGTTGAGGTCTGCCACAGTCTCCATCACGTCCACGAAAACCTGTGCGCCGGGCAGCCGTAGCCTTCGCTGGATTTGGCTTTGAACCTCCTCCAGCTCTATTCTCTGCCCGCGTAGCTTGACTTGAAAGTCTCTCCGGCCAACGAATACAACTTTTCCGTCGGGCGTGTACCGCGCCAGATCACCGGTGCGGTAGAAACGTGAGTGGGGAAGCCGATCAATCTGCATTGCAGTCATCCAGGCTGGCGACGTAGTGAGGAAGGACTTGGCTGTCTTTTCGCCATCGTTGAGGTAGCCTCTGGCCACGTTTGACCCTTCGATTATCAGCTCCCCAGCGACTCCTACGGGTGCCAATCGGTTGATGTCGTCGGGAACAGTGAGCCATACTCGGCAGCCAAACGATGAACCAATCAAGGCTGGGTCAAATTCGTCTCCGAACTGTTGATTTACCATGCACGCTACCGTGCATTCCGCAGGGGCGTAAACCGTGGTCAAGCTTGCGTGGCCCTTCCAGGTTTGAATTAGGTCTTTCGTGACCTTCTCGCCTCCCATGATGATGTTACGCATGGTGGGGACCTCTCGTGGAGAGAGGAGGCGCAGGACAGTGGGGGTCAGCAGAACCGAGTTGGCGTTCAGCGAGGTCATAGACTGGGAAAGTCGATTCATTCTATCCTCCTCGGAAGGAATGCAGATGCATCCGCCGCTGAAGAGGGTCATGAGTATCTCGCCGAAAGCAGCGTCCCATGCGTAGGATGAGAACTGGTAATAACGACACGTCTCAGATATGCCGGCGAGATCAGCGAGGCCTGTTAAGCCGGAACAAATCGAGTGGTGTTCAATAGCCGTCGCCTTTGGTCGGCCAGTGGTACCTGAGGTGTAAACCACAAGGGCAAGGTCGAACGGTTCAATCGTGATTTGTTCCTGGTCCCACGCTGTGACTATTGCGTCTCCAGAGACGGTTGAAGACGAAACTGAGATAACCGAGGGAGCCAGACGTGCAGCACGGTCTTTCTGAGCCTCTGAAGACAGGATGATGGGACCCTTGACGTCGAGTGTAAGCAACTCTAATCGACCGGTAGGATGAGAAGCATCCAGCAACAAGAATGCATGCCCGCTCTTCAGAACTGCCATCATGGCAACCACCGTCCACATGGATTTCTCGAAAAGCAAGGGTATGACGCTTTTTCTGGGTACATTTGCCTCCAATAGCTGCACTGCTACGCGAGATGATGCTTCGTGCAGTTCTCTGTAGGTCAAACTTCCATCCCAAGAGTGGACGGCGGATGCGTCCGGCGACATTAAAAATTGCGTTTCGACCAGCTCATGCACACACGAAGGGCGTAACGGGACAGGCGTCGGGGTCCATCGGCGTATATCTCTTTCATCCTTGCTGCTGAGCAAATTGACATCTCGAAGCAGGGTGTTTGGACTGCTTAACTGTTTGCTGATGTGAGAGATCTGGCACAATAGTCTGTCCACGAATTTGGCTTCATGAGAGCTTTCATCGAATTCTGCTGACAACGATGGTCTGGCACCTTTGAAATTGCAAGAGATCCAGATAGGGCACGGTCGAGAATTGACTGTCTCCTCATCCAGAATAATCTTGACTTCCAATGCCTTGGACGAAAAATGGTTGGCGGATGAGGTGGTGCCTTGTTGCTGCTCTAACGCCGCGGGACGAAACCAGGTCGGATCTGCGCCGTCTGGCATCCTCGTGCACAATTTCTCAGCGACATCTGCGAGATATCCACCGACCGATTGGTCTGATAAATTGGCTGATGGAAGTTGAACCGGGAAGTCACGCGTAGTCTCTTGTCCGCAGTAGTCCATCTTGACCTCGACTTCTGTGTTTTGCCCATAGAAGCCAAGCACGACTCCCAGAGAACCACATATCAAGGTGACTTCGGGCCATTCCTCGCCTTCCATGTAGAAGGATTCACAAAGAACCGTCGACCGGCGAGAGGTAGACCCTGGAGTTTGTGAGCCCATATTGAGACCAGGATCGTGACAGGAAAGTAGCTGTGCGAGGGAGACAAAAACGATGTGTCGTGAAGGAGGGATTGTTGTGACCAGACCTCTCTACAGTTGCATGAGCAAGGCGTCGTCTCCGCTCTATTTGTGGCCAGAAAGTGAAGATGGATTAAGGCTTGGGTCGTGTACCCGCTGCACTCGGGCTATATACAAGGTGCAGGAGTGCATGTGCCCCGGTAAATGCTGATGATTAATATTTATGCATCTACCTAAAGATTATGCCGCTTTCGGGGTGGTCCCTAAGCCTACATCGTTTTTTTTTTTTTTTACATAGTACTAGTACTATGGCTTTGCACATTTTTTGTTCGGATAACGGCCAGCGTGGAACCCAGAGCCGGCGAATACGCACATCTCGGAACACAATAGGCAGAGGTAGCACAAATTCTGGCATGAAAGTTCTGAAGTGGACTCGGTCAAGCTGACTTGCAATGTTGGTGTGCGCTGAAATGGCATTACGCCCATCCGAGACGTGACTTACTGGGTGTTGGCATCCTCACACTGTTGGGATTGGTACTTCCTTCAGGAATTGGTTAGAAACCTGACCCAAGATGGCAGGAATGCCGAAAACAGAAGTGCACCTAAAAGGGTACAGCTCAAAAAATACGAGGGATTCCAACCCGGACCCCAACTCAGCAAGTTGGCACATTGGAGTACCGGAGCCCGGTTTAATGCAGTTCTGATTTGCGCTATGTCAATTGGACCTCTAATATCGTTCGGAATTTTCACGTGGCATATCAAGGAGGCAGCGAGGAACTCAGGTGGTTTCGTTTTTTTTAATCCCCATACATGTAAAATGTACGTGGCGCCTTCATACAGTGGTAAACGCTCAAGACCCAGCGTCTGAAGAAATACAGTGCCAATAACAGTGGAAAGAGAATACAGTAAGCGAGGAACTCAATGGTCGCGCTCTATCACTGAAGCCTAATTATTGAGCCATACCTGCCTGATCATGCTGACACCGGAAATTGATAAATCTCAAGCTCAAGTTTAGAAGATGTCTATGGATAGAGATCAAATCTCCCGGACCCGCTGAGTGGAGGGGTGATTTAAGGTGCTATGCTATACAGTACTCTGTAATAAGCGCTGAACATCCGTGCGCTGGGAGTCTCTTTGCTGAAGGGGCACCATACCTAGGAAACCATCCTACGAGGGCAGCTCGAATACCTAGATATACGATACACTTCAACTCAATACTTACCGTTCATTCCGTCGAATTTGGCCATGTAAAAAACCTTTTGAATATATTTCTGAATACTAGCCCTGGACTCGTAGTTCTACCGCGGAAGCCACTTTTGCACAAATGAAGTCCAAAGCGCCCGGGCGTCGAGCCATGCCTTCAATGGCGCCGGTCGTGATGACGATCTATTCAGGCACTAAAGCTGGAGCCCTCGTCAGATATCAAAGACCTGCAATGGACATTTATATGTGTTGCTCGACTCCAGGGCAAGTCACAGAAGTGAAACCTGGGAAGACGATTTACGTGCGCTCTAGTCCCTCTGCGGTCCCGGCACTGGCGGGTCTCGAAATCAGCGAAGCATTCGTCTCCCCATCGTCATCCTTCCCCCTCATAAAGAAAAACCAGAAAATCAGACTTGTCACCGCCATGGCGCCCGCCATCGACCCATAGAGTATCACAAGCCAGGGATCCCGCGAAACAGGTGCTATTGCGACACCGAGTGCAGCAGCCAAGGCGCCAAAACTCTGCGAGATGGCCTGCATGATGGATCGCATATCTACCGGCGCCTGGCTGTACGCGTACTCGGTGGCAGTTATCTGGCTGAAGATCTCGGCGATGGACTGCAGTACGTAGAGAGGCACCTGGGCGAAGGCTGAGATGTCGTTGGGCACCTTGCCGTCGGGCGATCCGGAGCACGTGCGCGGGTGGTCGTAGCACGGCCCCCGTGAGTAGATGATGGCCTGCAGGCCGGCTGCATACGCCATGGACAGGCTGAGGATCACGAAGCCGATAAAGATGCGGGTGAGCGGCAGAAGTTTGACCCCGCGCCCTCGGACGAAAGGGAAAATCAGTTCCTCGAACAGGGGAATGAACAGGACGAGGACGATGGGGTTGAGGAAGTAGAGCATATCGTTAGGGACCCCGATGGTGTTCATCTGCCCGGCTTGGGATATAAAATTGTTCTCGGCCTGGTCCCAGCAAAGCCAGGCAATTGTGAAGGTGGCACTATGCGGAGCTCTTATTAGCCTTGTTCGAAGCAGGCGAGGACGCACAGATTTGGTGGATGGAGGTCTTCGCTTACAAGATGCGACAGCCTTTCCAGGTCTTCGACATGTCTCTTGCAAAGCTTGCGTCGTGAGCGGTGCCCTGAGACATGTGTCCCAAGCTGGAATCCTTTGATGGTTTCAGACGTGATCGCAGGTACGCTCCTACATATGACATCGTGCGAGCTAAGTTGCCCTTGGACGGACCATGTTTCACTGTGATGAAGTAGGCAAATTATTAACGGCCACATTTAAGCATTATGAAGGCCCACCATGTTGATAAGGTTGGGCGAGACTTACCAAATGCTTTGCTGGAGACGACAAACAATACAAAAGCCAGCCCAATGCACACAAGAGGCAGCAGATATGCCTCACCGAAGCCTACATTCTTTTCCAAAAGAGTGGTAATAATACCCGTCAAAGACCCGACGTTAATCATCCTAGCCCGCGGGTTTGTTTAGAAAGTTGTGGCTCGGCCGAGAGGACGAAGCATATCTCACCAATAATAGGCGCTGTAGATATATTGCAGCGTGACGGCTTGATCCGGTTGGACCCATCTTCCCTGTTTGTCTCGAAATGCGTCGATAGAGCTCGGTGTGTACTGGTCCCCTGCAATAAAACAATTCAGCAAGTTCGAACTTTTCTCCTCGTTGTGGGTAGCAGAATGACCAACCAATAAAAGCATTCATGTTTGTTCTGATTCCACCCGAACCGATGGCAATCAGGATCAAAGACACGAGGAATGTACCGAGACCCGCTCTTTCAGCCACTTCGGGGTTGAACGACACGCCGCAGAGCAAGGCAAGACCGATAAAATAGATACTGTGTGATGATACAGAATTAGACGCGATGTGCTAACTTCTGTCGAGGGAGAGTTCGGGTTAGAAGAAGCGTTGAAAACTTACGGAAAGGAGTACAAAATCGTCCTGTGGCGTCCCCATCTGCTATCGGCGAGCAGCGCGCCCAGGAAAGGCGTGACCGAATTCACCAACGTAAAGCCAAACTGAACCTGAGTGGCTTTCGCTTGACCGAGTCCCAGGACACCCGGACGCAGTTTGTCGAAGGGCGGATTCTGCACATAGTTCTCTGATAGGTGTCAGTTTGGCATTCCTGGTTATATCTTGCTCTTCGTTGTGTTTGCTTCGGCCGCAACTAACGTGTCATAATCATAGAGCCATAGTATGCAGAGCGCTCCAGCATGCCGGCTCCAGTTGCCAACCACAACCTGAAAGGAATTTTGTCTCGTATTCTAATGGGAACGACAGGTTCGGGAGCTGTCGCTGGAGCATTATCCATACTTGATGACTGCGCGGAAAGCAAATAAGGCCTCGTAAAACATGGGAGGCTGCGACGCGGAATTCGTACGACGCCTATTCAAGAAATCAACTTCCTACTTTTCAATATCGCGTCGAGACAGAGGAAAGCCAGCCTGGAAATCCTACCAAGGTCTCTGAAAATTTTGCCTGACTTGCAAGTAAGACAATTAGCTACCCTCTCGGACTAGATGAACTGCTGTCTGTCTAGGTACGCCCAATGCAGAGGGACCCAATACAATGAGGAGTCGCAGAGGGCCTTGGGCATAGCGAGGGCAGGTGAGGCGGATAGGATCACATCCCGGCTCTGCAGCAGCGATTGGAATAGTTAGTTGTGCCTAATGAGGGAAGGATTCCGTAAGTGGTAATTGTGCTGATTCAGGTTAGGCTGGCCCCTGCAACTAGGTGAGTTTCCAGGGGTTCGTTTAAGTAGAATATCCAACTAAGTTGAGCGCAAGCCACTCAGCCAACTCCTGTCGTGTTGCCCTGATTTTGGCTCAATGCGGGTAATGCTCACTATTTGCAACCCTAGTCAGCTTGAGACCTGCCGATGGGGGAAACAATCGCCGAGTAGTCAAGCACGTTTCACCGGCTGGTATAACCGCATAGCCTCGCCATCCCATGCTTGGGTGCGTGGGTCAGACCGGCAGGGTATAAGATGGCGTCAACGGCAGCCTGATTCCACATATGCAGCTTGCTTTGTCCCCGGCGGTTGGCCTAGTTGCAGTGTCCAAATGCTGCAGATCGGCGGTGCTACGCTTACGGAGCCAGGGAATGTTTCTAAACCTATTTTGTCTGTGAGAGCATGGAATCGACAGCTTGCGCAAGACCAAGCGCACCTCATCATCTCAATCTGGGTAGCAGAGGAATGACAGGATCCTCCACGCTGTATCATGACGGTACAATGTTCATCGCGAGTTCCATGGGTGGAGTCACCAACCTGAGCCACCAACCTGTGACTTCAGGGCGTTCCGAGCGCGTCTCATGATAGGGCGGGCAACCAAAATGTCGTCGTGCCATATATTTCAAGTCTTCAGTTGTCGCTCAGTACCTAGGTTACTTGACTTTGGTACGTCGTCTACGGCAGAGGTAGTAGCGCAGGTCCGTACGGCTTTACAGGTGTGATAAACTTGATCAGAAAGTTTGATGGCAGCGAGACTTCGGCTCATCAAGGGGACGATGACCGAGGGGATTCCCTCTTGATTGGCCGCAAAGCAAGACCAGCCATAAGCAGGGACGCGGGAACTTGAGGAATGCTGGGCATAGATACCACTCCAAGGTTGTTGGCTTCTGGAAAGCAAGCTTTGTTTGTACCAGATTCCAGTAAGACCGCACTCGCAGATAATTTGTGGAGCATACGACCAACTCCGAGAGGGAAAGCAAATAGAAAATGACTTCTATCACCACCCTGCCTCAATTACGAAATCGCGAGAATCGTTGTTCTCAATATTGAGCGCGGCCTTACCGGTAGACCTACTTATTCCACATGCCGAACTCAGCACTATTACTTATTAGAACTATAGGCTAAACACCTATAGGACCAACTAGTAGGTCTATATATTTTACTTATCTTATTAGTCTAAATGGCCTTTATACTTCTTATAATATAGGATTATAGCTTTACTACCTTCTTTATATTATTCCTTAAGTAACTTTAATTTTAAATTAATAATTCTTTATAAATAATTTAAATTTTTTTTTATTATAAATTATAAAAATTATTTTAATTTAAAACTACTTAATTTTATAATTTAAAAAAGTTATAAAAATATTTATTTTAATTAAACTTTTATTTTTTAATTAATTAATTATAATAGCTTATAAAATTATTAACTTTATAAGTAAAAAATTTAAAGAACTTTAAATAAAAGATTAATACTTTTATAAATATTAAAAATAAAAATAAAGATAAAAATAAAGATAAAAATAAAAATAATAATAAATTTAAAAATATTAATAATAAAAATAATAAGGTTATTTTTAGAATATTTTAATATTTAATTTATATTAATAGGTTTAATTTAATATTAATTAATTTAAGTAAATCTATTTAATTTTAAAAGGTTTTATTAATTTATTTAAACTAATTTTTACTTAAAAGTAAATAAGCTTTCTTATTTAATATAACCTTTATAACTAGTTAAATTTTTAAAAATAATATTAATATTAATATTAAAAGTAATAAAATCTAAAAGTTAATTAACTATATTATTATATTTATAATTAAGTAGTATATAGTTAATTCTTTTAAATTAGTTTTTATTAATAACTTAATATTTAAAAGGACTTTATTAATAAAATTAAGTAGCTTAAAGTAATTTATTTTATTTATATATTTTAAACCTCTTTAATAAAAAAGGGTTAATAGATTTTTTTATTTTTAAATTAATTTTATAAATAATATTTTTAAATTTATATAATAGAATTAAAAGATAATATTTAATAAATTCTACTTTTAGAATTATAAACTTAAACTTTTTATTTAAGTTATTAAAATAGTATTATTATTTTAGGAAATTAATACTAACTTATTCTATATTAAGGAGTAGATAAGATACTTTATTAAATTTATAAAAGAATTTATTTTTATTTATAAATATTAAAAGTAATATATAAACTACCTTTACTCTTAATTATTTATAAAGTTAGTTTAAATTAACTATTAATAAATATAATAAACTTATTATAAACCTAAAAGTAAAATTAAAAATTATAATACTATTAAAAATATATAGTTATTTTAATTTATTAAAATATAAAGAATTAAAATATAATTATTAATTTTTAATAATAACTAAATAAAATTAATAAGATTAATTAAGTTAATTTTATAAAGATAAATTTATAGAAGGAAGTTAATAAGCTTTAATATAAGAATGTTAAGTTATATATATAGGCCTATAACCCTACTAATATTTAAAACTTTATCCCTATCTAATAGAAGTACTTTATTAAAGTAAACCCTTTATTTATTTAATATAATAATGAAATTAAAGATAAATTAAACTTTAAAATATAGAAGTATTAACTTTAAAATAAGTTAAATATAAATATAAATTATTATTTTAATAAATATAATAAAGTAATAATAATTAAGAATTAAATAAATAATATTATTATTAATATTATAAAATCTTTTAAAGTCTAATTACTTTAATTATATTTTTATAATAAAGACTTTCCTTATTTTATTAGAGAATAAATATAATAATTTTAATAAGAAATTATAAATAAAAATTAACTTTAATACTTTAATTATAAAGTCTAATAATAAATTCTTTACTTTTATAATAACTTTATTTAACTAATTAATATATATTAACTCCTAAAGGTAAATAAAAGAATAAAATATATAAAAGCTTACTCTAACTTCTTACCTATATAACCTCCTCTTTTAAGTTTAAAATATAAATATTACCTTTAAAAATTACTATATTTAAATATAGGTAATTAATTAGAATTAATAACTTATTAATTAACTATATAAGATAAAGCCTTTTAGTAATAATACTAATAGTAATAAATAAAATAATAAATAAAACTTTAATTATAATAACTTAAATAATAAAAATAAAAATAAAAATAATAACTATAATAATAGTAACTTTAAATATAATATTAAAGGTACTAATAATATTAATAGAAACTAAATTAATAATAATAACTCTCTTTCTATTTATAATTATACTAAATAAAATAATTTAATAAAAAATAAGTTAATTAAACTTTCTATTAAGAGTATTTATTTTTATTATAA